CTTTGTCAGCCTTATTTTCAAATCTGCAATGGTTTGTGGTTCCAGGACTTATTAACCTTTACATCAGTCTAGCTTTTGCTAGTGCTAAAGATGCCCATTGTTCACAGAAAGCATACAGTGACTTACCAAAACTATACAGAGTTTGAGTAGTAATGATCCAAAAGATGTTAATTTATTAGACTGCACAAGCAGGTATAACGGTTACCATCATCTCAATGCTGCACTATAGCTATAGTGTCTATTTTTATCAGTTTTCTTGTTATACATATTCTCCAACTCAGAATTTCTATTGGTCTTGGGCATTTAAGATGCTTATTTACTGCAGAATTGCGGTGTTTATCACTGTTAAAAGCAAAATGTTTACATTCCCTTTCCTGCTTTTGCAAAGTTGTGAAAAAAGTTCACTTCGGAACATTTTCTGCTTTTAAACCTTTCTTAATAGCCTACTGTACTGTGCTCAGGAGGGCTGTGAGCTGCTGTGACCTGGATTGTGACATTCCTGTCTTTGTCTTCCTGCTGACTAATAGCCACCTGGCTTTCAGTACCTTAAATTTCCATTGCCAGGGCCTGTAAAACAATTGATAAAGCAGATGTGTGTTAATTATTGTTTTAACTTCAGTATACAGAAATGCATCCCAAAGTGCCTTCCATTCTTATGCACTCTTTCCTTGGGTCATGTTAGCAGTACCATTTCTTTCTTTAAGTACTTGCTGAAATATTCAGTCTGAAAATCACCGTTGGATCATGCGTGTTTGACAGAAGACCTGTTCTGCTTAGTCCATGCCAAATCCTTCATATTATCTTCCAGCTCTTTCACATTTATCTTGTTTTCTTGCAGACATTTTTTTTATTTTTTTGAGTTACTGCGGCTTTATCTTTTGAGTGGTTTTTTTTCAAAAATACTGTAGAAAACGTGATTATGGTTGCTATATCCTAGTGTCTGTTTCATCACCTCCTAGGCTGAGTCTTATGTCTCGGAGGGAGGAGCTGCTTGCGTTATGTAAAATATTAAATAATTTATGATAGCTGAAAATAACTGCCTTTGTGGACAAACACACAGTGAAGCAGTTCACATGCACTAAAAAAGGCATGATCAAAATAATTCTTGAAGACATGGGATAATAATTTGCTTTATTTGATCTTTAAGTGGAGGAGCTTTTCTGCGAGTCTGTGCTTTATTCCAGAGGATTACTGACCCACTTTAGGAAACCCTTAACTTGCGGATCGGTGTGAGCTAGAATGGAAATCTGCAGTATGATTCTGTGAATACTTAACAGTTATACTGAAAGCAGTTTTTCTGATGCATTGCCTTGTTGCTCATAGCAGCTCCTGCTCCGGTAAAGAATCACATGAAGCTCTGGTTAATGTGAATCTTTCCTCTCGCCTATCGTAATGATTTTGAAAGGATTACTGGATTTTGTGCAGCATCTTAGAAAGCTGAAGCTGTTGCTGTACTAACAAATGCCAGTTTTAGTGCATCTAAATCTATGATGCATGCATGGAATTTCAAAGAACTGCATCTGTATACTGAGCATGGTAATTTCTCCATAGCACTCGATGCTATGAATCAATACTATTTCTGAGTTATTTTTGTTTTCAAACAGACTGTTAGTACTATCATATGGACTCTACTCATTTTTCCAATTTTTTACTCTGGGAAATTAAAAATTGTGTGAACAGAAGAAGCTTGTGTCAAGATTCCTCTTCTCAATGTAATTGAGTATTTCTGCAGTGAATAGTTAATGATGTTCTGCTTTGCAAGACATAAATGCGGCAGTGACCTGCTCTCGTTTAGATGTTGCAGTAGTAGAATGGTGGGGCTTTGCATGGTGCATGCTTTCATTGTTTGTGTTAATCTGCTTGCATGTGCCTGCTGTGAGCTGGATGACTTGTTTCTGCATCAGTGATAAAGCAATACTTAATTTCTCTTTCTTCTTATGAATAAGTATTCTTGTTCTTGATTTATCTTTCCCTTTGGTTATTAAAACATAATAAAATATTTGAGTTTTTTGAATGTGATCTATGAATGCAGAGACTTCAGATTCATGTTGTGCTGTTAGGTGTGCTTGCTTCTTGGTGGCAAAGAGCTAGAACTGTCTGAATGCTTTTTTGTGTAACAGCTTTGAGTTGGCATGGTTTGCAAGCTTATGGATTGCTGTCTTGTGTTAAATACTGATACACGAGTAAATAAACTGCTCAATTGTAAGCACAGATGACTGTCAAATGTACTGCTGAAAAGATACCTTTTTAAAAAAAACCCAGCTTGAATAATTAGGCAGATTGGAGTTTTTTTTCCACTCAGCTTTCATTTTGTGAACTAATTCAAATGGACATTAATTATAAGGGTAACGTTAGAAGAAAAGAATTTAAGCCAGTGTAAGTCACAAGGTTTTCTACTAATGCGATTTATCTTCTAAAGTCTATAGAAGTACTATTAAAATGGACCTTGACTAATTCTTCAGGTATGGATGTTATAGAATTTCACTTACTAAAATTAAATCTCTCATTTTTCATACATGTGCCTTTCTCACTTGAAAGAGAAAACATCAGAATAAATCTGCTCTTCATCATTAAAATACTGGTTGCAATACATTGGACATTTTTACTACATTTTAAAATTAATCTGTTCATGAAGTCATATCCTATTGAAACATTTTCCCTTCTTTCTAACTTTTACAACTTAAATAGATATTAAATAAGACCCTACTGTCAAACTAGCAGAAGTAAGAACACATTCAGAATCATCTTAATATTTGTAGTATATGATTAAGTAAACAATGAAGTTGACACTGGAACATTTAATTTTGTTTAGATTTGCATTTAAAGGCAATGTTAGCAGAAATATTTTATGATTTATAGTTTATGCTTCTTAAACACTTCTGAGGTAAAATAGTAGTACTGTATGCCGAAAACTCTTAATTGTACTTTCAGATATTTTTTATTATCTTACCCGCTTTGATTTCACTTGTCACCTTTGAGGACTCAAAATCCATTTAAAAAAAAAAAGCCACAAGTCTTACTTGAATATTTTAAGAAAACTGATCAAAGCTTTAGAATTTGGTTACTTAAAATCCAGTGGTCAAAGCTGTAAGTTTTGTACTGTAACACTAAGTGCATTGCAATTCAAAATGTGGTTCATTATCCCAAATATATTATCAAAGCCCCTTATTACTTCAATTTCTGTTGGTATCTTTAAATGAGGGGGGGGGGAAAAAAAGCACACTGCTATATCCAATAGATACCTTAAAGACATGCTCTGAAACAAGTAGTCAATTCTGAAAAGTGGAGCTTTTAGCTCTCTTGTAGCTATTTTTCTAGGACCTTACTTACTGTAAAATAGCTTTAAATTTGTGGTTCATAAGGAATGACTAAATGATGTATACATTCTTAAAGTTTGACCTAAGGAAACTGCTTCTTGTGTTCTGTCATTTCACTCTAAGCTGTCATTAAACATAAACTTCTATGTCAAATAGATCATAATATTTCTCTACTTTTTGTGAATTGAGGCAACAAACTTAAAGACATGCCATATAAAATCTTTCAAATTTACAAATGCCTCTTTTGTAGTTGCTGTAAGTGTAAATTAATCATTTAACTTTCTTTCAGACTGGACTTCTAGACTAGTCGTTTCTAACTACACTTGTATTTCTTGGTCGCATACATTTTTTTCAACTACTTTTCTGCTTTTAATAATTTGTCCTGGGTTTTTTAGAAGTTTATTGTTTCCACAGTTCTTTTTTTGTCTTCAGCCTCGTTCTTCAGACAGCCAGATAGGCTCCTTCTTGGTTTTTTTCTGTATAATCTCATTCAGTACGGTGTTAACAACTCTTCAGCCATACCTTCATTTTGACAAAATGAAGTTTCTCTGCCTCTGTTCCTTTGTAACTCAAACATTGTGCAAATACTCCTGTTTCGAGCAGTGCTTCAAACATTTTTCATTACTCCCTTTTTTTAAAACTCTGTAAGTTCATTTGTTTTATTTATCAACACTTTCCTCACTTTCCAAAGCAGCTTCTAATTTTTCCAGTAACAGCTAAGAACTTTATTGTTGGTTCCTTATTACTCATTCTGTATCACCATCTCCCTGCCCCTTCAGGATTTCTGTGCTGCAGCATTTTTTTCTTCTCAAAGATCCTTCACAATGTCATCACTGTGTACTTGATCAAATTCACCTATTAACAGCATTTCAAATATTAATCTGAGCACTTTGTTTCTTTCAGTGCATTCTCTCCGTGTTTTTCTGACTATTTATTTATATGAATGCATGGAGAAACATTTTTCCTTCAGTTCCTCAATATCTGCGCTTGTAGTTTTAGCTGTAAAGAAATTCATGAAAGTTAATGCTTTTATCATATTTTTGTGCTTTTTTTAATTCAAGACACAGTCTACGTTTTCTGTAATATTCAAGTATTTATATCTTATTATCTTCTGCCTTTTGTTTATGCAGGTACTTGTTTTCAATTAATTTGAGTTTTATACAAAGAATATTGAAGTCTGGAACAAGAAAATGGCCGTTATTATCTGTTTTTTTCTGATCCCTGCTATTTTTTTTTATTTTAAAAATAAAAAAATCACTGTTTCAGTAGTGGGAAAGATTTACTCAGACTGTGGGTTGTCTTCATACTGAACCATCTTAACTCTGCTTAATTGTAGAGTACTGTACATTTTGTGAATGTTGTGTGGAAATTGCTTGTTGGAGATCACAGATACCAAAGTAACTAAAAGTTTCCAATTTTTGTACCTTTTAAATACATGGGTTTTTGCACTTTTGGGGGATGCATAACAGGTTGTAAGTAGCTACTGTTTTTCCACAAAGTAGATTTGTATTAACTTCACAGGTATTAAATCAACGTCTTGAACTTGCAGGCACAATTTGAGTTAAGCTTCTAATACACAGTGATAAGAAACAAGGTTTTAGAGGAAGTGATGTTAATTGCTTTTATGGTTTCTTCTCATATTTAAAATCTCACTCTGCTTTTTGTGTGGTTTGTATTTTTTAGACTGAATCTGGCTATGGATCAGAATCAAGTTTACGCCGCCATGGTTCCATGGTGTCTCTTGTTTCTGGAGCAAGTGGATATTCTGCAACATCCACCTCTTCGTTCAAGGTTAGTGAATAATATTTTCTTAATACGGATGTGTAAAAAAAAAAAAAAAGATGCAAATGAGAAAAGGTTATATTATGTGAAGGTTCACTCACACAATTAGAGGAAAGAGTACCAACTTTTTGGTTTACTGTGTAATTCTGTATGTAATGAAAAACAAATTATACAGGAAGCTTTCACATGCCTCCAAGCAGTTGTCCATTTTAAATTACAGTATCTTCTGATGGCAAAAGAAATCAAACCTGTTAGGAGAATTTAGCCTTTCCCAGTGTACTCCTGAGCATACAAGGGCTTCTAAATTAAAGGATGATATGCTGGTTCTGTGATTTAACAGGTTTGATTATTAATACCAATTGACAAATTACTTTTCCAGTTTCTGGAGTCTCAAATAGAAATGTTAAACATTTTAGTAAGTGTTGCTTCTTGTAGGAGCAGAAGAGGAGCAACACTAGAAAGGTGTGCCTAGATCAGTACAATAACCAGAGCTATTTTCAGGCAAATAGCTGCAAACTTGGGATTAAGCAAAGCTGTTGTTAGTAAGCTTTTTCAAATGCTCTGAAGTAGCAAGTGCAACAGAGAGGAAAAACTGAGACCAGTGAAATGAGGAAGGAAGGCTTGTATATAGTTTCTTATAATCACGTTCTTTGAACATTAACAATATTTCTTAGCAGTTGATATCCGAAAGGTCATCAGTTGTACCTGAAAGATTTGTTCTGGCTGCAGAAATACTTTTTTTTCCTTGAACTACTGTAGAATATTTAGAAGCATTTGAAGTGTTTTTCTCTTGTATTTTCAGAAGGGCCATAGCTTACGTGAGAAGCTTGCAGAAATGGAAACCTTTAGAGACATCTTGTGTAGACAAGTTGATACTTTACAGAAATATTTTGATGCTTGTGCAGATGCAGTTTCCAAAGATGAACTCCAGAGGGATAAAGGTAAAGTTGTTACTGGAAACACTGACCTCCTTAAAATCTAAATTTCTATATGATAAGGAATGTTTCTGTGTAATTAATTTCAACTACTTGCACTGCAGTAGTTGGATTCCTTTATAAAACTGCTTAACTTTGTTCTTAACCTGTAGCTGAAATCTCACTGAAAAAAAAGATCTTTTAAGCACTTGATGTTATACAACAATATTTTTTTTACCCTTATAAGATGTAATCAAGTTAATTTACAGCTGCATTTCTTACCATTATTTTGGAAAAAACATTTGAGTATTAGTTTGATAGGAAAGGTATGTTCTTACATTACATAAAAGCAAAGCTGTTGCCATATTGTGCTCTTCAGAGGTGTATTGGCTGAGGGTAGAATACTGTACAACTTGAGTGTGCACTTGCAGTAGTAGACCCAGATGAGGATATTTACTCACTTTTTTGCAAATTTGCTAGAGTAGAAGAGCTGAATTGTGATTCCTTTGTGTAGTCAGTTATAAAAGAACCTTCCTTTGGACACTGACCAAGAATCTCATAATTATTCCTCATAGTAATGTTGTAATTCTGATGGAGATTAAAAAAAAGAAGGCAGGAGGATCATGACTTTTTGTTTTTATTTTAGGAAAAATATCTTGTGCTTAGCTGTGAAAGTGCTCCTAGTTTGTTCGTACACACCAAAGAATTAGAGCAGCTTTCTTTCTTCCCTAATATATTATCTTTCTCTCCCTAATTCAGTGGTAGAAGATGATGAAGATGATTTCCCTACAGTGCGTTCTGATGGGGATTTTTTACATAACAGTAACAGCAGTAGGGAAAAATGTAAGTATGTCTGAACTTCAGAAAATTCACTTGAATAGTATGATAAGCCTTATATGACTGATATTCGTGCTTTTGTCTGAGAGGAAAGCTGTAGGAATGGTATTTCAAATTTGTTACAGGAAATTCTTGTTCATTTTAAAATTGTTAGATGTTTTTCATGATTGTCTTGAGTTAAGCTTAACTTAATACACACAGATATTAATGGAAGCTTGTCAAGCTGATAATTCCTATTGTGTTCAAAGTCAGTTTTACGAAATTCTGCTGGAACAGCTGTGTTGTTAAAATATTGGGAACTGAGAGTTGTAATAGATAATTATTCTTTGTTCTTGTTACTGTTGTCAACTTGTATGTTTTTTTCAACTACTGTGGCTGCATTATGACTAGGTCAGTGTTGTTACTCCTCATAATTTCACCACTTTTTAACCGTATTTTTCAATGATATGATGAACAAAATCTTTTTCTTTTTTAATTCTTAGCTTAAAAGATCTAATTATAGTCATCTTTCTCTTGAAAGTGAATGTGAAACTCATGCAGGTCTTCCTTTTTGAAAAATCTTCATACAGCTGGCCTGCCAGAAATTGTATATGTGCTCAGAAAACTCTTTGCTTTCTTTGTATACTTTCTCTTGTTTCTTGACTGAAATTACTTCAGTGTTTGTTCACTAGATGCTGACAGTTTAGGTATTTACTAGGTCTTGGTTCAAAGTTTTTAAATTATGCTAACTCTTTCAAAACAGGTGGAATCTTTAAAACACTTTCATAAAGGAACTGAAAATGGAATGCACTTTAAACATAGTTCCAGAATTAATAATATGAACTGATTTTTCAGTGATATAAAATGCTTCCCCTGCTAAGGATTAATTATGTGCTGGCGTCAGAGGTTAAGTAGAGTATAACTTTGAAATTCTTGAATAAATCTGTTGTGCTTTTTGTCAGTACATATAACCAATATTGACCTGTAAGCAAGTCTAGCAGTTTCATCAACCCTATATAGTCTACATTTTTGAGGACTTCTAAATCACTAGAACAAATTCCAGAAAAAATGAGAAGTTTTTTTAAACATTAGTGAGTACTAATTACATGGCATGATTCATTTTAAAAGAGGTATCTGTCAGACTTTTTGTAAGATGGTGTAGGAGTTTCAGCTTCATTTACCTTTAGAACATTTTTTCATATCTGTATTACTCTGCTATATATCCTATATATACTCACCTAATATGTAAAATTTCATTTGGAAAGTATATATTTTTGGTGCATCAGATCATGTTACAAACTTTAATAGGAAAGTGATGTCCTTTCTTTTTATCATTGTTTAAGTGGAATTTGAAGTAATGTATCTATATTCATCTTGGAAAAAAAAATCTTTATCAAATATTCAGGAATTTCTCTGCTAAGGAATTGTTGAGTATCCTGGGTGGATACCTTTACATACAAACTCATTTACTATAGGTCACTATTTCTGCAACCTTTTGCTTTTTGCAGAACTTCTAGTTACAGTTTTTATGATTCTTGTTTCTGTTAAAATACTTTCCATCAATTCTGTTAACAACTGATTTTCATTCTATTTTTTTCAAATAGGATGTTTGTTTTATAAGGAGTAAATGCATAAAAAATTCCATGCTGTCTTAGAATATCCTGGGTTGAAAGGGACCCACAGGGATCAAGTCCAACTTCTGTCTTCACAGAGGATCCTAGTATCTTGTGCTCAAACCATTATATTTATAATTTGTTTAAGGAACTGTGTTCTCATTGTCTTTTGAAATTTCCATTCTGCACAGTTCCTGAGTAGAGAGGAGAAAGTTAGCATGACTGTAGAGATTCATATACTGCTAATGAAGATACCATGTTTGGACAGGGAAGTTTTTTTTGTTTCCTAGGAACCTTCAATGAAGAGTTAAAGTGCGATGCAGGTATTCAAATTCATCATTTTCCAGTTGGAAAATCTGGTAACTGAAACAGTGGTCATTAGTATCAAGGCACCAAGGGATTGCCTGACTGATGTGTGTTTACCAGTTGGAATCTTGTAGTCTAGGAATGTGAGAGTCTTGACTGAGAAGTGTTCCCATCTATCTGCTTGGGAAAATGAGTGAATTTGGGCTTAATTTAAATAAGAGTGGGTGAAACCTATTGTGGGATCCTCTTTAAAGACAGAAGATAGAACTACATAGATGAAGGAAATAGCCTGTATAAAATACAGTGGGACTTGTGGTGAATTTTTGTTCTTCAAATGTAAGAAGAATATTCACCCGCATTGCTGAAATAATAAGGTTATTCTTACAGGAAAACTAATCCTATTAATCCTACTGTCATCCACAAAAGATCAACAATAGGTTTCACTTAATAAGTGGGTAATACTCCCACCCATTTCTTTTTCATGTAGAATTAGTATAGAGGTATAAGTTGCAGAAGTGGAATAAAATGGAAGAGAAAAAGTAACTTTGTTTTTTACTTACTGCCTTCTAAAAATCTTCCATTTCACTGGAAAATGGATTTCACTAAACAAGTTATGTTTTAGACTTCTGGGGAAGGGTTGAAAACCATATCTTAGGAACAAAATGTAAAAACTCATCCTAATAGAGTAGAGGTGCAGAACAGCTAAAGAGCATGGTATTTAAAAAAAAAAAAACATTATAAAGAAAGGAATCCCTTGACTAAAATGTTGAAGTTGAATTTAAAGTAGGCAAAATTTCATTGCAATGCTTTTTTCAGTTGACTGCAGCTTGATTAGAAAGCTAGGAGAGCAGCTCCAATAAGAAAACTTCTAATATTGTCCTTGAACTTGAGCCTGTAGATGTCCCGATGGAAGATTTCAGCTTGAAACACTAGATCCTGTAGTTGATGTAGAAAAGAAGTGTAGAGAAGAAATTAGAAAGATGTTCTGCTTCTCCAGATAGAAAATCTGACAAATATTGTTAATATTCTGAAGCTTAACTGTTTCTGAGCTGGGGCTTGTGGTCATCTTCAGACATGTTTTGGGAAGAAAAATGTCTCCTGAGGAGTACCCCCATACACAATAAAGAATCTCTTGAGTGATCTCTCCTCAAAGAAATAAGCTTTGCAGCATTTTTTGCAGATCCTCTCCTCAAAGAAATAAGCATCTGCAGGTTCATTTTTGTCCAGATTTCAGACAGCTTACATATCACTGCTGCTTTGACACTAGTCACTGAATGGGTTATTTTATTATATATATATATATTATTCTCTCTCTATATATAATATATATTAAAATGCATTGTATCCAAAACCATATCAAAGTATTAATGAGTTGTAGCTGAGATTCAATGAAAGCTGACTTTTTTCGAGAAATGAGTCTGTTGCTGCATTACCCTAACAAACTGCAGCAGAGATTTGTGAAATGAATTTTCTACGTTGCAGCTGGTGGATGTTTCTTCAGCAGTATTATGTTTAGCAGTATTATGTACTGAAGAAAAAAGCAGGTCTATAAAGCAGCACAGCTCTGCTGGTAAGCCTGCAGGTGAACATGCTGTACACAAGCAGAACAAATTAGTGGTATTACAGTTCTCAAAGAAAAATGCAGTTTTTATGTGAAGCTGTTGTTTAATTTTCATTATTCGCAGTGAATCCACTGCACTGCCTCTTTGCCAGCTTATACCACTTTCAGTCTCGGCCTCCTCCGTGTTCCCTCTGCAGCTGTTAGGGGGAGGGAGATCTCGTTCGCTTGTTATTATTTCTGAAACAATTTTTTTCTTTTTTTTCCAGCCCCCTATCGTCTTCATCTGTTAGGGAGTATTCTTCATTAATGTGGAATAAAAAAATAAGCTGTGTTTTACCATACCATGTATGCTTATTGGGGAATTTGAAGAACTGTATGGTCTGTAATCATGTATTTGAAATAAAAATAGCTTGATTGCTTGTGAAAGAAGAGCATATAAAGCTTCTGGAGACTTGCACCATTGCTTAAGACCATGTGATGTTTGCTTTCTGTTCCCCAAGTATTCTACTATCAGAGGACAGCAATTGCATTTCTCTTCCTTGTAAGAACAGAGCTTCTTGAAAGTTTTGCTTTGCCCATGCAGGCAGTTATTGGATAAACTTAACATAAATATTTATTTCAGCTTTTTAAACCGTAACTGTGGCATGCTGACAAACCAAAGAAAAATTAAATAAAAATGCATTATCCAGCTGGGTGACAAGTCACTAGCTTTAACCATGGCATAGCAGGAAGTACTTGAGCTTGCCAAGCTCAGTCTTCAACAGGGGTTTACTTCTGCTTGCTAATACTTTATGGCATTAATGTGTGGTATTTGATTTGTTATTCTGTCAACCTATATGTAAGTGTGACATATAATAGGTATTTTTTTGTCACGCATTTTAAGTGATTTAAATAGCCTTAGCAACAGATGGCTTGGTTGACAGCATGAAGTAGTTGTTGGAATTGCAAAACCCACAATACTTGGATAATTCCACAAATTTGATACTTTTATATATATCATACGTTTTTACTTTGTGGATTTAAAATCTAAAATTGCCAGCTTAGAGCAACTTTGCATATGACATTTTGGCTTTGATTGAATTTTTTAATTTTTCCTTTCTTAGTATTGAATTAGGTATGTAGAGGTTTCTCTGTTTTAGGCCTCACTTAAAGCTCTCAAACTGCTATTGTTACGAAGTATTACCACTCCCTCCACCTACATGATATGCAGAGCACAGAGTAATACAGCATTACAAGCTGACTGGAAATAGCGTATAGCAAGATGAAGCTGAAGGGATACATTCTTCCTTCTGAATCTCTTTTCTTATCCTGTGGATAGCTGCAGATAATTAGCACATTTTGATTTGTGTTTCGAAATCAACTTTCTAGGCAGTATATTGGAACAATTGTAATATAAACCATGCTTTTAAGATGCTCACTTGGATTAAATGCAGCTGTCAGTAAATGGTTTATGTTTGTTTTCAGTATTTCCACACGTGACACCCAAAGGAATTAATGGCATAGACTTTAAAGGAGAAGCTATAACATTCAAGGCAACTACTGCTGGAATCCTTGCTACACTATCTCACTGCATTGAACTCATGGTAAAACGTGAAGAAAGCTGGCAAAAAAGGCTAGATAAGGTAAGGTTGTTTTCCTTCCACTTTGTTTTACAAAAAAAAAGTTTATTCAGCTTGAAATTTCAACACCTGTTTTTCACCTTCTTAGTCCAGGCATTATTTGTATTTTTATTTACAACACTTACTAATTTTAGGTGTTTTCATTATTTATTAGTCCTACAAAATGTTAAAGCCTCATCTTGACTGTTGCTGATATAGTAGCATTCATCAGACTTCCTTTTTGCAGCCCATGTTCAACTAGGATTCCTATATTATTCTTTAAAATCCAAAGAGGACCTGACAGCATTAATATAATACGTTATTGCTTCAGCCTTCTAAAGGAGATCTGAATATCCATGCTGTATCCAGAATGATGTGCAAATCCAAAATGCTTAATTGTAAAATGGTAACAGTACTGAGAACAACCTATTCTTTAAGGGTTTAACTCTTTAAAGGGATCATCATTTATTTCACTTTTAAGAGAGGAGTAGAAAACATGACTTAAACTAGTTGATTAATTTTTTTAGTTAGTGGTGTTATCTGTTTTTCTGATGACAATAATAGTTCGCACTAATCCTGTGCAACCACTATAGCAACTCAAAATGCACAATGTCTTCTTCAGATGAGATGTGTTGGAAGCGTGTCTGGGATGTATTTCAGGCTTTGTCTTCTACAATCTTGCCAGCCTGCCGTTATTGCCTGGTGTTCTGTGCCATTGTTGTTTCTTGTTTTTTAATTTAGCATGTTCACATATGGCATATATCACATCAAATCTTACTTTATATATTTTAGTGGTACATGATTCAAATAATAAAGGCATTCTGATAAAATATATCTGCATTTTAGACCTTACACCTGTCTCTAGCTGTTCTTTGTCTGTATGTCAAAGGTCTGGGCTTATCTTGCTGTTTTGATACTTCAGACAATGCTTAATTTGGTACTGATTCATCTAAGTAGTTGGTGGAATTGTAGCAGATCCAAGACTTGAAATTCATTAGTGGGATCACAGAATAACTCAGATTGGAAGAGACTTTCGTAGATCTCTAGTCTAATCTCCTGCCGAAGGCAAGGAGAGTTTGAAATTAGACTGGGGTGGTCAGGACTTTATTACATCTGGTTTCAAGTCTTCAAAGATGGAGACTGCACAACTTTCTGTTCTATACACCTGTCGTTACAGAGAAATTTACAATGCTATAGTGAAAGTCTTTGTCTATATCCAATCAGAAATATTTCAGTATCTACTCTTTTTTTCATCCTTGTACCAGAGTCTGGATCTGTTTTCTTGGTATCTCCTTAGTGGTCCACTGACAAGAACTTTTTTTCTCTTGACTGAGCAGACAGACTTCATCAGAATTTTCTTAGAGCATGGATGAAATGAATTTCTCTTGTCCAAAGTTTCGTGTATTTTAATATGGAATAATATGTTAATATAGAAGATAGTTTAGATCAGTTATTAGTCATGAGACTAATTTGAAAACACTTTTTTAGCTGCAAATGGTTAACAAAACTGAATTTCCCTTTAGTTCTCATGTTACTGGTATGCCATGTGAAGATTACCTCATATATCATGAGTAAAAACATTTTAAAGGGGATCATGATCTTGTTTGAACTTGGTTTTCCAGAAATTAAATAGGAAACACTTCTCAAAACTTGCTTGGAGATTTTAAGATTCTTTGCTTTAGTAAGCTTGTTGGCCCTCAGTAGTGTGGGAATAATGGGAAATATGGTCTAGAGTAGAGTCATTCATGGACCACTGTTCCTGTCAGGAATGATCTGCACCAGTGTGGGCTTTCCATAGGCCACAGTTTTTTAAGCTAACATCTGTCTGCTCCAGTGTGTGGGGATCCTCTATGGGCTACAGTATGGATATGTGTTCTGCCATCAAGCACCACCTCCCACTCTGGCCTTGACATTCCCTCTGCTGCTTCTTTTTGTTCCCTCCTCCTCTCCCCCAGTGTGGGTTTTTGTTTGTTTGTTTTGTGGTTTTTTTGTGGTTTTTTTTTCAGAAATGTCACTTACGTGTGACACTTCTGCATCCTGCAGTGAATCTTTGGAGCTGTCTGGACTTGGTAGTATCTGACATGAGCCCTGACTTCCTCCCAGAGGGTCCCCTGCATCCTCTCTAATAAAAATGTCTTTATATCTACACATAGATACACATATTGCCTTTCCACTACGTTGCTTTACTGGCTCAACATAGTTTGTAGAAGTCTTCTACAGCTATGGATCTGATTTAAAAGCATTGCAATATCATCAGATGAATGTCTTCTGAGATGGAAGTAAATATTGTGAGATAATGAAGTTCAGCCTACTTTCTCTTATACTTTAAAGGAGAAAATTTGCAGAGGAAATGCTAGGCTTAATTTGATTCCAGCATCACTACATCTTTATTCAAAATATGTAATGTAGATATAATTAGTGGCTTTAATAGAGTCATACACCTATTACGAGAGAATGATGGTGAGTTGTTATTCTCTGCTTGGAATTCATGAAATGACTCACTTGAATCCTATGCCAACTAACTACAGATAGAAGCTTACATGCAGTGACTCATTAGCATCTCACTGTATTCAACGAGTTAGCATTTTACCAGTTTACCCTTCATCCTTTGTCATGACTGCCCGAGCAATGGTGTTGAGCAGTTCAAACAGTCACTTAGCAGGTCTGACCCTCAGTGAACCATTTATAGTTATATTTAAACTAGATTTCGATTTTTGGTCGCTGATCTAGTAATTTCTTGCACGTCTTATTAAAAAAGAAAAAAAATAAGTGCATCAGTCTTGTTTGTGTCCCTGGTCACTAAATCACCTTTCCTATTCAGCTTTACTTGCTCACACTTTCTTTGCTACATGCATTCTTTTGCACACACTCTTCTTTGTTGTTGGACTTGATGATCTGAATTCAAGGTCTTTTCCTTGAGCAATTCTATGATTCTGTGGGAAGGGGCTCCTCGAGGTAGTTAACTTCCCAAATTTTGTTTGAGTATATATGAATGCACACTGTGTGCGCCTGTAAATAAAATGAGAAAATTGATGGCTCTGGAAATCTTGTAAAAAAAAAAAAAAAAAAAAAAGCTAAGCTATACTGATCGTTCTGTTTATTGGCATATGTATTGCTATCAGCTATTTCATTCCTTCAGCATCAAAAGATCATGTCATTTTGCAGGAGGTAGAAAAAAGGAGAAGAACAGAAGAAGCATATAAAAATGCTGTAACAGAACTGAAGAAAAAGTCCCACTTTGGAGGGCCAGACTACGAGGTACATTTCTGCTTTACATTTTTTTTAAAGCCAGGAGTTTGAAAGCTTATTTATTAAATGATTGTATGTGTAAATCAATCTAATTTGCTTGTGCAAGAGTGTTCATGCCACCTCAGTTTTTCCAACTTGAAAACTGCATGACAGATTTCTATCCTTTTTTTAAATGAAATTCAATCTTAATCTTCATTTTTTTTTTTAAGAACCTGACTTCACAAGCGTTAATCAAATGCTCATTTTTGCTTAAAAATCAAAACTTGAGAAATAGTAATGATATGGGATACTTAATAGACATTTGAACACTGCTGCTTCTCTCAGGTATCCATTTTAGTTTTTTGAGATTTGGCAGATTTTACTGTACAATAACAACACTAAGCCTAGTTTTCTTAAATTACTATTTTAAGTCTTAAACTTGAGTTTTCAGTACTCAGTTCTACCTGCTTCTTTATGTTAAGTTGTTCATTCCAAGAATTCTCAAGTAAATGATCCCCACTATTTTTTGTCTTATATTTTTATCTGGAGCACTGGAATACTCAGAAGTAGTCTAATTGTGCAATTATGTTAATATGTTTACTTTTCTGACACTTTGTAAGCATTTTTAAAGAGGAAATGTATGTTATTTAAAGCTTAAATCTGATGTCAAAGTATGTTGACAGTTCCTCAGTTTCCTGGTTTTTTTGCCTTGTTTACATAACTACCTCCTATGTTATAGTTAGAGGCAGTAACTCTCTTTAACAAGTAGTGTTTTCAGATGAATTGTAGTCTAAGAATATTTGTAAAAATATGGAATATTTGTATGATATGGAAGAATTTCATTCTGTCAGTTACATACATAATACATACAGATACGTCTAAAATTAAATTAAGTGGAGCTCTCATGTCTCCGAAGTTTTAAACTAGTTCTTGTTTCTTATACTCTAGGAGGGCCCTAATAGTCTGATTAATGAAGAAGAATTCTTTGATGCTGTTGAAGCTGCTCTTGATAGACAGGATAAAATGGAGGAACAGGTACTGATGCTTGAAAAATGTGTTAATGATGGGTGCTTCATGGGAAGCTTCAATGACCTATAGTCATTCCTTGGGTGCATCTCCTGGCAATTTAAAGTAGAATTCAATTCTTGGTATTTGTAAAGTTAATTACTGTTGTTTAACACTAATTTTGAGAAGCTGATTTCACAGTTTATGTGGATTACAGTGCAAATGTTAACCTAATTGAATCTCTTGTTTCTGATTCTAATGTATCTTAAAATTCTGTATAAAACTTATTTGTAACAGGTACATGTGCAAATAGGAATACCAAACACTGCAGGTATTTGTCAAAACATCATTACTGCCCTGAAGTTTATTTTGCTAATAACAGGGGCAAAGATCAAATAGGGATAACATGCATTTAGTGTAAGGGTTGCTTTGAAAGTAATGCCTCCTATTTATTTCCATGGAAACTATAACAAATACAAAGAGCACAATAATACTATTTGGGAGAGCAAATTTTCAGCTACAAAACATTATTTTTCAGCATGGTCGCCACCATTAGCTATGTGTTTTTGCCAGTGATGAACAACAGCCTGCATGCTGCTCTGGTAAAAAGAAAAAAAAAAAAATCTGTGCCAGTGGAGATGACCTACTGTTTCACAACTGCTGTGGTGGTATCGTGCCAGGAAAATGTTGCCTGTGCAGACTGTCTTTCAGCAGCCCAAACAAATGGAAGCAAAAAAACATAAAGCCAGACTACAGTGGTAGGACAGTCTAGCCAAGATGGACAGTGTGCTCCTTGGTCCCCAGACTGGTATATGGGGCCTGGTGTTACTGTGTTACAAGAGAAAGGTGTTTTTTTCCTCTGTCCTTACTCTGGAAGTTTGAACTTCAGCTTAGGAAGTGTTGCAGTGTAGCAGTCAGAGTCGATGGTTTGTCTGAATAGGAAATAAAGAAGAATCACTCCTTTTCTGTCCCAAAAGACAGTGCATATCACTTTACCCATAAGGGCTGCATCTTGAACTTAATTTTTCCCCATGGGAAATTCAGGTGTTGCCACTGCCCAAACTGCTGTTTTACTCCATCTGGAAGGGATACTGTATCTTGTCACTAGTAGTGGTGCAATCCAGGAAATTGCCACTTCCAGCCTCATATTGTTTCAGTAGGTCCTGACAAACTTGAATACAGTGTTCTGTTCTTGTGTGAGCATTGTGACCCACCTGGTACAAACTTTGCAATGTTCCAACATTGCCACCATGTATTACCAACACAATGAAGGTGATACTCAGCTCCAGGCAAGGTTTCTTGATCATAATCTGCCAATGCACAGATGAACTGATCAAGCTGATCTTCATTTTGTGATGTGACAGCTGTGCATGGCAGTCTAGAGCATAGCTTGTCTTAAATGTCAGTGTCACTGTTGCCACTGCACCATCCACCACCTGACTGTGCTCACATCCACTGTTCGGTCTCCTCAAACATTCAGCAAGCATCAATGAATGTGTCAGTGGGTGCAGTTTTTTTCTCGTAGAGGAATTCAGTGACACACCTTTGCTTGTCAGTCTGCCCCTCTGCTGCCATCTGTGGAAGAGCAACAAAATTGTAACAGAGTATTGGCAGGAGGGATCAACCATTACTGCCATACCATCAACACCCGCCTCTCACATCGTGGGCCAACATCATAAAACAGAAGCATTACTTTTTAGCAGCCTTTGTGTACAGAATATGAGAACATAAAGTGGTGTATAAAATGAGAGGGAATAACCATGTGGAGTATCCTTTGTCTTAGAATTATTAAGTTTCATAATGACTTGGTTAAGAACTCTAAGATTTCCTGGTGGATATGCAGTACCCAACATAGTCTACATGTGCTGGAGTCTCTTAGTGGATACTAAAAATTTTGAGTGATTATTACTGCTAAATTGATGCAGCAGCCTTAGTGGTACCAATTAATTTTCCTTAATCCAGAAACACACCTGGAAGTATAGATGAAGTGAATGAATATTTCATTCACCTAAAAGACCATCAGGATGCCAACTTAAGGCCTGTCAGGGGTGGCATTAGTTCTTGTTTTAATGCAGTAGCCATTACATAGACTGAGGATGACTCAGCTCTTTAATAGTACACTTAGTAGCAACTAACTACCAGTAATTAAGCCTATTTTGTTGCAGTCTCAAAGTGAAAAAGTCAGATTGCACTGGCCAACGTCCTTACCTTCTGGAGATGCATATTCTGCTGTGGGGAGTCATCGATTTGTCCAAAAGGTAAAATATTTCCCACAATTTCCGCAGAATATTGGGTGATATATGATGTTTCTATACAATTGGTATGGGTAGGCAAGATTGATTTTCTGTTTGTAAGTGTTTCTAGTAACTTTTCATGGTTTATTCATATTCAGTTAAAGTAGTTGGACTTGGAGGAAGACTCTTTTCTCTTGGCTCAAAAAACACTGTTCTGAGTGTTTGTTTAGAATATTCTTGACTTCTTTCAAGATTATCAGTGATAGTAAAGGAGACAGACGAACTATCAACCTCAGTTTTTAAGATTTCTTCACCAAAATTGATTGAATTAGTTAAAATTTTGTAAAAGTCACTTGGATCAGGATCAGTGGACTTTCATTTTAATGTTACTGGAAACACTGCTCCTCTCACGGCTACACTGGGAGCATAATACATAATAGGTGCATGAAATCAGCATTTGCTGCTGTGCTTGCTGCTTATGGTGCTTTTGTTTTCCTTTTCTTCATTATCTTGTGCTTGCAAGTTGGTACTGAATGCTCTGTTGTGCCTTTGTTCTGATTACTTGGTTTTTTCTTTGTCTGTCTCTGGTAGCCCTATAGTCGCTCTTCCTCCATGTCTTCCATTGATCTAGTCAGTGCCTCTGATGATGTTCACAGATTCAGCGCCCAGGTACTGTATTTATGTGTAGAGTGGGGGTTACATATCTTTGCTATATTTCATCTTCTCTAGAACCTGCATTTTTGTTACATGAATCACTGCTTGCTTTAAACTAGTACATTGAGACAAACAAAGGAGTTCTCTATTAGTAGACTAAATGGTTGTCTTTTTACATTCTGCTTGCATGCATATCACTCCTGCAGAGGCCCAACCCTTGTGAAACTGTTGGATTGATTTCGGTAGCTTTAATAAAAATGCACAGAACCTGAACTTTCTGTATTTCTGATTTTTGTGACATTAGAATAACACCTGTTTTGTGTGGGACGGAGATGGTCTTTGCTTCAAATTAATTTTCTTCTTTTTAAAATAAAGATGTAATTTTTTTTAACACTTGTCACTTGTAGTGACGTTAAGATGGTAATACTGATCTTTAATATTCACTGTTTTTGACCTCTACAACTAGATGTATAACTGAAATGTTATAAAATATGCTGTTAGTAAGGTTGTGGATATGAATAGTTCTTTAATGAAAGCTTTCAATATATTCACTGATTCTTCAGAAAGTAACTCTGATTTCCTGAATATGTAAATGTAAAGTGGTGTACACTAGTAATGTACAAAATTGCTTCAGGTGCTTGCTCTGAAGGACCTGAAGTACATAGTTTAAAGTTGGGTTAACTAAGTGATGTCATGTTTGAACATCATTTCTTTGAGACTAGAGAGCAAGACATGACATTCATGCTGCTATTTTCTTCTACTGCAAGCCTTTATCTTACTGTAAACCAGAGCAGGAATTCTTTCTAGGATATGTTACTTTATCTTTTTTTTTTAATCATTGTTTAATATTGCAAACAAGCTGTTTTTTTCAAAATAGAAGGAATGGATTTTCTTTTGATTAACAAAGCCCAGAATCATGCCACCTGCAGAAAGTACTGCAGGCTTTGCAAGCACTAATTTTATTATGTCATAAGCCTGTGTGACACAGTATAACAAAAATAATATTGATAACATTAACCCAGACCCAGGTGTGATCAATGGCAAAAGAGGGAGCATAGATAGCAAGTAAGGCTCTACACAACAGAACTCTGAGAACATGCATGACAGTGCTTATAATAAATTTGTTTTGAGATACTCCGGCCAAATCTGTTATTTCAACCCTTCTGGCCACCCACGTTGGGTGGTGGTTGTTGTTTAACCCATCAGGCAGTTCAGTGCCACACAGCTATTCATTCATTCCCCACAGGTGGGTAGGGGGAGAGACTTGGAAAAAAGGTAGAACTTTTTGGTTGAAAGAAAGACAGTTTAATAGGACATTTTTGTCTTTTATACCAGCAATAACAGTCGTGCATCCATGCAGTAAACCTCTGTAGCAGAGATTTAATATGATGGAAAAATAAATCATTTAAAAACAAATCTGAGGCTGACCAGGTCTGTTCAAAATAACACAAATTAAAAATGATAGCTAGATGGATTTGCATTTGTGGCTGCTGCATGGATTTTACTAAGCAGAAGTTATCATCCAGTATGTTAGGATGTGGCATTAAGTTAACTAGCTTACTGCAGAAAGGATGATCTTACTAGTTTACAAAAATCTGCCCCCCCGTTAATTACCTCAGTATCTTTTCCCTGGAAAAAATTTCTACCAGACTAACAAATCAGTCCATCTTCTCTGGAGTTTCACTGCTAGCAAGAAAACAGATGAAAGACAATGAAGAGAAAAGCAGCACGCCATCTTCTCTTGACAACCTGCCCTGGGCTTTATTGACATAAAATTGGCCTCCGTTCCCTCTCTGGAGACTTGGTTTTTGGACAGACGTGTTTCTCTGATCTTAAGCACATTTTCTAAGAAATACACTGTACAAATAAAATTACTGCTTTAAATTAAAAATAAATATCATATTTCTGTTCATATGTGTTCTGAACACATAAGGAAAAGATGAAGTATTCTTTCATTTTGCTTTTCTACTTTTTCACTAATTACTGCAATTGTTTCATATGTTATGAAGCCTGGTGTGCTTATAAAATAGTCTTGTAAGCAGTGCAGAAACTACTGCTGATGCTTCAGTTTTATTCTTAAACTACTCTGGTCAGTTAAATAATGGTTAGGTGTAGTGCTTTTCTGTTTAAAAAAAAGAAAACATAGTAATTCACGTTAACAGTGTCAGTCAGGTGGTATTGCTTGCTGTGACAGATTTTAGTGGTCACCTCTTGTTTAGGTGAAGCTTAGTAGATTGTTTACAATATTTGTAAACATTACTCAGCAGTGTATACTGTATTTTTGCTTCTATTTTTATTTGGAAGGGTATAATTTTCTGTCCCTGTCCTATTACAAAAAGCATTGTAGAATGAAACTGCAAACGGAAAATAATGCAAATAAAAAGGCATTTCCTGTTAAGTCGCCCACTGTCATTTGCGCTAAGCAGAATTTTTAACAAATGAGGTATTTCCATAGCTGGATTAAAATGTATCAAATATCTGAACTTTCAGGAAAGCACACAACTGTCTAGTTTTAAATGAATGTTTTTTAATAGATAAGTCTCTGCATCATCTAATTTTTTGAATGTAAGCAGTTCTGTCTTTTTCCTGATTTGTAATTGTGCAGAGGTTCCGGTGGAGCAGAGCAGGCATGTTTTTCTGATAACGGAGAATCGCAGTTGATCTGTGTTCCTGTGTTGGGTTTGCTGGTGTCAAACAACAGCACTTCTGTCCTGCTCTCATCATCCCCACCCCTACACTTTTGTTCGGCTTTTTAAGTGTTCTTTATTGGCTGTTGTCCTACAAGAGTCACTAGGCACTGTAATTCTGCTTAGAGATACCTGAAGTAATTTTGCTGAACTGAAACAGTTTTCAGGTAGAAGTAGGGAGTTTTGACATTTCAGGTATACAGTGGAAGAATGGGAAGTACTCACAAAGAATTAAGTTATACTTTGAATCATTGTTTTGGCTTTTGTTTTTGAAGCCTGGAAGTATCTGTATCTTAAGTACAGTATCTTAAGCTTGGATGGAGAACTGTTGTCCCAGTTCAGCACCACACAGGAATGATGTATTGACATGTGGCTTCCAGTATTGTACAAATGCCTGTCCAAGAGGATGAAAAAAATGTAAAATGTGTATTTTTTCTGCTTTAAAGGTGGAAGAGATGGTACAAAACCATATGACTTATTCCTTACAAGATGTAGGAGGAGATGCCAATTGGCAGCTAGTGGTTGAAGAAGGAGAAATGAAGGTAAACATCTGGTTTATGCTTAACTGATGTCAGACAGATTCTTGTTCTCTTTGAATACTATCACTCAGTAAGTTGTGCTGTTAGAACTTCTGAGAACAGTATTGTTCAAGCTAGAACTAGAGTTCACTAGAGCTGCAACATCCTGTGTAACACCTCGGATAACATGGATTCCTTCCTTCTCTCTTGCTAAAAGCTTGGTGTTGAAATGGCATAAATTCAAACTATGAAGATGTTATATGGTAGCAAGCTGCTGTCAGCTACTTTACTGTGCTTGTGTGAATCCTTATACGTAGTGATAATGTAATTTAGTTCTTTTTATAGTAGGTTCTCAAAATAATGTTACTGTAAAGTGAAGTGTCATTTAAGAATATCTGCATTAGAAGTGACCAGAGAAAACTGTCTTGGCAATTACTCATGCATTAGTATTGCAGCTTTTTAAAAGCTGATGCTCATGTGTAAATTTTCATATTTCAATTTTGACAATTTCTGTCCTACATCTCATTCTTTGTATTTGATCATAGGTATACAGAAGAGAGGTGGAAGAAAATGGCATAGTTTTGGATCCTTTGAAAGCAACGCATGCTGTTAAAGGGGTAACAGGACATGAAGTTTGCCACTACTTCTGGAATGTTGATGTTCGTAATGACTGGGAAAGTAAGGAATCTGTTCTTATATCTTACTTGGTTATTAGTGATCACAGAATTTCCCAGTTTGGAAGGAACCCACAGGGATCAAAGTCCAGCTCCTGGCTCCACACAGGACCACTCAAAATTCAACTCTATGTCTACGAGTGTTGTCCTTGAGCTCTAGCTGGCTTGGTGTTGTGACCAGTGCCCTGGGGAGCCTGTTCCAGTGCTCCAGCACTGGCTACTCTCCTGCCTCTTCTCTCCAGTCTGTATGTATAGCCAAGGTTGCCCCATCCCAAATGCAGAATCTTGTACTTGCTCTTAACAAATTTTATGAGGTCGGTGATTACCCAGCCTTTCAATGTATTGATATTTTCTGCCTTTCTGTACTCAAGGAAGGTGACAGCTCCTCCTTATTTAGTATCATGTGCAAGCTTACTTAGTATGCATTTAAGTCCTGTGTTCAGTTTTTATAAAAGAATTAAAGTGGCCCTAAAGTGGCTCCCACTAGTGCTGTACCACCAGCCTGATGTAATATATTTACTATATCCCTTTGAGTCTGACCCATCAGCCAGTTGCTCACCTAGTGTTTTTATGTACTTTTCTAGCCATATGCTGGACAGTTATCCAGAAGGGTCCTGTGATAAACAGTACCAAAAGCTTTTGCTGAAATCCAAAAAAACCACATCTTTTGGCTTCTCGTTGTCAGCTAGATGGGTAATCTCAACATAAAAGGAGATTAATTTATTTAAAAGGATTTTTCCCTTGTGAACCCTTCTTAAGTATCAGTCGTAACTGTAAACTTTCAAGCATTTTCAACTTGTTTTTCAGCAACTCCCAGAATAATCTTTTCAATGATTTTACCAGGGACTGAAGAGGGACTCACAGGCCTCTAAAATTACCATAGTCTTCCTTATCTTTTTTTTTTAAATCAGTACAACTTTTGCCAGCTTCCAGTCAGTTTGTACCTCTCTACATTCCTAAGTCCACTGAAAAATATTTGAGAGAAGTCTCTAGTGATACTAGCCAGCTCTTTCAGTACTGTGGAATTAATTCCATCAGGCCCTATGGACTCAAATGCAAGTCTGAATCAGCATATCAGCAAGCATACTGTTCATAACATTGACCTAGAATCTGTGCTATTTTACTGATGTTTTTTTTTCTGTTTTTGTAGCAACAATTGAAAATTTCCATGTTGTGGAAAATTTGGCTGATAATGCAATCATCATTTACCAGACACACAAGGTAAGAATTACACTTCACTTCTATACTCATCCTACCAAAACAGTACTCCAGCTTATTTTGAAATACTTCAGTGGCTTAACAAACAAAAATTTTGCTCAAAAAGCAAGTTAGCTGAGATCAAGTTCTCTATGAAACTGCAACTTTGACAACTTTTTGAGCTTGGCTAGATAGCGTAATTGGTTGTGAATGTGTCTGTTTAATATTATCTATAATATCATTTCCAACAAGGCAGTGGTTATCTAATGCAAACCAAAGCAGTAAGTCAACACTGACTACAAGCAAGAAACTCATACCACTTCATCATTTGTCTGTTTGCAGTAATGCATGCTGTTGTTAACTACGATTATTTGACATAAGCATTTGCATTATGACACGGTGCAGTTGCTGGTTAATATGTGGTTCTGTGACTTGGCTATGTTTTTTTCTCCCCAAACAGTTTTGGCGCAACCTCACTAAATGTTTCTTTTGAATTGTAATTCAATAACTGTAACTTAAAAGACTCAAAGAAAATTTGTAACTAGTAGTACATATTAGAATCATATCATAGGATGGCCTGGTGGGTTCAAAAGGACCACAATGATCATCTAGTTTCAAGCCCCCTGCTATGTGCAGGGTCGCCAACCACCAGGCTGCCCAGAGCCACACCCAGCCTGGCCTTGAATGCCTCCAGGGAAGGGGGGCATCCACAACCTCCTTGGACAGCCTGTTCCAATGCATCACCACCCTCTGTGTGAAAAACTTCCTCCCAATATCTAACCTAAACCTCCTCTGTCTCAGTTTAAAACCATTCCGCCTTGTCCTCTCAATAATCGCCCATGTAAACTTAAATCTTATATGATGACAAGTACTGGTATACGACGATACTTGAACGATTAACAGTTACTTAGACAATTTTATTAGTGATGGTATTACATTAAAAATGCCATCACAAGAAGGCTTCAATTTTGTTATGTAAACTGTAGAGTTATAGTAAAAACAACATTTTTGCTTCTATTGAAAGTAGCTTCTGCATAGTTATTTCTTTTATATTTCTACTGGGCACTTCTCTTCTGAAATTCTCTTGGAAACTGTCAGTTTACCACATCGGTCTTGCTGAAGTAGTAGCTCTTAAAAATACTAGATAAAATGTTTGTTTATTTTTCTCTAGCCCTTCATGTTTATGGAGGCCTATATGCATCTTCAGACTTCAGTCGCATGTATTTATACTTAATCACTAGCTCTGCTTGTAGCTTACAAGCAAATCATTGCAGATTGTTTTCCTGCCTTTCGAAGGCCTTTAACTGTTGCCTTGATGCTTTTTTAAGGAAGTGCACCTGATACGCATCTGTACAGTAGCTATGTTTTCTCTGGTTTTGTTTTGAAAACTGCATAAAATTACTAAAATGGAAGCATGGAATCATTTGTGTTTGAAAGGACTTTAAAGACAATCTAGTTCCACACCCCCTGCCATGAGCAGGGGCATGCCTTTCTTGTGCTGAGGGCGCCAAAGCTGAACATAGTACTGCAGGTGGGGCTTCACAAGGGCAGAGCAGAGGGGACAACCACCTCCTTTGCCATGCTAGCCATCCCTCTTTTGATGTAGCCTAGGGTATATTTGGCTTTCTGTACTGCATGTTGCCAACTTATTTTGAGCTTTTCATCCACCATCACTTCCAAGTCCTCCACTTCAGGGCTGCTCTCTATCCATACATCACCCAGACTGTATTCGTGTTTGGGATTGCCCTGATTCAAGTGCTGCACCTTACACTTGACCTTATTGAATCTTATGAGGTTTTTATGGGCCCATTTCTCAAGCTTGGGTCAGATCCATTTGGATGGGATTCCTTCCTTCTGTCTGCACCACCCAGCTTAGTATTATCTTTGAACTTGCTGAGAGTGCAGTTGATCCCACTGCCTGTGTCATTAATAAAGGTATTAAAGAGTACTGAATTAAACCTTTTTTTTTTACTTAGATAACGTCTGACCTTGTTAGCCTTAATTGTTTTGACCTTTTAAGTATAAAAAGTATTTAATTTGTAACATTTTAAAAAGCTTATGATGGGATATTTCTCTGCAGAGAGTGTGGCCAGCTTCTCAAAGGGATGTGCTATATCTGTCTGCCATTAGAAAGATACCAGCATTCAGTGAAAATGATCCTGAAACATGGATTGTGTGCAATTTTTCTGTGGAACATGACAGTGCTCCTGTAAGTTTTGCTTTCGCGCTATCTAGTTCTGCTTTAAGAATTTTTCTTTTCCATCTTTGTACACAATTTTTCTGTTCCGTGGTGTGGTATTGCAGTACAAGTGTAAAGTAGGCTGGGAGTTGAAGGAGGTATGCAAAATACATGTGTTTTTTCTTAAATGAGGTGATGCATTGACCTGTGTGTTCGAAGACAAAAGCTTTTTTGCCTTATCTCAACAAAGTGGTGCAGAAAAATGAAAACAATATATATATATGAAAACATTTTAAAGAGTGGCAATGTGGATATGAGCTTGTGTGGTTTAGATATGGGATCTATCAAACTTCCAATGTACATCGTTCTGCAATAATTGTTGTGTTTGGAATCTTTCTCTCCTCATGTCTATGCCATTGCCTGCTTATAAGGGAAAAGTTGCTGATGTCTGTAGAAGTATCATCCATTTAATACTTTCTTACTAATTTGTTAAAGTTATTGAAATACCTTATGTCTAGTATCCATTAAGCAAATAAATGTGAGATTTAGGCATTTCAGTTCAATACTTTCCTTATTCAATACATACCTTTCCTTTTGTTTGCATTCATAGTACATCACTGTAGTGTTAGAATGCACATTCTTCAAAAAACAGACTTTGGATTGTCTTAAACTTTATAGTAAAAGAAAATGTTAGCAATCAAGTAGGAAGAAATAAGTTTACTTGAAGGCTTACAAATATTTCTTCATTTTCTCTGGTAGCTGAACAATCGCTGTGTCCGTGCCAAAATAAATATTGCTATGATATGTCAGACATTAGTAAGCCCACCAGAGGGGAACAAAGAAATAAGCAGAGACAATATTCTATGCAAGATTACATATGTAGCTAATGGTAAGTCTTCATCTTTTCTACATATTTTTTTGGTGTGACTTTTGAGATATGTGCTAATTCTGGTGAACTAAGTGCTAGCAAGAAAAAAGTCAGTGCAGCTTTCTGTTAAACATGGACAGTGTTTGTGATCTTTGTGTTCAAAAAGATGTAGCAGTCATTGAAGGGGGGGGGTCATCTGCAGGACAGTATCTGCAACTTGGATGGTTTGGCTTTTAGTTTCAGTAATTTTTTTTATTTGTGTTTTGCTGTCATTTTTTCCCCCGATTCATCTTGTTAGGCTAAAAAACTCAGCAGTTAAGATGGTACAAATACATTTTTAATGAGGATGTTTGCAAGATGTATAACTGAGTTACATATTTTTTATGTTTTTTAACTGATAAAATCCCTTGTGTAGACTGTAAATTTATCAAAGCCAAACTGTATTGTTACTGTACCCAGTAGTTAGCAGTGTATTACAGTACTGGGCCTACATACTTATTAGATCATCTCCTGCAGCTATAAAGCACTTTAAGAGTAGCTCACCTGCTCATTATTCTTAACCATCTATTATATGACTTACTAAAAAGGTCTGCAAAATGAGTTCAGTAAATATTTGCAATGTAGGACTTACACAGCTTGTAGTAAATCCTGTACAAATAATGTGATATAATAACCTCTGGGGGAAGGTGATTTTTTTTCCTATTCAAAAGTTTCCTAATTCTTTGTAGTATATACTTCCATGACAAATGCTGAACTCTCATTGTATGGTAAGTGGTAACTTGTTCAGCAGAATTTAAGCACGTTTTGAAGTCCTTCAAAAATCATTTGTAAAACACTGATCGTGTAGCAGTTCTGCAGACAAATTTAGCAGTAACTGGAAAGCTAAGATTGATTTCTGTTTTCTTTGAAATAAGAATTTGATTCTTCCCATTTTTTCTTGGAAGAATATCATCTTCCATTTGGGCAGTACTTAAAGATTCACACCTTATTTTATTATTTTCTAAATAATGCCATCATAGGCGTGGATTGAACATGAATATTAAGAGCTGGAAACAACTACAGCACAGACTATTATGACCTAAAAAATGTTCTGATTATTCATTGTTGTTTCTTTGGAAAAAGTTGCAGGAATACAAACTTACATTCTTATATGCAACTTTTAGAGGATTTTGTGTATTTCAATTCCTTTCTTCCTGTCTTCTCCTAGTCAACCCAGGAGGGTGGGCACCAGCATCCGTGTTACGGGCAGTGGCAAAACGAGAATATCCCAAATTCCTGAAGCGCTTTACATCATATGTGCAAGAGAAAACAGCTGGAAAACCTATTTTATTCTAGTATTAGCAGGTATAGACTCATTTTTAATTTCTTAATTCATTGTTGTAAATGTTTAAGGCCAAACAGAAGCATGCAATCTAGAAATGTATTGATGCTAATTATGATGAAACAACATTTAGTATTAATATGTATATGCAGTATTTTCCAGTCGCATAATCTGTCAGACATAAGCCTTTGTACAAAGCAAGGCTTTGCTTAATTTTCCTTAGTGTGCAGACTGTAAGCCATCAAACTCCAACAACACAGTACTGTTTGAGAGCTCTAGTTTAGAGCAAAATTTGAAAGTGAGTTCTGTGCATGACACAGGCCACATCTGCTGTTAAATTGTTTGTTATGTCAGACTTCAAGTCAACTGATCCTTTTGTTAAAAGGCAATCCTGTAAAATCTGATTCATGTATTTAATTGTGCACTGTTAGAGTGATAGTGTAGGTGAACCTGATGTGTCAAAAACATGTCATGAACCAGTAGTTCAAATGTGAGCATAGCAGTAATATAACTTATGGAGTTTAACAATTTCTTGTTTTCTTATTAGTGTTTATACCTTGGTGTATTTTGTCTTTGCTTGTCTCCAGTGATCAGAACAAGACTGGGTGAGCATTCCACGTTGGAGAAGTGACCATACATAGAGCACTCCATGCTGGAACGAAGGATCTACAGTCTTCTTACAGTCCAAATTCTAGGCTTTGTATACTGAAGTGAAGAAATGTTGCAACACCGTGAGGTTGAATATTTAACACTAGCTCTCTCTCCTGCTAACTTCTCTTGCTGAATCAGTGTGTAATTATAAATACATGTATTGATAACATGTATATGGCTCTATTTTTATTTGCTTACTTTAGAAGAGGAAGAACGTACAACTTTGAATCACCAACGTGGGTTGCTGCTTTAATTTTAAACAACTTGCAGAATTTCACTGTCAGCCTTCCTCAGATAACTGCATAGTTTTTGTGCATGTCTAAAAAGCACAAAAGACAAATGCACATATAGCATACTGTATGTGCTTTATATGCACAAAAATCTGTGGTATTTTGGGGGAGGATGAAGGGAGGAGTTCAGTAAAGCCTAGTGACTTACTGGCAGGTCTTGTTTTGCTTTGTATAATCATAGTTCATTGCTGCTGGTTTCTATAATGAATCATCTTGTTACATAAAATGTCAGTTAATAACTGAGGGCTGTCAATATCCTTATGACTTTGCCTTTTCTATTGTCTTACTCTTATGAAGATATTTATTTCTGAAGGAGTAAGAGTGTGAAAAGCTTTATTTTTTTCCAGATATCTTTATATTTCTATTGTATTTTTTAGTTATGTAATGTGCTACAGAATTTTTGTTATTAAACATGACCCAGAAATTTCTGGAAAGATTCTATATGAAAGGGCAAGAGACTGTCTGAAAGCTAGAAGTCATCTGTCCGTGCTATATGTGGTCTGCTTTCCTGCGTGATATCTAGAGGGCTTTTCTGAGGCTGTGAGAAGGTACACTATAATATTTATTGAAGTAATTTGGACTACATTGGACAACATTCCCGATCCAGAATGAGGATGAGTACATTACTTTCAAATCCTGCATGTGTTTTCCTCATCTTAATAAAGCCATGCTATGAGGTTCATGTAGAAAACTAGTTGCATTGATACCTGGCACTTGATCAAAAACCTGTCAGAACTATGACAATGCATTGATCTTCTTGGAAAGTTCCCTTTAGTTGCTGTGAAAATTTAAATGTCAGATACTTGCCTGCCTTAGATTCTGGGGATGCTCATTGGGAGACAACTCTCACAGACTGGTACTCACTTTGAGTTATTAAATCCACGTCCTGTAGCTGGAAAATATGCAGAGGCTGCTGGGTGTTTCATTGGCCTGTATATCTCAAGAAAAAAAAAGTATCAGATATCTATTTTTCTCAAAAGAAAGGAGAAAGTTGTATTTGATAGAGTATAGTAGGTGCCTGAAAATAAATATAAGAGAGTAACTTAATAAAGATCTGGTGAATGATAAAGGGGATATTCACAGTGTTAGAAAAAAAACATGTTCTTTTATCTGTTCATTTTTTCTATTGAGGTAAAACCATACATAACACATGATTACACATGCACGCGGATTTCATGCTCCATAACTGTACCTTTTTTATTTGCCTTTCTTTAAAAGTGTGCATGGAATATGCCTTATTACAGAACTATTCTGTTAATTTGAATATGTAGAAAAGTGCCTATATGGTAATGCTAGTAAGGCAAACAAGACAAAAATTTATACATGTTTACTATATCACCAGTGAGCATTTTATATAGTAATGTTAAAAAATAATTCTTATACCTCAAATGTACTTCATCTTTTTACAATCAACAAAACAATGATTCATTCACCATAGCTGCTGATGGGAACTTCAAAAGAGAAAAAAAAATGTCCAAAAGAGTGTAATTCCTTATTTGCCATTTCTAGTAATAGTTGTTGAACACAGGTGAGTAACTGTTTAATTTAATTGGATAGCTTTATTTTACAAAGGAATGGAAAGTTTACAAAGCGGTATATAAATCTTTTATCATTAGTTGCATTTGCACTAAATGTGATGTACTTTTGTGATTTATTCTGTAAATAAAATCACACTACAGATACTCTTTGTAAAGAATACACTTTACTTTTAGATAAAGGCACTGGTACTTCACTGCAGTTAGCCCTGCCCAATCAGTGTTGTAAGAGGCTTCTTAAAACTGTGGAAGGAGTTGCAAGATTGAGACATGGGTATTAAAAGACCTCTTAAAAAAAGAAAAAGAAAAAAAAAGCAGCTTTCTTTAGGCCTGTTGGATTGTCTGTGTACAAGTAGCCATCAGAGCCTTTCTTCTAGAAGGAATCTTCCTATTATGGTTTTATAAAAGTTCTCCAGAGCTGAACCCCTTTTCCAGACACTGCCACAAACATGAGCACTCTGTGTTCTTTTCATCCTGTTAATGAATCTGTAGAATTGATATTGCTATGATTTTCTTTGCAGAATTGCAGAAGAAGCCCTTTGCTCTAGGATATGTTTCTATAACTTGAGCCTATATGAAGGGCTGGGGATATATCAGTCTAAGGAAATAGCTTGATAGAACTTCTCATGGGAGCGAGGATAAGCAATAGTCTGTCTGGGAAACTGAACAGCTTACTTTGAGAAACTTAGGTGTGAGAAGTACGGTGCATTTTATGGGCTGAAGGGAAATTACCTTTTAGTTAGTTGGGCTGAGCTGGCTTATCTGAAGTTGTGCAGATTCTCTTTAAACTAATCAGATTGTCCACCTGTATTTTTGTCACATTGTACAGATAACGCTGTATTTGAATTGCCACTGTTCATCTACAGACTCAGAACATGAATCATATTTTTGAGTACCTTGAGTGTGTAGAGTGTAACTGTTATATAATAGCTTTATGATCCTAATGATAAGTTTTAAAAATTAAAAGTTGGCTCTTCTATGTTACAATCACAAATTTAAAACCAGTATTTAAAGTGAAAAGTATTAAAAATTATGAAGAAAACCCCTGGTTTGTAGTTATTTCTAACTTTCAGTGCTTTGAGGAAACTTATTTAAATATTTAATGCTGTAACCAACCTTTGGATTGTATATGAAGTTGTATGCCATACTACAGTGTAGTAATGTAAAACATTTAACAGAAAGCAGCTTGCTTGTGTTACTAGGTTGCTGAAGTGAAAACTGGAATGCCACAAGCTATTGATGTGTGAAAAATCTCATTCTGTACTAGCATATCAGAAGCATGTTAGATGATATTCCTGTACAGTATAGTTTTAATATAGAGTACTTCCAAAGTTGTATTTAAGCTGCTGTGTTCTGTTTGTACAGAAATAACATCAGGAAAGCATGTCTGGGGAGAATGGAGATCCCGGGCTGAGAAATACCAGAAATACAATAAATTTGTGCTTTTTTTTTAAATATGAAGAATTGCTAAGAACTGAGATGAGGTGGTGCAGAGCAGGTTTTCTTAGTAGCAGGAATAACTGCTTCCTAATGGATCAGTAACCATCCCTCCTTTGTTGGTTGTGCGGGGATTTCTGTGTCTTATGCAGTAATCATTTAAGTTGTGGGAACCTTACAGGTAACTTACAGGTAAGCAAGATGAGAAGAACAGCTGAGGTAATAGAATGGCATTACTTGCACAAAAAAAGAAAACTTATCTTAAGCTGAGTTGCATCAGGCCCTGGGTAATATAGTACAACAAATGCAGAGAGTCCTGCTGCAAGCCCTGCCTTCGACTGCAGCTATTTCATCTGGCAAAAAAGAAATCTCTCCCTGTGCTATGCTCCTCTTCCCTTCCGGGAAAAAAGAAAAGCCTTGTAATTAAAAAACACATGCTTTCTTGTATGGGGAGGCTGAGCTCTTCTGTAGCCATCTGAATAGCTGCAATATAATTTGACCCTAGATATTAATAATTACTTACGCCACACAGCTTACCAGTGTGTATGACTCATAGCATTGCTGTTATCTTTACTCTTCAGCAGTAAAAAGCTTCATACGAAGAGAAAACCATGTTTCAGTAGATAAACAGGAAGGGATGCACTTCAGAGCATTATGTGCCTGATGGTGTACATTTTTCTTAAGTTGTAACCACTGATGCAGCAAGGTTTTTCTTCTGCACAGCTGCCTCTGGTGTGTTAGAATAAGGAAGACTAGATGAATTGCTGCAATTTTAAGTTTAAACTAATTCTCTTAAAATGAACTTTTGAGGAGGACAAAGAAATAGTTGGACCATGCAATAGTTGGGCCTATGTTGTCTAAAACATAAGAACTTCTCTTTAACTTGGACCTTTTAATTCTGCTTTTGTTTGAGGTGGTCTGCCTGAATTTCCATGTGAGATTTTCCTATTACCATAACATTAACAATCCTTTTTCCACTTCAAAAAAAAAAATTTAAATCTGCATGGTTTATAAAGGTGGTTTTGAGTCCCTTATTTCATTTTCAGAGATGAGAAGTAAAGGAGCTGAGAAGACTTGGAAATGCTTGGAAGCAACTGCGTGCTGGAGTCTGAAGTAGATTCTCCTGCCATTCTCCTTGTTTTTAAAGCTTTATTTGAGCTCCTGGCCTTCACTCCCTGATTCTGTTGCTGCTTTGAGCCAATAAAAGCATTGCAACTAAGTGGAACAGTCGCATACAGCAAGTCTTCATATTTGATTCTGTCCTGCATATGCTCATGCACCTTCCAAATTTTGTCTGAGTTCCTTCCAGATGCAATGGGAAGTGCCTATGCACCTGTTGCTTACTATACATCTTTGTTTACTTACAATAAGTATCCTTTGAAAAGCATGTGAAACTCAAGATTTGTTATCTGTTTAATTTTTATCTATTTAATTTCTTTCTGCGTGATGGGACAGACACTCCCATGATGGTTCCCAGGAACCATCTCAAGATGCTTCTTGGCAAGTGATTCCTAATTAGTGTTAGACTAACAGGATATAATGACAGTTTTGAAGAATTCCACTGTGAGGGATGGGATTGTAACTGAGTCATGAAGCAGCCCAGCAAGTTCAGCTTCCTGGCATGGGTAGAATCCTGGAATTACTCCTCAGCACCCAGAAAGTTGTGCTGGGTGACAACAAGGAACTCAAAACTCCCAGGGTTGTGTGCTGACTGATGAGCATCAGTCATGTAAGAGTTTGAACAGATGAACTGTAGGTGTGTCTGTATGCTCCACAAAATACTTTGAGTCTAATTATTTAATGAAGTCACACAGGTCATCTTAGTGTTTGCATCCTGTTTGCATATTGCTGGGAGATCAGCATAATGGTATTCTTTATCTAGTGTTAAAATACTGTTTTTTCCTATGCTGCTTTTATAGTAGAGTGTGCACTCTTTGAGCACTAATCCAGTTGCATTTTATCTTGACTGTGTTCCAGTGTTGAAAATTTAATTTGTTACCCTGAATAGTTTCTTCCTGAAGCATTTTATGGGTTTGGTATATGAACTGTTGTATACGTTCGTGTTAAAACATGACAGTGACTGACACTGTCTGACAGCAATTGGTGTTTTTTAGTAAAAGGCAAAATGATTAAGTTTCTGTAAAGAACTTGAGAAATGAAAACTATTAATCTGTGCTCAATTATCACTGAAATACAGAGCAACCATCTTAGTATCAAGAGAGGTACTCAGCAAGCAGCATCACTGTAGTTCAATTAGTAGCTCTACCGTCATAGAATGACAGAAAGGTTTGGGTTGGGAGGAATCTTAAAGCCTACCCAATTCCAGTTCTCAGCCACGGGCAGGGCTGCCATCCACCAGCTCAGGCTGCCCAGGGCCCCATCCAACCTGGCTTTGAGCTCCTCTGGGGAGGGGGCAGCACAGCTTCTCTGGGCAAAATCTTCCTGCGCTTCACCACTCAGAAAAATTTCCTCCTATCATTTAAACTGAACCTCTACTCTTCTAGTTGAAAACCATTCCTCCTTCTCTAGTACCAGATCTGGAGGTTGATGGTCCTGCCTGTGGCAGGGGCATTGGAACCTGGAGATACTTGGGGTTCCCTTCCTACCTAAGCCATTCTATGATTCTCCTATCACTGCACTGTTTTGACAGTCCCTCTGTATTTAAAAGGGGCCCCTTTTAAATACTGGAAGGCTGCTTTAAGGTCTCTCAAGCCCAGCTCTTTCAGCCTTTCTTCGTTAATCTTCATTAAGATAGGTTCCCCAGTCCTCTGGGTATCTTTGTCACCTTCTCTGGACCCAATCCAGCAGTTCAATCTTTCTTGTGCTGAGGCCCCAGACCTGGACACAGTACAGCAGAAGGCAGTAGTCACCTCCCTCTCCTTTCTGACCACCCCTAAGCAGCACCACTCATCATCTGTCTGCATTTGGACACTGAGCCATTGACCACAACTCTCAGAGTGCAATCATTCAGACAATTGTGAGTGCTCCATTAACACATTTCATTGTAAATAGGGATGCTACACTTGCTATTTTATGCTGTGTACGTTTCCTGGCCTCAGGCTTGTGTTAAACACATCTTGCTTAAAGGATATTAGAATTGCAGAATCATAGAATAGCCTGCATTGAAAAGGACCTCAAAGATCATTAAGTTTCAACCCCCCTGCTATGTGCAGGCTTGCCAGCCACCAGACCAGGCTGCCCAGAGCCACATCCAGCCTGGCCTTGAATGCCTCCAGGCATGGGGCATCCACAGCCTCCTTGGGCAACCTGTTCCAGTGTGTCACCATCCTGTGTCAAAATCTTCCTTTTACTATCTAACCTAAACCTCTCAGTTTAAGACCATTCCCCCTTGTCCTATCACTATCCACCCTTGTCAACAGCTGATCCCCCTCCTGTTCTATGCTCCCTTCAAGTACTGGAAGGCCACAATGAGGTTTCTCTGCAGCCTTCTCTTCTCCAAGCTAAACAAGCCCAGTTCCCTCAGCCTTTCTTCATAGGAGAGGTGCTCCAGCCCTCTGATCATCTCAGTGGCCCTCCTCTGGACCCGCTCCAAGAGCTCCACATCCTTCCTGTGCTGGGGGCCCCAGGCCTGGACGCAGTACTGCAGATGGGGCCTCACAGGAGCCGAGTAGAGGGGGACCATCACCTCCCTCTCCCTGCTGACCACCCCTTTTTTAATGCAGCCCAGAACACAGCTGGCCTTCCGGGCTGCAAGTGCACACTTACCTTCATGTATTAGAAGAAAAAAGGTAGTATACAGGAAAGGAGCTTTAAAACAAAACAAAACTCCATAAATGTGTGGGTACAGATGAGAATGAATCTGAGTACATTTGATGGACTGTTGGGCTCTATGCTTTCCGTGGAATATTTCTCCCGTGAGAAGGGGAAAACTACCAATACCTTTTTTCAAGTGAGATTTTGGAAGAGATTACTTTTAAAGAAGAGTCTGCTTTCACTCACACACACAAATTAATGAGAAAAAAAAATACTCAGGAACTGCAATTAGCAAAACACCAGTATATTGTCCTTTATTCCTCCCCTCCATGTTTTGATTCGCCTGCAAAAGGCATTTTAGAAAAACAACCTCCTCAAGAATCCTAACAAGAATGTTTGTCTGAAAGGTATATTTGTTACCCAGTGTTATTTAGGCCAACAGAGAGAAGATACTGACTTGCTGCAAAGCTGTGCAAGTTAGATGCTAGGTCTCCTACAGAGCTACACTTTTTATACATATTTTTATCACTTAACTGCTGCACCAGTGCAGCCTCCAGCCTACACTTGATCAGCTAAAGGAAGGGCAGAATAGCTGAACACGCCAATTAACTGCATCTTTTCTCCAGGTGCTCCTATCTTCAAAGACAAGTCTAGTTGTGAAATCATGATCAAGAGTTCCTCTACTTAATCAAGTTAGCAGTGTCAAGGGTGGTCATCCTGACCTAAATACATTCTGTGATATCAAAAGATACACATCCAAAAACTTGTATGAAGGTTACTTCATGTTTGTTCAAAATTTTGGCTTGTATTGAGTGAAAAAGAATTGCAAAGAAAATACATAAGTAATGTAAATAACAAATATTTTTAAATATACATTTTTAATAAAACATAAAAAAGAGAGCAACAAAAGCACAGATGGGATATTTGACCTTGCTTTTGTGAAACTAATGCATCAGGCTGGGTCAATGGAAATGCCTGCAAATCAGGAAGGCAGCCATTTGATTGTTCCTCCAAAAAAAGTATTGTCTTCTTGAACCTCATGCAATACTTCCGTCTGCCTCAAAAATTTCTTCCAAATCTGTAGAAATCTTATCACGTTGGTCTACATGCAAGCAACAGTTAGTGTTAGGCACTGTAAAAATCCCTCCTTTTGATGCAAACGTATTTAAGGCCATTCTATTCTCTTAGGGCCATCATTCCTGCCTGAGACTCTTTTTGTAATGGATGTATTTTCTTTATTGACTGTAAAAAATCTCCCAATCGATAAGTATCTCCACGATAGATTAGCTGGGATAGGTACCACAATGAAGCTGCCTGCTCAGCGTGTTCTGGAAGATGAGCATAAACCCAGCCATCAGAACTGTATTTTGGATTATTTTATGAAACATATCCTGTGATTGGAAGGGACCTCTGGAGATCATCCTGTACAGCCCCCTGCTAAAGCAGGTTCCCTACAGCAGGTCACACAGGAGAGTGTCCCAGTGGGCTCTGAATATCTCCAGAGAAGAAGACTCCACAGCCTCTCTGGGCAGCCTGTTCCAGTCACCCCCAAAGCGAAGTCCCTTTTCATTTGCAGGAACCTAGATATTCCTTGAGTTATTTTTGCTGTAAAATTAGGTACTCTATCTGACAAGAGTCCTCTTGGAACTCCAGATCTTGGAATTATTTCCTTTACTAAAATGCTAACTACTTCTCTTGCTTTCTTGGTTCAGCTCAGGAATACCTCAGGCTGCCATGAAAAGGTGTCAACCAATACCAATCATCATTTATATCCATTACACTCAGGAAAAAAATTTCCAATTTCAGTTTCAATGCCAATATTGTCCAGTTAGAGAACCCCTTTTTACCTCTCCTGGGTCTCTGAATTTTAGCATTATTTTTAAGACAAATCCTGCACATCTGGACCATACTTTTAGCAATAACTGTATATCTACTTTCTGTTTAACTAAAGCTTCCACCCACATAGTACTCCTATGTGTTCCTTAACTCTTCAATTCCAGGAGATAGCTTATCCTGCTTTTCATACGAATACGAGTCTTAGTGTTCAAGAACTTCTCAGCCAGTATGGTTCCTACAGTTACTGACAATTCTGTTTTCTTGACAGCTTCATTTGCTCTTCTATTCCCTTCAATAACATCAGTTATGTTCAGTCTGGCAGGCCTTGCAATTATTGCTGCTTCTCTTAGATTTCTAACTAACTGTGTCAAGTAATCTCATAATTTCTGTGCTATATTTGATAGGATTTCCTTGAGATTATAGTAATTCTCTTTATTTCCATATATTGTAGTGATACTTCTTATCACTACACAGTATGTATTACTCCAAAGGCATATTTCAAATCAGTACAAATGTTAATTCGCTTTTCGTTTCACAGTTTTAATGTTTGAGTCAGAGTGATTAGCTCAATTTTCTGAGCCTACATATTGGCTGGCAATGGTCTTAACTCTGTTTCTTCTTCCCAGGTTATAATTGCATTCCAGACCTTTCCGTTCTGCACTAACTACAAAGCTGCTTCCATTGATGAACAGCTTCCAGTCTGGATTTTCTAGGAGGATATCTTTCAGGTCTTTCAAATCTAAAACTGCAAACATTAGAGTCAGCTGTATGGGTCAGTAAAGTGTAGTGGTTAGATACTCCAGGATGCACATTGTTAAGTATTTGGTTAGCAGCTCTCAAGTCTTGAACTAATCAATAAACTTAAGAACTTGGTCTTTAACAGGCAGAACCGGATTATTGCATTCAGACTGGCATTCTTGGAATAGCCCATACATGTTCTTGCCCAATATGGGCCTCCAGTTTCATAGGATATTTTTTCCATCTTACTATTTTAACTCCTGACTTCAATTCTGCTTTTACCAGCTTGTCAGACGTGGCTCTCCCATGCTTTACTGTCGCCAAAGAAACAGGAGGAATTACAGCAACCATGATTTTAGATGGAATTTCAGTCACCTGTTTTTTCTTGCTTTCTTCTCTCGGGGATTTCTGTAATAGACCGACTTGTGCCTGCCACGTGTTACCTTGCAGAATGCATATCCAAATTCTGTTCTTGTCAGAAGCTGAGTTCCTAATTTAATCAACAAATCTCATCCCATGAGAAATAAGAGCATTCTGGCATATATATAAAACCTCATGAGATGAAATCTTATTTCTAATCTCACATTTAATTGGGTGTAAAAAACCTCTTGCCTTCCCAGGGCCCCAGCTATTGGTATAGAATGTTTACCTAAAGGTCCTTTACAATAATTTATAACAGAAAAGTAGCTCCAGGATCTACAAAAAAATAAAAATAAAAAATAAAAATAAATCAGTAACTTCATTCTCCTACATCCCCCTGTAAGAGTTACTCTTCCTCTTTGGTTTGTGGCTTGCACATAGTCAGGAAGCTTAACTGTACTTTACCATTCTTCCATTTATCCTTCTGTTTCTTTTCCTTTCCTACTTCTATACAGTTAAGTACCATATAGGCTACTTCAATCAACTGTGAAACAAACAACACTGAAACCCGTCAACTTTCTGCAACTACTTCTTTCAGATACTGGGGCCAACTATCTAATGAATAACACACAAAACAGTTTCATTCTCTTCCCATTCTGAATCCAAATCAGTCCACTAACTGTCTCACATAACCACTCATAGAATGCTGATGGGTGCTCAGTTGGGCTCTGTGTCACATTATTTAATCACTAGCTGTCCCCCAACAGAATTCAGATCCCACTTAAGTTCTATTTCAAGCATAAACCATTCTAGGTTTTCCCTTGCTATTATCCTCATCTTCCCCATTAGCTTTCCCTAAAAAGAATGTTGTGTTTTTGTTTGATTTTTTTTTTTTCCTCAGGGAATAACAATGTGTTCTGCAAAACCTGTGCATCTTTCTGGTCACGGTTACGACTCATGGTAAGGACTATGACCCCTACCTGGATATTCTCTATACGATCCAACATACTCCTTCTGATTCATCACAATGGGGGCAGAAAAGGGAACCTGCACTCAGGCAATCCAGCGGGCCCCCTGTTTGTCTCACAGGAGCCTCAATGGCTGCTGGCTGTTGTGACAGCCCTGATTCAGAAATGACCACCAGTCCTTCTGACCTCACGGCTTAACTTTCCCTTAGTTCCTTCCCACCAACACTCTGCACAATCATCATTTCTCTCATCTGTAGATCCAGCCATTAGCAACTGCATATCTTCTTCTTCATCGTGTCGCTTAATACATTCTTTTTTCCAATATCACGAGCAGAGCAACATTTTTTTTTTAATTTTTGCTCTTCCCAGATTCAGATAGTATCACTAAAGCCCTCAAATTCATTTCCATCAACCTGTATTTCTGTCTAGTGTAATAATCATTTTATAACAAATGCATCCTGACATATACAAAAATTCAAGAATTAAAATCTTATTTCCAAACTCACATTTAAATAGCTTAAAAAGGATTTTATCTTTCATTTTCAAGGCTCCCATTTCTGACTACTTTTCCCCATATAATTTATAGACTGGCCACCACTGCATACCATAATATTTCATTTTCTTCCCCGTAGTCAGGGTGAATCTCAGACAAAGGAGTGGTCCTCATATTTCCAACAAAAACTTCTCAAAAATTTCATACACTCTGCTTTTAAGCATGCATCTATGTGCATAATCAAACACCAAATGCTGGCTCATTACCAAACAAAACAAAACCAATAAATCAAAGCCTATAGCCCCTCCCTGCCCCACACCATAAAGTCAATATTTTTAAGTGTTGCACCTTAATATCGCTTACTGCTCCAGCAGGGGAGAAGACACAGTGGAGTGTGTGAACAAAAGTTCTGGGTGCACTGGAGTCCAACCACTCTCAGCTGGCTACAGCAAAGCTATGCTAGTCAAGCCAGTTAACTACACGTTTTTTCAAGGCGCTTCTATCTTCAAAGACTCCGTAATTCTATGACTCTACTTAATCAGGCTAGCACGTTCAAATACGGACATCCTGACAGGACACACTCAGAACGCACACAGAATGATCTGAACAAAGGTTAGTTCCTACTGGACTACCAGCGACAGCACTGCTCGAACTGCCCAGCATTTCATCACATCAACCTTTTAGGGTCAATTTTTTCCAGATGCACTAAGGGCTTCAGCTGCTCTGCAAAGTTCCTCATATCATCAGAAACTACGTCCTGTCCCGCCGGAGCGACAACGTTAAGCTCGACAAGGTAGGACAGGGAGAGAGGCTCGATGCTATCCGTGTTGCCGGGCATCAAGATGCGGAAGATCTTGTACACCACGATCTTCATGATCCCCTTGCGGAACACGTGCCCCTTGGCCACGAACTCGTGATCCATGCGGAAGCCCATCTCCACCAGGAAGTCCGTCAGGTTGTCCGAAGTCGCGATGTCCACACAGTTGCGCACCAGCGCGTGCCGGTTTTTGTCCCCGATTTCCGGCTGGCCCAGGTACCGCAGGTGCCAGGGCATGCCGCTCTTGTCCATGGAGCGCCGCGCCCGCAGCACGAAGGGGCTGGCCTGCTGGCCCTTCAGCAGGAACACCATCTCGTGGTCCAGGAAGGTCTCCGGCTCCATGTTGTCGCACAGCCCGCGCAGGCGGTGCAGCAGGCTCTCCAGGCTCTGGTCCAGAACGCTTCCTGCGGCGGACAGACACGGCTCGGCCGCTGCCCCCTTCCCGCCCCTCCCCGCGGACGCCCCTTCGCCGCCCGCGCCCGCAACCGGGCCGGCCGCGCGCCCGCCTCGGCCCCGCGCCGCGACCGAGCTGTGCACGGCCGCGATGCCCGCCGGGAGCCCCGCCGGGGCGGCGGTCGGCCGCTCGGTGCCGGCGTGGCGCCATACCTTGCAGCAGGTACTCCATCATGTTGATGGTGCCGCCCGTAACGGGCATCATGGTGACGGGAGGCGCCTCCATCTTGGCGGCGGCGGCGGCGGCGAAAATGGCGGCGGGTAGAGCGGCGCGGCCCGGAGGAGGCAGCGGGCGCCACCCTGCGGCCTGGCGGCGCGGCGCGGCCTCTAAATGCTGAGGCGCCGGGCGGGGGCGGCTGCTGCCGTCGGTCGGAGCGTGCGCTGCTGTGCGTTGCTGGCAGCGAATTGATATCGCAAAAAGCCTCCGGCTCCGCGACGCTGAGTGCAGTTGTTAAAATTCAGTCGTATAACAGACAATTTAGGCCCTAACTTCTTTGATGTTTGCTAAATCTGTCCTTCTTTTGCTGAGAGTTTCTTATCCTAGCAGAACAGCTCTGCAATATGTTTTCTAATCCTCAGCACGCTATACTCGCATTGTTTGGAACGTTTAACAACTATTACAGTTTTGCAAGAAAGAATTAATCACATGATTCAGTAATAACGCTTCTAAAACATGCCGCTAACATATACAGTATTTTACTTCTTAGATCAACTATTTCTAAGGATAATTTGCAGAATACAAATGCATTATGTTTTACTTCTTCAAACTAATTGCTACTTTTTAATATCAAATGCAGGAACAACATTCCATTCCCACAATTCCCCCCTCTTTTTCTTTCGAAGTGTTGATTTCCGCAATTCCCCCTTTTTAAGGTATGATTCTAAAGACATCCTCACTTTCTTCATTTTCCGTTTCGTCTAATATCATTATTTTATCCGAGTGCAGTGGTGGTTCCACTGCTGTTTGTTTCAGCAGCGCAGTTCCTATTAATCGCTGCACCAATCCCCTCACGCGGGGGATAACACAGCAACCGATGGCCGTCAGGACTCCTGCTGCCACAGTCAAAGAAGTAAATTCACATCCCTGTACCCCGTCTCAATTTCAAATGTTTGTCTGAGATCTTCTATTTCCATAATGACTACAGCTGCAGGACTTCCAGAAGGATTTTTCTTTCCCTTTTTCTTATCCTGGACCTTTTGAGTACGATCAGGCAAAGAATCCCCTACAGCTACTCAGAATCTAGCTACTGGGTCTCTTCCCCGAACGTTTATTCCAGTGCCAAAAGTGATGTTAACAAGGCTATCGGCCTTGCTAATTGTTATCGTCACTGGATTGCACTGCAAGGCCTGGCAGTCTGGTTGGACAATTCCCCTAAACATAATAATCCGTTCTTTTAGGGTGTGTGATTGCAACGTATCACATATCCCTGGGGTATATGTCCAGCCTTGATGGGCAGTTGTCCACCATACATTATTCCATCCCCCACAACGGGATCTCTTATTCATGCCTAATTCAGGACACAGGTATTTCTCTTCATGTTGGGCACTTAAGCCCCTGCAGGCTATCACACTGCAAGCATCAAATGTGACAGTCTGAGGTGTTTCTCTCCTGTTACATTCAGCCACATCTTAACAGGGTATCCTTCTGCTCCCCTCTGCAGGTCATCCTTTTCCCAGGCAATCAGTTGACTAAGACATTCTTTAAAGGTGATCACTGTCAGAATCAAAACTACTAATTGGTCCCTCTCCTGCACCATTATTAACTCCTAATCATCTATACCGTTACTATAGTGAAGAATAGGATATACTCTACTAGAAGTACAAATATATATATATCCTAAACACCTCCCTACCTATCCTGGTTATGAAAGGAAAAAAAATATAGATTAGTTTATTTACAATTTCTTTCTAATTTTTATCTTTAGAGGATCCTCCTTAGCAACAGTTTCCCATGCTTTAGGGTTAGTGGAGGGTTTTACTCAAGTGTAGTGAGTGCAACCTTTCTCAGCTGTCCTGACAGCTGTTTCTGTTGTCAGAAGTACTTGGAACAGTCCTTCCTGGTCGGGTTGCAACTTTGCCTCCTTCCAGATCTGGATGAGGACCCAGCCTCCAGGTTGGAATGGATGAATCGGAGATTCCAGGGGTGGTGTCTGTGCTAACAGTCCTTGGATACTGAGAGAGGATAGTGAGGAAGACAATCCGAGTGTATAGTTCTTAAGAAACATATCTTTAGTTTCAAACTGCAGTACCTCATTTTTCCTTCAGCTTTATTTTTAAAGGGGTTATTTTCAACTCCCCTGTTCCCCTCCTTTGCCCAGGCCATGGGATCTGTATCTTTCTCATCTGTCTCAGTTAACACATTCATTGATACTGTAATTCCCTCCTGACAGGTTGTTATTTGTATTCCCAATCATCATAAGATCTCTCCCCAATAAATTAGTACCTGCATGGGGTACGTACAATAATTGTCCTGTTATTTATTGTCTTACTCCCTAATCTCAATTCAGTGTTTTCAGAAAGTGGTAGTGTCATCCCTTTTCTCTCTACCCCACTTGTACCGTGTCCCTGGTACTAGGATTATACAGTTACTTTCTGGTGTCTGTACCCCCCCATATGTTTTATTATGTTCCCTTAGAACCAAATTCTATAAAATACTAAAGGGCACAACAATGTGTCCATCTGGGTATACACCCATGTGTCAGCTTGCTCCCTTCCCTTCTAAATCATTAATTAGATTCCTATCCTCTTTAAAATGCCTTATAGGTACTGATTAAGGTCCAGATATTTTAAGTTTACCATCTGGAATTAAAGCCAGTTCACCAATTTCTTTTCCTTCAGCTGCCTGTTCTGCCACCTGATCCACCATCATATTCCCAGTTTCCTGTACAGTGCCACTATTCTGATGTCCTCCACAATGTATAACAGCCACGCTGCTCTTTGGTAGATTTACATCGTGCTGAATTTGTTTTCCTTGTGTGTAAGCAACCCTTGCTCTTTGCAGACGGTACCATGAGTGGGTACCACCCCAAAAGCATATTTAGCATCTGCCCATATATTTAAGGTTCTTGTCAAGGCAGTTATTTCAGCCTTCTGAGCGGAAGTCTCCACTGGTAATGGTTTTGCTTCATTTACCTTGTCAGTAGCAGTTACTGCATATCTTGCCTTACAGTTTCCTCGTCTCACAAAACTGCTTCTGTCAATGAATCCAGGAATCCTCAGCGTCATCCAGTGGTTCCTCCTGTAGGTCTGGCCAACTGGCATAGACAGTCTCCCTGCAGAGCACACTGCTGGCTTGGAGGGAGCTCTTTGTTGGTGTTCTGGGTGTTCAGCAAATTGCTTCCTTCTCTTTGACCAGTTGTGCTTTCTATTGAGAAACTTGATAGCCATTTAAATCAAGAAATTCAGCAAACTCACAGTCCATTGTACACAGTCCTCCTTGGTTACTGTGGCATCCACGTACTGCAGTAAAGTTCCACCATGGGATAGAAGAACCCAAATCTCAGGCTCACAGGCTAACCAGTTCTCAAAAATCATTGGGTTGTTCTCACAACCCTGGGTAACACTGTCCAGGTTAACTGAATTTTTACTTTTATTTTTATTTTTATTTTTATTTTTATTTTTATTTTTATTTTTATTTTTACTTTTATTTTTATTTTTGGTGTTTTATCAGATATCAAAGAACTGCTGTCAGAACATTTCTTGAGTGAGAGCCAAGCCCTTTAGACTAGAAACTGGACTAGATCAAGAACAATTTTCACCTGGGAGCCATGAGATAGTTCCTGGCAAAGTGCAGCTCTGCTTTGGCAGGAGCTCTGTTAGCAGCAATGTCTCTACATGGCTCGCAGGCCTGCCTGCTAATGACGAATCCTCTTAGAAATTGTAGCCATGAAAATTGAACTGAATGTAGCCGTTTCAGTATTGTGGAAAGTGAAAGTGTTGTTTCTGCAGTGAACAATGGAAAAGGGTAATTGATCTAAAAAATTAAGTTGTAACATATTCTTAGAAATAACTAATGCGGAAAATAAGACTAACATACACATATTAGTAACATTTTTAGAAACATAATTACTGAATTACCTAACAAATTCATTCTCACAAAACTGCAGTAGATTTTAAATGTTCTAAACAATGTGGGTATAGTATTCTGAACTAGAAAACATATTGTAACGTTGTTCATTAGACTTATCTCTATGTAAGGACAGATGAATGACCAGAACAATGACTTAGTGTAAAGGGGTACAAATGTTAAAGGGGGGGGAGGGGAGTAATTAAACAATCAAGAGGCTATGTTTATGTTATAAAACAGGCATCCAAAAACCGTGACCAAATGTTTGTTGAGAAAGCAATTGTTAGAAGGCAATTAACCAATTAAGATATTTGTGTTTGATTTATGTTTACTTGGTATTTGTATGATTAGTGAAGCGTCGTGAAAGAGTGTGAACCTGCAGTACTCAGCCAATGAGGAACCAGGCAGAAAGAGATAAGCGTCGGGCAGTAGGGGATAAAAGGTGTAACCCTGTTTTCTGGGGGCTCTCCTGCTTGCAGGAGGCCCGCCATTGCAATTGCGAATAAAATCTGCTTTCTCAGAGATATCGTCCTAGAAAATTGTTTGGATATTTCCTATAGTATCACTAAACTTGGCCAGCTCACGGCAAGGAAGGTAGAGCTATGCCACCTCTCACATGTGAAAGAAAGGAAACGAGCTGGACTGCTGTATTTTTACATTAGCTCTTGGCTTGTTCTCAATACCATTTTTTGTAAAGTTTTTTTTTTTCCTTGGTAATATACCAGTTCAGTGTATAGAAGGCAGGCTTGATTAGCTATGTGGTATGAGCTGAACACTGGCTGAGCAACCAGAGCTGGGAAAAGGAGGGTAGAAGTAGACATTCCACACTCATTTTAAGCCTAAAGTTTGGTTGTCAGTGCTGTTTTAAACAGCTCTCTGTCAACAGGAGGACTGCCTCTCAGTGTGCCTGACCCCTTTCCTGAGGATGTGGCACAACAGCTATGTAGTCTTCAACATACATTTTGTTATTGGACTGGCTTCCATTTGCTCTTGGAGACAGGCATTTTGTTAAAGTGTAAGTGGGAAGCAATTTTTCTCCATTTTGCACTTCCAGTTCTCTCCTGAGTCCTGCAGGGTCAGGTGTGCAAGCAGCTGGGCAAGGAGCTTACCTGCCAGCATAGGCCAACCCAGCACATTTTTCCAGATAGCCAAAGAGCCCTAGTGGGAACCTAGAGCTAAAGTTCTTACTGCCTCCCTGGGTGGATTATGAAGTTGGATGAATGTAAAGCAGTGGTGAAAGTGGGACACTAAGTCATTTTGTATTGTGTAACATACTGCAGAGTCTCTAGAGCACTGTAGAGGTACAGCTTCAGAGGCAGGCTTCTTCCCAGAGGATAGTACAAGGCAATGCAAGGCAGTAGCCATCACTAGGCAGGAGGACAAGATCCAGATCTGTCAACACTAGGAACATCACTGGATGTAATTGCAGTACAAGCAAGATGGGTCTGCCTGAAATGCAAACTTCATCTGCAGGTCAGAACATCTGTGATGCAGAGAAGCTGTTACAGTAATGAGGACACCACACGAAGCCCAGATCTGATCAGGAGGTATCTTTATGAAGTACAGTCTGTCATAAGCAAAGTGAGGCAGAAAAAATAGATCTTTAAAGTAGGAAGCTATGTCCCAGAGTAGGTAGACAGGGATGATACACCACAAAAGCACTACAAATAGTTAAGAGTTCTTATTCCACCTTGAAAGCTAAAAGTAGTGTGAGGGTGAGCCATCTGCCACAGTGGATGCATTAGGAGCAGGGTTCACGTCAAAGGTGAAAACCATCCAAGCAGTGCTGCTAGATCTGCTTGAACTCCTCTATGAGAAGCAAGCTGGTTCATAGCCTTGTTCACTCTTGTAAGCTGGTGTGCCTGCTGAGCATCTCTCATGCTGAGGTTCTTGCTGACACGTGCATTCAGTAACCAAGGAAGTATCTGCTACAGGTTTTTGGTAGCATGGCTGTGTTAGGTATGCATATGGTCTGTGCCCCTTCACCACATGAGCAGAAGCTGCTTGTCCTGCCGGTAAGAATGGGCAAAGGACTCTTCACTCCTAACTTCTTAAGCTGGCTGAAGATAAATCAAAGTGGACAACTCTGAAGGTTCCGTGTAAAACAGCAGGGACAGGACTGGGGTGTAGCAGAAGCAAAAGAGTAAGGCCGAGAAGGAGATAAATCAAAGTAAAAGGGTTAAGTAAGCCAGGAGGCAGTGCCAGAGCTTTTACCTTTTTTTTTTTTTTTTTTTTTTTTTTTTTTTTTTTTTGCTAAGGTTTTAAAATATTTCAGAAAGCATAGTAATAATATAGCACTTAGTTTGCTGCAATTCTGAGAACTTGATGGATTGGTTTTACCAAAGACTCAAAACAAGCAGGACTCCCTGTACTAAAACAGTGGGGCTACACAAATTTTGTGGTAGTGTTGAAATACATTAATGCATGCAGAGAAATACTGCATTTCCTGTACTTCCCTTAACTTTCTACCAACTGTGAAATAATAACCTCTGATTCTGGCATGAAAGCTGTAGCACTGAAGAGACTGAAAAAGAATCCAGACTGCATTGTCTGTTCAATTACAGACCAATGGATGTGGCCAATGTTAAACATGGGTGTTGAACTACAGGTGAGGAAAAGTAAAAATGTATATAGATAAATCATATCTGGCCTTTCAATCTTTTCAAGGACATGCACAGTAATAGATTAGTGATCTCCCTTCCTCAGGGACAGCACAGCTGTATAGCCTGATGTTTAAGACACACATCTGATTACAGCTCCAAATTATTATTTCCAGGATGTCTACTGGGATATTGACTAGAAGCTAAAACATGAATGAACACCAGAATTTCTTAGTGGAGCTTATATTATTCAACAGTTATTGATGTGGTATTCACATTTTTTTTTTTTTTTACTCTTCATAGAATCACAGAATCATTGAGGTTGGAAAAGATCTTCAATAACACCCAGTCCACCGATCACCAGTAGTTCTTACTAAACCATATCCGTCGACGTAATATTTAAACGTTCCTTGAACACCTCCAGGGTCAGTGACTCCACCAACCTCCCTGGGCAGCCCTGATCACTCTTTAAGAGAGGTAATATTTCCTAACATCCAGGCTGAATCTCCCCTGGCACAACTTGAGGCCATTCCTTCTAGTCCTATCACCAGTTACATGAGAGAAGAGGCCAAGCCCCAGCTCACTACAACCTCCCTTCAGGTAGTTGTACAGAGTGATAAGGTTGCTCCTGAGCCTCCTCTTCTCCAGGCTAAACAATCCTAGTTCCCTCAGCTGCTCCTCATAAGACTTGTGCTCCAGACCCCTCACCAGCTTTGCTGCCCTTCTTTGAACCTGCTCCAGGGCCTCAGTATCTTTCTCTTAGTGAGTGGCCCAAAACTGAACATAGAAGTTGAGGTGCAACTTCCCCAGAACTGAGTGGAGAGAAACAATCACTTCCCTGCTCCTGCTGGCAACACTATTTCTGATACAAGTCAGGATGCCATGGGCCTTCTTGGCCACCCAGGCACACTGCTGGCTTATGTTCAGCCAAGCATCGACCAGCACTTCCAGGTCCGTTTCCTCTACGCAGTCTTCCAGCCATTCTGCCCCAAGCCTGTGGCGTTGCCTGGGGTTGTTGTGGCCAAAGTGGAGGACCCAGAACTTGGCCTTGTTGAACCTCTTCCCATTGGCTTTAGCCCAGCAATTCAGCCTGTCCAGATCTCTCTGTAGAGCCTTCCCAACCCCAGGAGATCGACACTTCCTGCCAACTTGATGTCATCTGCAAACTTACTGAGGGTGCACTCAATCTCCTTGTCCAGATGATCAGTAAAGATATTAAACAGCACAGGCCCCAGTACCAAACCCTGGGGAACACCACACATGACCAGTCACCAGCTGGGTTTAACTCCATTCACCACCACTCTCTGGCCTGGCCCTCCAGCCAGTTCCTTACCCAGCAGAGTGTACCTATCCAAGCCACAGGCTGCCAGCTTCTTCAGAATACAGTGGGAGATAGTGTCAAAGGCTCTGCTGAAGTCTAGGTACACCACATCTGCTCCATAACCTTCCCTGGCACTGAGGTCAGGCGGACAAGCCTACAGTCTCCAGTTCCTCCTTATGACCTTCCAGTCCTCTGAAACCTCTCCAGTTGACCAGGAACACTGACAGGTGATGGAAAGTGTCTTGGCTATCACCTCTGCCAGTTCCCTCAGCACTCTTGGATGAATCTCATCTGGCCCCATGGACATGTGGTAGTCCAGGTGGAGAAGTAGCTCTCTGACTGTTTCCTCTGGAATCATGGGTGTGTTTATTCTGCTTCTCATCCAAGACTTCCAAGTCAGAGAGTAGAGTACTCTGAGGATAACTGGCCTGGCTTTTAAAGACAGACGTACATTAACTTGCCTTTCAAGAACATACAGTATTACCTATTTTGATAAAATTGTTTTCTTAGTGAAAGCAGTATTTAAAATTCATGTAGCAAATTACAAAGTTTAAAAAGCTTTAAAGGTTTTATTGTGGTGGATATGCAAGGAACTAGCAAAAGTAGAATTCAGTAATTTTCTGGTCGATAGGAGAAACACCCAGAGAGGCCTGAATAGAAGGTAGTGCTAACGTTAAGTGAGAGCCCTCCCTATTGGGCAAAATGAATAATTCAACTTTAAAGAGAATATATATGTAACGGCTTCTCCAATACAAGGTGAGAAGTTCTGGTATCATTTGCCCATTGTCTTTAGTACTTAATGCTAGACAGAGTTTTCCTAACCTTTTAGGTTGTTTACTAAGTTATTTCACTATCTCATGATGTAATCTTAAAGTATCACAATTAAGCCAGTAAGTTTGAGATTGTTTTACTGAAACTGAAAAAGTAGTTCTGTACCAAAATGTACACAATTTAGTAATAATACAAAATGTTAATTCTGCAAGACAGAATGTCAGTTATATCCACCGAAATGAACACTGAGCCACTATTTATTGTCAGTACAATGTTAAATAAGCTCACTGAATGAACATAGAAATAAAGTAGTTCTTCCTTAAATAAAATGGCAGCTATTAACAACAATACTGCAGGAAGATACACATTCATGATATTTACATGCTGTCACAGCATATATAGCATGTAGCATGTCTTCATGCTTGCACAGGGGCTTTATGAGCTCATTACAATAATATTGATGTGGTGATGTACTACAAAACAACCCATATGACTTATACTGCAGTTTCACTTTAAAGAGCACCTCTGCTAGCCACCCCTTTAAAAGTGCCACCACATACCTCTAATAAACCCATCTAGGCAATCTACTGATCTGCCACTCAAGTACCCCTCTCTCTCTCCCTTCCCAAAAAAAAAAAGTCATCAAGCACATGAACAATTTTCCTCCCATGATCAGCTACATAGGGTGATATTGACAGCAATCTTCCAGAACGCACCTGTGTTTTCTGTATTACATTAAGAACACCTGAGACTGCTTCACTGGTCCAAGTACAGAATTTTAATACAAAATCTGTTGCATTAACATGCCATTTCACTGAATTCCCTTAATTAGTACTTTCCATTAAAAAAAAAATCTTAAAATAAATATTCCCCCTCAAAAAGTTTAAAAGGAATTAAAACATAAAAAAAAAACCAGCCCTGTAGTATTAAAGAACAGTGTGATTTTCTGACTTCATTTATCTCAGTGTAAGCAGTGGATACACATCTCTTCTGGAGAATAAGTGTCAAACACAAAGAACAACAACAAAAAAAATTAGTAATATGCAAACACACTGAACTTTGAGAGACTTCTTTTAAAAGAAATGTAAACATCTGTTACTGATCCTTGTTTGAATGCAGCATTCCTATCCAAAAAAGACAGGAAACCACATTTATTTAAATTAATAAGCTCTCTGACAAGAAATCAGTGTTAAAATCTGTTTTTTTTTTTTTTTTTTTTGTATCTGTACTAAATGACAGAACAGTTAAGACAGGTTTTTTTCCTACTTCAGAACATACTATAATTTAACAGTTTAGCACTTTGTAGGTCACAAGTTTTTCTTAAAGTAATAATCTAAATTGTGAAGATAAACATTGATGTTGCTTAACTGCAGAAAATTAAGTACTATAAGTAGACATAGGTTTCTGTAGGGTTAGTGTGATTAGATAAAAACTGTCTCAAAGCGTAAGACCTAACTTTAACATTTTAGCAAAATTAAAACTGGGAATTCATGAAAAACAATTAGGTTTGCCATCACTATAGAAGGACCAATGCATTAAAGCCAAGGTTAGACAAACAGAAACAGTCAAGACTTCCCCTCCCCCTCAAAAAACAACAAAAAACAACTGTACAAAGTACATATCATATTTCACCTTCGTAATTACCAGTTTACATGTCAAAATAATCTCAACCTGTAAAAACATGTGACTGATCCTTCAGAAAATGATGCAAAAGAGTAAGAGTTCTAAAACTCTATTTAAGACAGCTGACAACACTTTCATGAAGTCATCTCTAATCATTGAAGAACATAAAAGGCATAAGTAGTCTCACACAAGTCCATTATCTTTCAAATTATTGTCCATAGAAATCAGTGACTTGAAGGTGATTTTCATTCTAAGCTTCACAGATTATATTATTTTTTCCCCTTTACTCCTAAGTCAGTTGCTTCATTTCAAAGCTGTAGTATTCAAGCCGCCTTCTTAGTACAGGTTCCTTGAAGATCTTGTAGATTTATTTTTGACCTGATAAAAACATAAAAACAATCAGATCAGATAAGTTAAAACAATACACTGTTGTTCTATATTACAAATACTAATGCAACTGTCACTGAATTTTGTATACTTGGAAAAAGAGCTAAACAGCACTGAAAAATATGAAGTTCTGTACTTCTTACCTGTTGTGGATCATGTGGCTTTTGACTAGATGCCCAGCTGCAAGAGCTGCCATTAGCGATAACTCCCCAGCCATCACTGTAGCACACACGATTTTAGCAAGCTGGCGGGCATTTTCACCAGGGTTGTCTTGGCTTGCACCTTGAACCCCTAACATCTAGAGGGCAAAATATGCAATGTTATACTATAAAAACTAAGTAAATTTATAGTAGATTTTAATATTGAAGTATTTCCAAATTATATCCAATTAAGTAGCCTTAAATCTCTTTCATATTAACTTTAAGCTTTAAAAGCTACAAACATGAAACTAATTAATTAAATAAATCTAATAGTTTCATGTCAAATCCACCAGAGACGACCATTCTTATAACACACTATAAAAGCAGGCTTTTATCTAAGAAGATGAGTTGCTGTAAACTTTCTGCTTTGTACCTGCAAACAGGCCTGTTGTGGTAGCAAGTTGGTGCCTCCTCCAACAGTCCCAATCTCTATAGACGGCATTGTGCAGCTGATATACAGGTCTTCATTGGTGGAACCAGTACGCTCCATCAAGGTGATGCAGTTAGAGCTGCCCACATTCTGCGCAGCATCCTTTAGGTCCAGGAGGAAAAAAAAAGGAAGAAGAAAAAAAAAAATACTCAAAGAAGTGTTCAGGAAAGGATTACAAACTAAAGAAAAGCTGATTTGGTGTAAACCAACCTTACCTGACCACAGGCAATGTAGATAGCTGTAACAATGTTTGCAGCATGCGCATTGTAGCCACCTATGCTACCAGCCATAGCAGAACCCACCAGATTTTTGTTTATATTCACTTCAACAATATCTTCCGTAGTTGTCTTCAGTACCTAAAGAAAGTGATACACCACTCCTTAAGCTGGAGTAGAAATACCCTATTTCATGTTAATAAGTTTTCTCTCATAACCCCTTGTTTGCTTCCAAATGGAATTTGACTCTACCATAGATATCTGTTTTGTTCAAAACAAGCCCTTTCAAATGCGGAGCATATTATTCAAGTAATAATGGGGAAGTCAGTTTGGACTTGCATACTTCTCTAAGAAAAGTTCATCAGCTACCTTCTCTTGTTCTTAGTTCTCATTGGAACAAGCCAATTTAGGAGCAATATGCCATTAATTTACTCTAACATTATAGCAATTTTTCTTCCAAGTTGTTCCTTTTAGTAAACCCACCCCATGTTGCTCTGCATAAGAATATAGAGCTCAACTGAAGAGTTTAAACAAAAAAACACTGATACTCTGCAAAATACACATGTATGCAGTAATAATGGACCTGCATACCATATTAGTTTGAAAGATTCAGATAAAATGTTTGCAACAATTCCATATTAAAATGATCAAAGAAGGCAAACAAAATTATACTGTGAGCAAATGTAGACTATATCCAGCATAAAAGGAATAGCAACTGATGACAGATATGCACAAAGTGTATAATACTGATGAAAATACAAAGCAAAACGAAAAGATAAAAGTAGACCACACACACTTGAATACTTTGTCCAAATCTGTTCCATCATCAAATTAAATCATCAAAAAAAGAGGCAGTTTTTCACAAGAGGTGTAGCTGCAATGGGGAATTCCACTGGTATATCTGTGCTAGAAGTTTTATGTAAATTCACAAGAGGGACTGATCAAGTTACTGAGTAAAATCAAAATGAAAAACAAAACAAAAGTGCCCCATACCATACATAATTCAGAAAATCCTTAACAATTTGGCAAAAGACTGTTCTGAGTAAGGCGTAATAAGCTCCTCCCTGGAGGGGATCTGTGGTGCCCAAAACTGAACACAGTACTCGAGGTGAGGCCTCACCAATGCAGAGCACAGGGGCAGGATGACTTCCCTGGTCCTGCTCACCGCATCATTCCTGATACAAGCCAGGATGCCATTGGCCTTCTTGGCCACCTGGGCACACTGCTGGCTCATATTCAGCTGTCTGTCCATCAGTACACCAAGGTCCCTTTCCATCACGCAGCTTTCCAGCCACTCCTCCCCAAGCCTGTAGGGTTGCCTGGGGTTGTTGTGACCAAAATGCAGGACCTGACACTTGACCCTATTGAAACTCATACAGTTTACCTTGGTCCATCGATCCAGTCTATCCAGGTGCCTCTGTAGTGCCCTCCTCCCCTCAAGCAGATCAACATTCCCTTCCAACTTGGTGTCATCTGCAAACTTACTGAGGGTGCACTCAATCCCCTTGTCAACATCATTAATAAAGATGTTAAGTAGAAGCGGCCCCCGTACTAAGGCCTGAGGGACACCACTCGTGACCGGCCGCCAAATGGATTTAACTCCACTGACCACAACTCTTTGGGCCCGGCCATTCAGCCAGTGTTTCACTCAGTGGAGCATACACCCATCCAAACCATGGGCAGCCAGCTTCTCCACAAGGATGTAGAACAAGGATGTAAGAAGGTGATCTTAAGATAGCTAAGTTTGTGCAAGAAACAAGTGAAAATGATCAAAATTACTGATTTCACTCTGAAAGCTATCAAGTTTTGGCATAATCTTTCAAAGGAAAAAAGGAAAAATCCAAATGTCTTCAAGTAAACATTCATCATTAAATATATAGCATATTATCTTAGAAAAGACAGTGAAAGAATAATATATATACCGTTAAGAGGTTCTCAGGAAAAGTGCATGAAAATATTTGCAGGAATATCTCAGCAGTAGCATGAAAATGTTTGTAGGAATCATTACTACACGAAGCAAAGCTAACAGTATTCATAAAGCAGACACTTACTTCTTTAACAACCTTGGCTGGAATGACTGCTTCACAGACAACAGACTTCCCTCTTCCCTCTATCCAATTTATAGCAGCAGGCTTTTTGTCTGTACAATAGTTACCACTGATAGCTATAACCTGGAGATCAGGAAACTCTTCATTCAACCTTGCCAGTGCTTTTTCAGTACCCTGTTAAAACAAAAGCAGATACCATTAGTGGCTGATGTATCATTTATGGTTGTCAAACAAGCTAGTTAAGGACAGCACAACAGCAAGACTGGAGTAAGCCTCATCAGATCACTAATTACAGCTGAAGAAACAAAATTCCTAGGAAGATTCTTACACAGGCACAAATGGTAGCATGATCCCCATCCTTTCTGCATCCTTTTTCACATGTGAAAAACAGCAAAATTTAAAAAATTATGCTGCCCTTCTGCCACTCACCAGATTCATCATTCTTTATTTACAAATATGATAAACATAGTAACAGATTAATTATTACTGGATAAATTCTTTGGTCTAACACAACAGAGCAAGCAGCTTAAATTCTGTATTATCTAGAATATCTTATTAAAAGAGAAAAGAAAAACTGAAGTTACTCTAATGTTTTTTTCTTTCATTGTTCTCACTCTCTTCTTGCTTTCGTTCACTGAGTTCAATCAGTACTCTTACTTTATAGCACTGCCAACAGTGCTGCATCTCGTCTTTCTCTGTTTCCACATGCCAGCTAGTTACATATTAGTAAGATACAATTTTTGTTATTATTTTTTAAAAGAAATACGCATTTAATAAGTAGATTTATAGGGACTTAGCCTTACTTTTGAAATCATATTCATTCCCATTGCATCCCCTGTTTTGGATTGAAAACGAATGTAAAGGTTCCGACCAGCCAAGCTGATGAGAAGTTTTTGTAGACGGGCAAACCTGCAAAATAATATAATGATCAGTTAAAAATAGTTTAGTCCTTGAGGATTTTAAGCAGCAAAATGACAGAAAATCATAGCACAGTGCAGTTAACAGCATTATCTACAATCTGTACTCCTACTCCATGGGCACAGGAAAATGCCTTCAGGCTACCATGCATACAGTTCTCTCAATACTTTGAAGTGTTCTGCTCCTGAAGTGTTTACTGATTTTTTACTCCTCAACTTAATGAAGTAAAATTAGAGAGTACAAACATCTGACTGTCAAGTACAAACCGACAACACAGCCTTTGGAAACGTTTAATACAGTTTTACAGGAAGGCAAAACATCTTCCTTTCTGACCGTGATGCAAGTTTCACAAATCAAAACTCTATTCATACAGCATAAGGGCCAGACAAAGGAAAACTGGGAAACACAACACTTGAAGAGCAGCACGAGCTGATTCTCACCAATATAAGCATATCCTTGTGAACAATTATAAGATTAGTAAGAAACAAAATCTAAATCCTCCTAAAATAAGCAAGTAATCATTAGTCTTTGAAGAAATTCCTGGGCTTGAAATAATCTTACTCTTAATATAGTTTCATATTTCTAAATTTGGTTTCTAGCTTTAGTTTATGCTGTATTCTCTGGAATCTATATATTAACAAGAGCCCCAGATGGGCCAGATTCCAAATCTGAAACTACTTATAGTACAGTACTGCTAAGGATACAAGTGAGCTTTAATGTTTACTTTAAAATGCTTAAACAAGAATAAGTAATGCATTAAGTAACAGGCTACGATGCACAGATGCTGCTATTATTCAATTCTTTACTGCTTATCATAAAGCGTATATCACTAGCCTTGCCTTATATCCAGTTATTTTCTTTTCTTAGATTCATACAACATGGGACAACCAAAACGAAAATGCAAATTCTTGCAATGCAGCATGCAGATATTAGGAGTTGTCCACTGAAGTCTTTTATTAGGAAATAAGTCCACAGTAACCACTGTACTAACCTACTTGTGCTGTCAAAAGCTTCTTTCACTATTTTAAAGCCTTCAGGACTTTCAAGCCAAGCTTTCACTTCTGCAGCTCGGCAAGCAGAGGGCAGCCTTACAACAGGTCCTCGAGTCATTCCATCTGCTAGAATGCGGCTCCTTGCACCTCCACCAAGCTAAAAATGAAAGCAGAAAGTAAGATTGCTGAAAATGAATTTTAATTTTTAGCAAGTCAAAAATATGCATTATATCGTCCCCCAACACATTTCATGTTATAGTAAGTCTTCAAGCTTGTCATGCAGTACTTACATATATTGCTCTACATCCTCTATTTGTGCTTGCCACAAGACATCCTTCTGTTGTTGCCATTGGAACCTGAAACTCTTTGTTATCCAGATATAGTGGTCCCGCTACGCCTACAGGAATAGGCATATATCCAATCACATTTTCACAGCAAGCTCCTAAAACCTTGTGAAAATAACACACAGAGATGTAATTAAATTTACATGTAGAGAGTATGGCAGCATGCTGCATACTGTATATGTGATTACAACACAGTATCTTAGCTAACAACATACAACCCTACTAATAAAGTAAATAATTCCCAACACAGAAAGTTATAGCTACAGATATCAATAGCTAATAGTGTTAAAATCAAGCATTTCAAAGATCTATCTTACCAGGACTTAAATGCTGCTAAAATTTTAAATGCTACTAAATTAATTTAAAACAAACATCCACTGTAGCTTAGGCTCAAGGCAGTATTTTGCTCAGCTTAACTCATGCTCAGTGTTGCTATAGTAATGCATTTTTGAGATAAAGCAACTGCATATCTTGGAAATATTTTTAGGATAAGCTACAAAACTAACATACCTCTCTAGACTGAAAAACATCAAGGAAACGTTTGCACATATATATATTTTTAAAACATTTGTTTTGACTAAATTCATTGTTAGTTCACATACATCACTTTGAGCATATGTTTCATAGATTTTGAAAATGGTTTTACAGCAAGTTTTTATTTGTCTGCCTTTTACTCACCAAAGAATAATTGTAATTCCTGTAAGGAAGATACTGCAAAGATGAGGGCTCAGGGAGTTTCTGAGATAACATTTGTCTGCGAATGGATACTCCTCGCTCCTGAGTTTCCATCAGGGTTTCCAGTTTGTACGCAGGAATGTGCTTTGCATTAACTAAGCTGATCACTTCAGCATCAGTAAGGAATTTTGCTCCCTTCTGTAAATGATGGGAAAAAATGGTTTCTGCTAGTGAAAATACTTTTAAATGCCTCAAAAGAGGGTAACTTTACTTTGACAATATCATATCTCATCTAAAGGAACAAACTACATCCTAGCCTAATGTAAAGGCTTTTACTCAGGCACCAAATTAAGCAAAGAAAGAAGCTTAAAGCACTCAATATATCATGAATAACGAAGCTGCCTCTTCCCTCCTAGTTCCATCTTAGGGAATCATAATAGAAAAATTTTTGTTTACAGCTTCAGAACATGTACGCATATCTGGTTTTCTCATCTCCATTAAAGAAAAAAAAAAAGGAATGGAAATTGCAGCAGAAATGACTTCTGAAAGGGTTTTGTTTTTTTTTTTTTTCCCCTGCTAGTTATTAACGCCATAGAATTAGTTGACATTATAATCATTAGGATTATTTAAAAGCTAGAAAACAAACTGCTACTCTTAAATCAGATTATGTCACAGATGCTAAAAAAACAAAACAGAAAAGAAAGGAATACTAATTTTACCATACCTCTGTACTTCCAAGTATACGAACACATTCCTCAATAGAACGTGGTTCTTTAGGTAATTCAATTTCTTCCTCTTTTTTATTAAGAACTGATGTAGTTTCTGCAGGGTTACAGCTGCCAACTACAAATGTAGCTTTGGCTGAGGATTCCGCTAACACAGGCTTTATGACTTCAGCTGCATAAAGACAAGTGAAATGAACTCTGGTTTACAAAAATCTTAAGATTAATTTCCAAAAACAAATGCTAGCACAGATTTCACTACTTGTTGCAAATGTTCAGGAACAGATTTCAGACTAAGATGCTAAAATTTACCATTTCCATCTTTAGCAACAAAAGCTTCTTCTACTGTATTAGTCTTCTGACTGTTTTTCAGAAGTCCAGATTGTTTTCTGCAGCAATTCTCAGGGACCTTTTTCTGGACCATCACAGGAGATGTTATGGGATTCTTCAGTGAAAGCGTTGATTCGGTCTCTGCTTGTTCAAAGAAAATATATTTCACAGCAAGGAGAAGGGCTAAGCCAAGAGTGATTACTTGTTCAATATCCATACTGGCCATTCTAAAAAAGACAAAAATCAAGAAGTAAATGTAAACATGTAATATATGTAATTTGTGTGTTAGTAACTTCTGATATCCATTTCCTTTAGAAAGTGTAATAGTATAGTCACCATTTGTACACTTAATCAAACACCAGTCAAAGCACATTTTCTAACAAGGTACAAGTATACTAGTTTAGAGTAGAGAGGTTACTCATTAATTCTTTGTATTACTCACACTGTAAGCATTTCATTCACCGTTTACTAAATCTTAAAAAGTTAAAAATAAGTTAAATGCCTGTAAAATTAGTCACTATTCAACTGCCACTTCAAATTCATTTAACACCTACCTCCTTATAAGGTAGAAAGATATGGTATTAGGATGCATCCAGTACAGCTGGAAGGAGATTGGAGGAATAGTGTAAAAGTATTTCTCGAAGTGTCATCTCCAGTTCCATGAAATTCTACTATGGATTGCACCCTAAGAACCAACACCTTGACAGCACTGGTGAATACACCCTATTCAATGAAATACACATCTTTTCTGTGATATGACCTACCGAGAAAGGTAGAACTGCCACAGTGAAACATTAGGTTCAATTCTCCTTGGTGCATTCTCATCCAATCCCACTGCATTTTCTACTGTACCATTCTGAGAAGCTGGTTCCGCTATCCAGCGACTGTGTGCATGAACAAGAACCAAACCCAGTGACTGCATTAAAAACACAAAGCAAAAAACAAATATTATTTTTTTCAAATGTAATTTGTTATCTAATCTGCTAAGATTAAACATTTTGTTTTCCATTCCTCAACAGCCTGAAGGCAAAGGATTTTCCTGACCCTTCATCTACATCATCTACTGGCCAAGTATCATTATACTTGGAGTTTTGAGCCTGTCCCTACACATCCTTCCTCTTGCTCAAGTAATAAGCAGAGAAAGCTGAACAAATGTACACATGAAAAAGCTCTGTTTTATATAGAAATGGCATATGCAGAGACTGTGTAAACAAGGGATGTTATTAAAAATGACCAAGGTAAGGTAGAGTAATGCCTATATGACACAAAAGTTTTATTCATTCAACAAGGATACCTTATTGATTACACAACAACAGATGAAAAAAAAAAAAAAAAGCTACAAACCATAATCATTTTGACCCTCTGTGTTACAGGGTTTGGTTTATTTTCTTCTTCTTCCAGAACACGAGCAAAATGACTCAACTGCCATATAGGACGTCCTTCACGACTCTCTCGAGAAAGCTGCAGAAATAAAATAAATAAATAAATAAATAAATAGATAAATAAATAAACAAACTCCCATTTAGTAAATACTTGAAAAATCAAGTATTCACCCTGTATTTTCATTTGATCATATAAAATAAAATAAAAAAGTAATTTATACACAAAAGTCTAAGCAGCTGACCAAAAGTTAAGTGTGCGCTGGGGAGAAATTCCAGACATACATTAATTTAAACTTCTTTTTTTGTTGTTTTGCAGTGCTTTAAAACTCAAACTGTTGAGTTTGATTCATTTACAGTGGTAATAACAAGATACTGTCCATCAGCTGAGTTACAGCAACCTTTTGTATTCACTTCAAAAGGAAGACAAAAATGCTGGTATATACCCGAGTGAAGAAACAAACAGTCTACAAAAAGCGTAGGGTCTGAACAATAAGTTTGATGTTGTCTTTAAGTGGGTCTTACCTCTAATACCAAGGACACACAAGCTGGAAAGAAGGTCATAAAGACAAAGTAGTTGGCAAGAACAGACATGCAGCCAAAGCAGCACATAATTTCAAGTTGTCGCACTCCTACATAAAAAAAATATATATTTTTTTTTACATTTGAATATGCAATAGGCTTTGAACACTTGAAGTGTTGCAGAAGTATGAAAGAAATAATTACCATAGATTACAGAAATTGCCTTGATGAATGAAAAAAAAAGCCCTATCATTTTGTACCAGCTTATTCTAAGCACACTATGTAGTTATGATATTTATACAATTTTTTTATGTGTAAACCTAAATAAATATAATTACAGTTTACTAAGCTTTCGAAACTATACAACGAAATTTTGAAACGCCTCCCTTTATCTTAGCAAAGTTAGTATTATGTATTGAAATCCCTTGTAAAAGATGACCAATTAAGGGTTCAGGAAATACATGCCCCACCTGCACTTTCACAAGCATGGTATGCAGAAAAAGTCAATTATGTTATGTCACAAATGCATTACAGAACTCCCTTCGTAAAGATAAATGAGCTAGCAGTATAAGTCATTCAAAAATGTAAAAAAAAAAAAAAAGAAAAAGAAAAAGAAAAGCAGAACTACATACTACAACAAAATGAGTCTTTTTTCCTGTATGTAAACAGAAAAATAGCTTATTAACACACTTTTCTCCCCCAAAATGTCCAAATAAATAGATGAAGTTATTCCACTTCCAACACCTATTATTTGAAATACTTACTAACTCATCAGCTTTCAATTTTTTAATTTTTTTTTTATTTTTAACTGGAAAGGTTTAGAACGTTAGATTTCACTGCTCACCTGACATAGTACCAACACCAATCACAAGACATTCCACAAGTGCATCCAAGGTAAATGTGGGACCTAAAATTGCCATTCCACGTGAAATATTTTCTCTCACTTCATCCTAAGAGGAAAAAAATTCTGAATGTTACAACACAGACAAAAACTGAAGAAAGAGAATATACATAACATGATTAGTAAATCAAGTATTATAGTGATAAGGCTTTATAAAGCAGGCAGTAAAGAATTCAAGAATGTGTTTAAATATATTTTTCTCCATCTCCCATATACTGTTATGCTTTGATAGTCTTTACATAGCAGAAATACTTAATTTCTAAATACTCCATGCGTGGTTTATTGCTGTTCCTACAACTCTGATAGGCAGTCTTTAAGAAGCTGTGGCAAAAACATTTTTATGAAGAACTTTCTTGAAAATTAATGAAGGCTATACTTGCTATTATTACATAATAATGTGCAAACACTATAATATTGCATATATATGATGTAAAACATATTATATTATTATACCATATTACTTAATAAACTATACTGCATAATATGGTATACTACATATATTTTGTATGTGTATATATAAAGCATAGTAATACAGTATATTATACTATATTGCATAATACATATGTATTATATATATAATGTATGTATTATACAATATAGTATAATATACTGTATTACTATGCTTTATGCCCACACACAAAATATGTCACAATTATTACATTCAATTACCATGCACAGTATTTTGTTCATTTAAAATAGCTTTTGGTGGAATTGATGTTTTAGAACATTAAAAAGTAGCCATTCCAATACACACTGAGCAAAACATACTGTTAATTCTTCATGGTGTGAATAGCAGAGGTTGCAAGGGACATCTTGAGGTCATCTGGTCCAACCCCCCTGCTCAAGACACCTGGTACAGGTCACCCAGAATCATGTCTGGGCAGCTTTTGAGAATCTTCCAGGAGATATTTAAAGCTATACCAAAAACATGTACATACACCCATGCCACATTTGTTCTTGTAAGATTTTGCTTTTTCCCACATTAGCGTTTTAACCATAGGCATCTGTTTATATGCTATCCCTGAGCCCTACAAACTACCTTTCTTTTTTTAAAATCAATAATTGTTCTGTGGAAGACATTGGTCCAGGAACTCTAGCCTCAAATGTAAGTAATGCTGTAAAAGTTCTGGTTCTATATTCAAGCATAAAATTAACCTAGTTCACATGATCATCACACATTAACTGTACGGTATTATTATTCACTTGTAACACCACAGAATATAGAGTCTGGACTTTTTCTGTATCACTAATATCACATTCACCTGTATGTCTCTCCATGAGGACTGTTCACCTATGAACATTAAATTCAAAAGCCTAATTGCAATAATAACAATACTGACCTGCGAATTGGAACTTAGTGCAAATTTGGCTAGTGCACTTGCTCTTGAAAGATCAATCAGAAGCAGGAAGAATGGCAAAGCTTCACTGGGGAAAAAAACAAACAAACGGAAACACGTTGAAAATAGAAGTGCAAGATCTGTTGTACATGGGAAAAAAAAAGAAAAAAAAAAAAAAATCAAGCAACAACTCATATTTGCTACTTACTTTAAACCTGTCAGTTCTTTATCCAAGAAGTGAATCACAACTGTACTAAAAACAAAACTTGAGAAGATTGTAAAGAGACCAGCAATACCTTTAAAAAGAAAAAGAAAGGGAAAAAGAAAGGGAATAATATTTTATATACATACATACATACATTGAGAGTGAGGAGAACAAAACCAGAATGAACCAAAAAAGCCCAATACCTCTAGATTAATCTTCATGCAAATAAAGGACTGCATTAATAGCAGCTAAGATACAGAGTGATGTGGATGCTGTTTCTATAAGAATAGTGAAATCTAAAATTTCTACAGCGCTCAAAGCAAGGCTTTGAGAAATAAAAGTGATAAACTTTCTCTTATTATCTTAAAAAACAAAAACAAAAAACAAAAAAAAAAAACAAAAAACCCCCAAAAAAACAAAAAACAAAAAAAACCCATACCGCTAAAACCAGCTTACCAGCACTAACTTTCAGAGTTAACATAAAGAAGTTATTTCAAGAACTACAATCCCAGTGTTTATATAATCTGGCACAAGCCTTCTTAAAAAATACACTTTTAGACAGCAGAATAAATATTCTGCTGATCCAAGTTACTCTATTCTGTATGTAAATACTAAGTATTCTTAAGTATTCTTACAGACTTACTATGTAAATGCTAACATTCTAACATCAATTGCCAATTTATAGAAACAACAATAACAACATGCTACAATGCATACATAATATGCAAAACCAGATACAGTACCTAAAATGTATTTTGACCCGAGTTGCCTTAGGTTCTGAAACTGGAAATATATATAAAGGATTGCTATGCAGCGTGTGATTGTCAGGATTATGATGTCGCTGCTCAGAACATCCTGTATGGAACACAAAGGGGTTTATTTAGATTTTACACATGGAGACTCGACATTAAGTTTTAATAACAATGACAAAAAACAAAAAATCTATTTTGAAGTTGCACTAAAAATGGAGTGTTTGGGATGGGAGAGGGTACAAAAATAGATATCACTGTTAGTTTGTCACCCAAATTAAGTATTTTTAAAAATATTAATATCTGATCTTTCATCATTGGATGCTGTGCAAATGAAAATTTGATTTAATCCTAGAGTGACTGAGGTTGGCAGGCACCTCTGGGTCTACCTGGCCTAACCCATATTCAAGCAGAGATATCCAGAACAGGTTGCCCGGGCCCAGGCAGCTTCCAAAGATCTCCAAGGAGAAGACCCCACAATCTCTGGGCAACCTGTGCTAGTGCTCTATCATCCGCACAGCACAGAAATACTCTCTGGGGTTCAGAGGGAACCTCCTGTGTTCCAGTTTGTGACCAGTTCGGCACTGGGCACTGCTGAGCAGAGCCTTGGCTTCATCTTCTCTTCACCCTCTGCTCAGGTATTTATACACATTGATGAGATCCCCCAGTGCCTTCTTTTCTCCAGGCTGAACAGAACCAGCTCCCTCAGCCTTTCCTCCTAGGAAAAGTGCTCAAGATTTAATGAAAACATATGGTAGCACACCACTGCATACACCTGCACACAGCTTCCCTATAGAGCATGGGAAAGAAGGCAATAAAGAAGTTTCTGCATACTTATTTTCCCTCTAACATTATAACATGATCTTATTCTACTGACTACTCTGAATTTACTGATTAACAATAAATACTACACATGAATTTTAATCCTTACTTCTTCAAGTTTTGGGCACTCATAATTCCAGCCACAGATCTTATCATTCCCAGTGAACATCTTCATTGACATCATACAGATTGTAAGGGTCACTGTTCCCACAATGACTTCCCATGGATGAGAGGCCACAAAAAGGCCATGCATTCGAAAGAGCCTGGACAACATTTTCAGGACTGTTTTTCTACACTTAGCAAATCTGCAACAAAAGAACATTTCATATGAGCAGGTAAGAAATTCAGGAAAAAAGCATAAGGCTATACAAATCCCCACAAATCAAAGTCCACTTTGTTTCAAACAAAAAAAGCTAAGTAACAGATAAATACAGAAACTTATCTTCACCCTTCAACCTTCCATTTAAAAACATTTATTTCTAGTTTTCTGAAAGATAATATGATCTGCTCCTGCCTTGTCAATCTGCTTTTTTTTCCCCTTTAATAAAACACACATCTCACTTCTCTCTTCAAACTGTCTTACTAAAAACCGTCCCAAATTCTAAGTTCATGGTGACATCTCAGAATCTTCTGCTGTTAGACAATTTTGACACTACTCTGTCTCCAGCTTCCTGTCTTCATCATCACATGTAAGCACTCAGTAAATCCTGTTACTCCTTTCTATTCATTCTTCCAACAAAAACATTGGTTTTAACTGTATAAATCAGCTGCAAACCATTGCCGGTAATTCTCAATCTCAAGAGCAGATATTTCAACGTTATCTCCCTCTGATTTTATGTTCTCCACTTTCTCCAGTGATTTAAGTTAATTCCATTTGAAACAGTTCTTTCTTTACCTCAAACACACAAATCCTTCTTGATTACAGTATTCTGCATCAGTTCTCCGTACCCGTTACCAATTCCCAGGTTACTGAAACATTTCATCATCCCCTTTGCTTTAAACAGATAACAAACATTGCTCACAGCTCCCCTCCACGTAATGAGAACACGAATGCTCCATCAGTTAGAAAAACTGCATCTTTGTTTGCTCTGTGCTGTTCCTTTAGACCCTGAGTCCATCAGGGATGTTTACTCATGTTTTATAGCACAGAAACAAAATGCCATAAAATCATCTCTTAAATACAATAATATGTCATTTTTTCCTTGCATAAAATCAATGGCTTCTAAAACCTTATGAAGAATGTTAACTACTTAACTATATCCAAAATCCCAAAGATACTTAAATGGTAGTTTAACTTGTATTTCAAAATACTGATCTATGGAAAGTCTGTGCAGACCTAGAACTGTGGAGATCTCCAAAGAGGATTGAGGGCTCTACACATTATCACATTGAAATGGATAAAAATCCCTTTATGTTGCCTCAAAAATAACAATTTATGCACCAGACTTCCAGGAAAACAGTATTTCCCCCACTTTTTCTTTTCCATGAATGCCATAAACATGGCTGCCAGACAGAAAATAAAAGAAAATGGACAAATCTGTCTGCTCAGTGCTCCTGAAGATGCCAGAATCATCCTGCTTACCAGACTGTCTTCCTGCCCGCACTGTCATGTAAGCATAATTACAGCACTACTGTATTTTCTTCACCCTTCTGCACCAAAGGTGTGGCAGGATTTTTCTGACTGATGGAACCAATTGCATTAAGGTGACTGATTTGGGATGACTGGGGAATTTCATTAAGAGGACTGATTTTCGTATGAACAAATTATTTCATTTCTTTTGAAAGGAGGAAGGAGGAAAGGTGAAGACAAGCTCTGAAATAAAGAAAGGCTGATTTTTAATTCAGTCAACGTCATCCATTGTTGTTCCTTGTCAAATATGATCTACGTCATTTTATAAATGTATGTTCTTGCAAAACCATTCTATAGTGGTAGTATGATTTCTCAGCAGTAGCATGGAAAGTCTCTTTTAGTTAGAAAAAAATGGAATAAGACAGTCAGAGCAATATGTTACTTCCAAAGACTGTGGAACAAAACCAAAACCAGAAGAGCCTCAGCAATGTCCTACTGAAATACTAGTCTGTTTGAATTCCACAGGAAAATAAAAGATATTACTTATCACAGAGCTACAGAGTACTGCAACCCTTAAAATCATAAATGCAACTCCTAATGATTTAACTGTCAGAATTTATAAAAACAAGTAGCAAATTGTTACCAGGTCTACAAAAACGCCAAAGAAAAACAAATATATATGTATTTCTTCAAATACTATGTCTCATGCCTGTAAGCAGAAGTAGTAGGACTCCTGCCCCAGTGAGCACAAAATGGCCTCATAAAAAATCAAGCAGGGGAAGACGTATTTATAATTAGCCAGAATATTTTTTTTAATCAGCTAATGTTTCACAACTAATTAATTACTGCTGAGAAATACAGGATGCCACACTGCTGATCCTGGGCTTCATTGAGTGGCAGCAGCTCCTCACCTGAAGGCTCCTTACAGCCTGCATGAATACTTCACCAACCTCAATTACATTTCTTGCTGATTTCTACACTTTTTTCTACATTTCTACACTGATTCTGCATTACTGACTGCTATAAAAAATCATCAGTGCATACAGTCAGATCCTGTTCTTCAGCCCGACTGAAGCATTTTTATTCCCACACTTTCAGCTTGAAATGAGAAAGACATAAATCTATATTTAAAGCTGAAATTTATCATTACTGTTATTTTGTTAGATTTCGAATGGATGGCTCAAAGGGACATCATGTAAATACTATCTATGCCTTCTGCTGCCAATCAGACGATGCAGAGAGACCATCCCGGAAATCGAAACGAAACGTAGGAAAAAAAAAAAAAAGAAAGAAAAAAAACCAATCACCTCCCGAAACCGAACAGCTGCGGCCCCGCAAAGCCTCAGCGTAACAGCGTAACAGCATCCCGGAGCGCCGCTCCCAGCATCACCCCGTGCGAGCGGCGTGCCGGCCGAGGCCGCCGCCCGCCCCGCAGCACTCCGGCGTACTTCAGCGCGGCGCCGCTCCCGGCTCCAGGCTGACTCAGCACCGCCGGGCGCTAAGCAGCCGCGGGCGGCCCGACGCCGGGCACGGGCCTGCTCTCCCTCCCAGGCCACGGCTCCCACGAGGGGTCCTCGGCCGGGCCGCCAGCAGCCGCCAGCAGCCGCCGCCCGCCGGTCAGTCCGCGCCTCCCGGCCGCTACGGGCCGATTTCGGGGCCGTCGCCCGGCACCCCGCCATCCCAACGTCGGGCTGCCCGCACCGCACCGCACCGCAGCGCCCCGCACTCCGCGGCCCGCCTGCCCTGCCCCGCTCACCGCCCGGCCGCGAGCGAGCTCCTTCCTCCTTCCTTCCCTCCCGCCGCGCTGCGAACTGAGGCGGCCGCTCCTCCCCGGACAAGGACACCCGGGGCACGACGCGCCGGCCACCGCCATCGCCCGATCGCGCAGCCAATGACGGCGCGCCGGCACGCCCGGCCCGCGACGCGTCATCCTCCGCGTCGCCAGGGCAACCGCCCTGCGAACGCCGTACAGCGCGGAGCTCGATCAGGAGCGGGGAACACGCCATCTCGCCATGGACCGCCCGCCAATAGGACAGCGTGCTGTCTTCTTCGCGTCCTCTGATTGGACAGCGGGATGAGACCTATTTACATACGCCGATCGAGCGAGAGGCCCGCCCCGCCCCCGCGGGGGCCTGAGGCCGGAACCCGGCGCCGCCTCGTCGTGCGCAGAGCGGGCATGGCGGGCACAACGGCCGCGGAGCCCTCGGGTTTGCAGCGCTCACCGCTTAGCGGTCCCGCGCAGCTGCGGCCCAGCCGGCCGCCCCTGGGATCAGCGCGTTAAAAACAGCGTGGTGATCCGCTGCGCTCCCGTCTGTGGAAAACGGGAGCCTCTCAGTGTTCAGAATGCGGGGCACGCGTTTGTGCCTGCCGCCGCTCCCAGTAGCTGTGTTTGTCAGACCTCTGGGTCCCATTTGCCACCTTGCTCCCAGCGTCCCGGTTCTGCTCCCGCGTGGCCAGGCCTGAGCGATTCTAGCTCTGTGTGTAAGGCCAGATCGTGGACTGCACGGTTTTGCTGCAGATAAGACTCACACCTGATTTCCCGAAGCTTGCATGCAGCATTCTGTTTAGAAAGAGCTTTGTGTGGTACTCTGCTATAAAAGCATTACTGTAATGCCAAAAAAGAATGCGCTGACGAAGGGTTGCTTGAGGACTACACCCAAAGCAGGTGTTATCAGTGAGGAAATCATTGTTGCCAGCTCAGTCCTCTAACATGTAAATACACCGTTTGTTGCCATCGTCCCTGTGATGTACGTAAATCCCGGTGACTGCTGTGTAACCGCTCCCCTGCTGGCTTTCCTCAGAACGCACAGGTTTCCTCAGTATTTCACCTTTGCTACCTGGAAAGTAAAACATCACCACTGCGCTTCCTGCAGTAATTTGGCAGTATGTGCTGCAATTGCAATAATTGCGTGTGGATATGACTAAGTCAAAGCAAAGCAGCAATTTGTACCTGCTTCCAATAATTATATATAATTGATGCCTAATTGAAGATGACCATTAAATCTGTCACTGTTTCCTACACTTTTTCTGGAATAGTGCTAGTTGGTTGTTGGTTTTTCATGTGCTTGTTTGTTTTTACTACTCCCTGATTCTATTATATCACAACATTTCAAAATTAATCAAAATACTAATTTTATTATGAAGCTCACTGGGAGCAGGAATCCAGTGCTCTAGTTTGGAAATCACAGTCTCTGTGCACAGGTAGCATAGAGCTTTCTGCCACGAGTTCTCACTGACCAGCCTTACACTGGCAGCACTATGGGTCAGCCACATCCCCATTCCCGCATGAGTGGGTGTTGTGCTGAATGCAGTTTGACTTTGCCTGCCTCCCACAAGGGCTTCCCCTGGATGGATTCACAAAGATTTAAAAAGAATAGATGAGTTACTGTAGTGATAGATGTAACAGGTTCCAGGCTGCCACTGATAAATTCACGAGCTGCAGTAGCGCCAATGCACGATGGTAGTTGTAGCAAGATGCAGACCAGCCTGAGCGTTCTTCACCCAGCAGGGTGGCACAGTGCTCACCAAAGAGGTGTCCTTGTCTTGGTGGAGGAGGAGGAACACAGCTTCGCATCTCTTACTTCCCTGTTCTCCTTCACGCTCTTTTCCTTTCTCTTCCCCACTTCGCTCCTCCACTCCCTTATACCTTTAAGCCCTATATCTTTTCCTCCCTGGGGTTTAACTTCATTTGAGTGGAGTCAAGTACTACAGTCACATATCCTTAGCATGTTCTTCTTAGAGCTCATGAGCTTATTGAAGGGTGTTAAATTTAAAATCACTTTCTTGGCTAAAGAAGTAAAACATCTCAGTCTGAGGCCTTTAAGACTCAGTTCTGACATGCTGCTTGTTTGCACAACCTTCAGTCCAGACATGCTCATGTGGCCCAGCCCAGCCTATCCTGCAGCTGCTGCCTGCAATTCTTCCAGAGCCCTACACCATCATGGCAGCAGCCTTGTCCCATAAGCAGCCTGGCCCCTTGGTGCTCACTCAGTGCTCACAGTAAGTGAGATCAGCACTGTCACGCTGAAATTGGGATACAGGGAGAGCTCAGTGCAGTGCTAACTCAAGTTATGGCAAAAAAAAATTGCATGCGTTCTGGTACATTGGCTAAACACAGTCCTGCAAATAGGGAGAAATACTTTCCATTTTGATAAAGAGGTTTGCTAGAAAAATCATCAATTTATGTTTACAACTCCATTTTCAGTCCATATGAATACATAACCTGAGAGTTTTCAAATGGAATGTACAGAGTTGCAGTCAGATATTCAACCCCCCAAAAACTGATCATATCTCTTTACCAACCTTTTATAAGCACTCTCTTGGCAGATTGAGAAATATCCCTTACTTCACAATCATGTCACATTCATGCCATTGTTTTTTTTTGTTGGTTTTTGTTTGTTTGTTTGTTTGTTGTTGTTTTTTGTTTTTTTTTTTTGGCAGTACTTAAAATTTGTGAACAACTGATTTTAAGGATGAAGCACAGGAAAAACAAAATTTCATCAGAAGTCTCTGATGAGCACCTTGAAAACTCATGGAGAACTGCAGCTGCTTGCCGTTAAACCAGCCTGATACATCAGTTTCACATGAACAAGGTTTAACATCCCAATAGTTTTCTGTTTTAGTTGCTCTCTTTTTTTTTTCTTTGTTTCAATAAAAATATTAAAAATTAAAATAAGCTATGTTGCTTATAATACAATGACAACATCATATATTTCAAAATGCCTGCTTTAAAAGAATGCCTCCTGTTTCATGATGTTGGCAGTATGGCAGCAGAGGTTGAACCTTTCTGCCAGTATTCCATTACATGTTGTTGTGTGACAGCTGGCAGCAGAGGAGCAGTCTGACAAAATGGTGTCTGACATGGAAGTGCCCATGAAGCAATGGTGTAGAATAGAATTCCTCTATGCAGAAAAAATGGCACCTTGTGACATTCACTGATGCTTGCTGAACCAAACAGTGGATATGAGCACACTGAGGCAGTGAGTGGTTGTGTTTTGGTAGTGGCAACAGCGACTTCCGCTGGTACTGATTTTTATGAGCATGACATGCATAATCTTGTTCATTGCTGGTGAACATGAATCACTAATGCTGGTGACTATGTTGAAAAATAGTGTTCTGTAATTGAAAATTTGATCTATCAAACAGTGTTCTTTGTATCTATTCAAGTTTCTGTGGAAATAAGTAGAAGGCATTAGTTTTGGAGTGATCTACATAATACAATTTGTATATATTCTGTGCGGTCCTGGCAAACCAAAAGGTTGGACACCCATGCCTTAGCCCAAACAGAACCATCCTTTGCCACAAGGCTTCCTCGTTCAGCTCGTTCATGCTGACCTCACAAGGTTTTCATAAAAAGTAACCAGGCACCAGCATTTTTAATACCTCGTGTAAAAAAACACACATTATCCAACTCATGACTACAGTCACTCGATTCAAGATCCAAGTTGTGTTTGCATGAAGTCACACCTAGACCTATCTGAACAATGCCTGCTGGTAGCAGTATACCCTTGTGAATTAAATTCATGAGACGGGAAGGTCCCCAAATGATCACACTCTGTCATCTCATTTTTCTACTGTTTCACTGGCCATAGGAGGACAGCAAACCATGTTCCAGATCTAAATATATTGTTTCAGTGCCACTGAAAGATTAGGAGCCAAACTCTAGCAGCCTTTCTATTCCTCATATTCCTCCTTTACCAGACACTACAATGGGAGCCACATTTCCCTGAGATCCCAGTCTACATAAATAGGGTCAGACTGCTGTACCTGGCCTGGCTGTTGGAATAGCCTCAGTTCTATTATTAATAATTTGTTAGTTTCAGGTGGGACAGAGCTTTTTTCTCCTCAACAGCTGGTATGATACTGTGCTTTGGTTTTACGAGAAAGACGACAAGGATAAATACACCCATGTTTCTAGTCGCTGCTGAGAAGTGTTGTGAAGAGCCTGTTGCTCTGTTGCTAAGCAGAGTTGTACAGAGCCAAGGCAGTTCCAGTTTCTCAGCTCCTATCAGCAAAGGGCTGAGGGATGGGGGAGGTGCAAGAAGCTGGGAGCGGACAGAATCAGGACAGCTGGCTTAATCTGGCCAAAGGGATATTCCGTACCATATGACATCAAGTAGAAGGACTTTTGAAAGGAATTTGAGTTCTTTCTCTCATTTGGCAGGTGGTGAGCAATTGCTTGTGCATCACTTGTTATATACATTCACATATATATATTTGTCATAAATACTATACTTTTCCTTTTCTCTGTCTTAGTTTTACCTCAACTCATAAGTTCTACTTGGTGTATACTTTGTGCCTGTTTTTTTTTTTTTTTTTTTTTTCCCTACGCCACTGTGAAGGGGGAAGAGTGAGCAAGCAACTGCGTGGTGCTTAGCCACCTGCCAGGTGAAACCACAATATAATTCTAACACATTCTCATGCTATTCATTCCGTTCCCATGATTTTCCTTTTTTATGTGAATTATGTAAGAGGTGAGCAATAACAGAAAAATCAGTTATGTGTGTACATCAATAACTTAGAGCAGCCAGCAGCTGCTGGAATTCCTTTTTGATTAGTGGTTTCCGTGCATGTTCTGTTCCTTCTGGGGTATCTGAAGGAATTTCTAGTTTAGAGGTTATTAATTTTTCTTATACACTTTCCGTAATATGTTTGACTTCTGCTGAATTGTTTCCTTCTATCAGTATATCGTTGATGCATGCATAGATGGTAACGTGTGGTGGGCTTCAGGTTTCTGCTAAAATCTTCACCAAGGCATCAGTGGGAAATGGTAAAGGAATTTGTATGCCTCTAGGGCAGAACGCGTTAATCTGTGGAATTGTTTAGCCAAGACTGAGAATGGAGTCTGTTTTAGTAGGAGATGTAATTTTTCCTGTAGTTGCCTTTGTCTTCTTTCAACTGACACCAACAGCATTTTAAGTTCCCTAAGTTCTATTTTTAGACTCATAGATTCATAGAATGGCTTGGGTTGCCATAAGGTTAAAGGACTTAAAGATCACCTAGTTCCAATCTCCTGCTGTGGGCAGGGTTGCCAGACACCAGAACAAGCTGCTGAGGGCTCCATCCAATGTGGACTTGAAAACTTCTGGGGGGGACTCACAGTTTCTCTGTGCAAGCTGTTCCAGTGCTCTCTGAGAGAAAAATTTCCTCCTAACATCTAACCTAAATCTTCCATCTTATAGTTTAAACCGTTCCCCCTTTTCCTATCACTATTAGACCATGTAAAATGTCAGTCCTCTCATGCTTGTAAGCTCCCTTCAATACTGGGAGGCTGCGATGCGGTCTCCAAAGAGCCTTTTCTTCTCCAAGCTAAGCAGGCCCAACTCCCTCAACCTTTCTTCATAGAAGCCCTGCTCCAACAGCTTCACATGCTTCCTGTGCTGGAGGCTCAAGACTTGGACGCAGTTCTCCAGGTAGGGCCTCACAAGTCAGAGTAGAAGACGACAATCACTTCCCTCTCCTTGCTGGCCATCCCTCTTTTTAGGTTTTGGTTTTCAATCATGAGAGTATCTAACTGTGTCTCCAGTTTCTCTCAGTTTCCCTCTTTCAACAATTAATAGAGTGTTGTGTGAAAACACCACACTGAGGGGCAATGCTGAGGCAGTGTTGAGATATTCTTCTGACGCTACTCAAGGTGGTCAGAGGGCTATGTATGAGAGTGCACCTACAAATTCTGTGTTAATATTTTCAGCATTGAGACTGTTGGGAAATTTTTTTCTTAAGAAGGCTTGCCCAATTATCCTTATTGCAAAAAGAGCCATAGGAGGGTCTTTAGCTTTCTTTGTTCAAATAAAGAATCTACTAGGGGCACTTCCCCACAGGGTCTCTCAACCTACTGGAAGTCACAGACTTTTTTATCCCTATTTCCCAGCCATATTGTCCCTTGTCCTTTCCTCTTTGACTAAAGTGCCTGGAGATTACAGTCTTCCCAGTCCGCCTAATACACGTTCCTCCATGTATGTGAGCTACCCTGTGTATCACACATCACATGTATAACTAGCTCTAACTGTATGCTGCCCAAGATGGAGAATTTAATATTAATTAGTCTATTAAGCCTGTGCAGTAAGTCCGAAGTTCACATGCTCAAGTTTTCAGTTGACCTTTGTAAGTGAAGCCTTATTTGGTGAGTTTACAGCCATCATATGGAGAGGAATTTGCAAGCCTCTGCTCAATTTGTCTGCAAGGACTTGTTTGCAAGCTTCTTTTGTCTCAAGACTGATAATATTATTTTGTGTCTCAAACACACTCCTAGTCTTGATACCACAAGCAATTCACCATGCTCAGGCAGAAGATTGAGTTAGCTCCCTACACGCAGCCACAGAAGCAGAGAAGTGAAGGCACAGAATTTTGGGTGGACACACAGCTGAGGGCTCTGGAGAAGAGTGTGTGTGCCAGAAGCCCGAGACCCTCCACTGCAGGTAGGCCAAAGCCAGTCATACTGAAAGACTCAGGGAGCAAAAGCCCTTCACGAAGGGCGAGCCGCTTCTCCCGCGCCGCTTCAGCCCGACTAACGGCTTCTGTCTTCACGCCCCCGCTCAGTTCCTTCTCCTCCACCCACACAAAATGGCCACCGCCACTGAGGAGGAAGGGACCATCGCGGGGCTTTGGCGGGAAGGGAGCACAGGAGAAAGGCAGGAGGGCGCGTGCGGGAAGGAGAGAAGGGGCAGGACAAGTGAGGAGAAGGGGAAGGGCAGCACCAGTGAGGAGTGAGGGGCGGGGGCAGCAGAGAAGACAAAAGGAGAGAAGGGGGAAGTGGGGCAGTAGCGCAATGTCGGATCGGTGCGGCTTTGGTGTCTGCGATGAGAGCGGCGTGTGGGGCTCCGTGGCGAGAAGCGATGTGGAGGAGGAGGAGCCCTGCAGCATGAGGTGGTAACGCGCGAGCGGCGCGCTCCGTGCCGCGCTCCGTGCCGCGCTTAGGCGAGGCGGCGGGTCTGGGTCCGGGTCAGGCGGCGGGTCCGGGTCAGGCAGCGGGCACCGGCAGCCCAGCGCTGGCACGGCAGGTCTTGAACTTCATTTGGTGGGCGGGTGATTCCGGGGAGTTTTTCCGTCCTTTTTTCAGGCCGCTTTTTTACACCGGGGACTCGGTGGTTCTTCGCCCTACAGTTGCACCTGCTGCTCTTACCTACATCGATAGCGTGTTAGTCAGTGCAGGTGTGAGAATCCTACTCAGAAGAAAACAAACAAAAGAAAAAAACCAGCAAATACGATCACTGCTGTTACTTCTCTGCAGTTTTTAATGCCGTTTTTACGGTGCTTTCTTTCATATTCTTTAAGATATTGCAGTTGGAACTGCCGAGCAGCTGCACTTTCGGTTGCGTTTACCTTGAGTGCAGCTGTTGTCAGGTGTTCCGTCAGCGCCGTGCCCCTGCTTAAGGCGTGCAGTGAGAAGGGACGGCGGGACGGACTGCCTGGGTTTCTTTGTGGGATGCTGTGCTGCTCTTTCACACTGGCATTCATGCTGGCCGGAGGCTGGCTGCACCCAAACAAAGGCAGCTGACAGGATTAGCCTTCTCGAGTTTACAGGAGCGAACAGAACATAATGCAGTGGTTTGACTTTTGTGTTGTTTGTTGTTGTTTTTTTTTTAAGGTTATCTCTTATTAACACCAGCATGACTTTAACCACTGAAATAGGAGGTAAGGCAAGTTCTTTTCTCAGTCTTTTTTCCAGGTTGTTCTCCTCAGCAAACCATTTCTGTGGATGTTGCCAGAGTTCATAACAACAAAAATTAAATACTAGAATCATAGAATCATTAAGGTTGGAAAACACCTCTAGGACCATGTACTCTAACCATCCACCTACCACTAATACTGTCTGCTAAACCGTGTCCCTCAGTACTGTATCTGCTCTTTGCTTAAACACCTCCAGGGATGGTGACTCCACTGCCTCCCTGACAGCGTGTTCCAGTACCTCACCACTCTATCTGACAAGAAATTCTTCCCAGTATCAAACCTGGACCTCTCCTGGCACAACTTGAGGCTCTTCCCAATTGTTCAATCACTGTTAGAAGAGACTGCCCCCCAGTGCACCACAAACTCGTTCCAGGACATTGTAGGGTGATAAGGTTTTCCCTGAGCCTCTTCCAGACTGAATAATTCCAATTCCCTCAACCACTCCTTGTGGACTTGTGCTCCAGATCCGTCAGAGCTTCACTGTCCTTCTCTTCACACGCTCTAAGGCCTCAAAGTCTTTTTTGAGAGGGGTCCAAAACTAACACACTATTTGAAGTGCAGCCTCACCAGAGCTCACTACTGAGTGATGATGCCCTCCCTGCTCCTGCTGGCTTCTAAGATACCATTTGCTTTCTTGCTACCTGGGTACACTGCTGCCTCATGTTTAACTGAATGCCAACCAACACCTCTATCCACTTATATGAACTGTAAGTGCTCTCATGAAATCTGTGTTTTTAGTTAGTAGTTTAGAGAAAAAATGGGCACGCTTTCAGTGTTTTAAAAATTGTTTTGCACTTAATTTCTATTTTTCCTAAGTGAGAATGTCTTGCTTAGGGACTGTATGAAATGTTATTTTCATTCTGATACACAGTACTTGAACTGAAAGATATGAAATGATGAAATATACATCCCTGTAATAGACACGTAGTCATATATAACTACGGTAGCATATATTATTGAATAAAGCTTTAAGATTGTTAAATATCTGTTCTCTTCAGATACTTAACTGCATTATTATTTTAAATATAAATACATGTATTTTCATTTAAAACTTTAAAATATTCCTTAATTCCCTTGAAAGAGATTGCATGAAGGAGAAGGCAGTAGTTAAATAATACATAATAATTTTATTTTAACCTCCTTGACTTTTTTGCAAACTTCATTTAATTTTCTTCTGTTTTATTCTAACAGTCTACTAGCTCCAAGTGACACAAAATGTTCTTAGTTTTCTTTAGGTTTCTTTTTGTTTATATTTTTGCCAATTTAGAGACCTGAACGTATTCAAAAGCATCTTTTTTTAAAATCAGCTTACTCAATTAGTATACTTCTAACCTGCAATCCACTGAAATTTGAGGAAATTTTTCCTACTGCTATCATTTCCTGAAGCAGAACCTTTCATAGTTATGAAGAACTTGGCATCGTTCAATAAAGATCATTTAAGATGTGCTTATTTGACTCATTCTTCAGTTTGTGGGAGTGAGGATTTCTGTGTTGCCAATGGACTAGGTCAGCATAAAGGACACAGACACCAAGTTGAAGAAGTATTTATCTTTACTTACATTTAAAGCAGTGAAATATTAAGTGAAATGAGACAGAATAAAGCAAAACAAAGTAATGCACCTAATCATTTCTATGGAAGGTCATGCCTAGTGATTAGAAAAGAGCCACATCAATTGCCCTTAATACTTTACCATCATCCAGATCTGCAATTGCTGGGGAGCACAGGCTACACTAGAGATGTGGAGAAGCTTTCTTGGCAGTTGGGAGGTCCTATGAGATGTGTCCATCTGTAGGTGAGGTTGCCAAAGTTACTACAAGAGGATCCAGCTTTTATATTATCGAATAAAAAAAACTTAGACAATGTCAAGGGTGGAAACATCTGGCTTAATTCTCTGTGGTAAAGAGATGTGATCAACTTTGTGTTTTGTTTTGTTTTTGAGTTGTGTGTCTGATTGCAACTCTGTACATTCCGTTTGAAAATTCTCAGGTAATGTATATATGTTGACTGAAAATGAAGTTGCAGACATAAATTGAAAGCTGCAGGCTGAGATAAACTGAGCCACATGCAGCCTGTGGGTTGGGCATACCTGCAAAGATATTAATTTTGAGTATTTTTCAATATCAGTATTGTAGTTTTATAGCCTAAGGGTCTGAACTTGAAAGTTTCTCTTATTTTTTTTCCCAAGAGTTTTCCCTCTGTTTAGTTTTTTAAGAAGTACAAATAATTTTGGTCAAATTGTTTTATTTCTGATCTTTCCAATGTTGTAGTTTAAAGATCTAGTTAGAGAAATAAACCACTTATATTTATTCAGTATCAAATAATTTGATATATGTAGAAATGTATGGAACAGGAGGACAGAAAATCACCTTTAATTACATGCCTTTAATTGCTGTACTTTTTTTTTTCCCCTAGGAGTTTTTTCTCCAGAAATCAACTGTATAGCTCCTGATCCTTCATATGAAAACCAGGTATATCAGTTATCTACAGAAATTATACATTTCCTGTTGTAAATATGTAGCTATTAATTATTAATGAAAAATCGAACCTTCCGTTCTTTTTTGTGTGGAAGAGCTGAGTGGCTTGCAATGAAACAAATATTATGGGAAAATTGTCCTCACCTGTGTAGCACATTCTCTCCAGTAATGTATCAAAGTCTGGTCCTTGATATTTCATGACGATACAACCTTTCAATTTTAGCAACAAGTGTAATGAAAAGGTGAAGATGTTGCAGAGAACAGACTTTTTATTACGTTCTTTTCGGGTTCTGAAATATAAAAATCTGGGTTAACCATGTTGGAATACTCATCATAAGATTAGCTGTGATCCAGTGTTGGGATAATCCTTTCTTTATGAAAGGAGATAATAATTTGAAATGCATAACAATGTCTGTTTGCACAATGATGGGGTAGTCTAATCTACGTGTAATTCTGAGTTCCCCAATCTACTAATTAGCTTAGTTTTTAATGAATTTGGCATGGATAGTAGTCAGCTTATTAAATTTTGTTCTGTTAAGCAATCAGCTTCTCACCTGTGTATGACATCCTTAATATAGCTTTAGGAGGATCAGCTCTGTCATCTTCCCAGGCACAGTTGTGAAGTTCAGTGGCCTGTAGTTTTCCAGGTCTTCCTTTCTCCATTTTTTTGAAACCAATTAGCCAATGTGCATTTCAATGAGGGATTCTTCCAACTCTGAAAAGGACAAACTTGCTTTCCCTATCAGGAGTATCAGAAAAGCAAAGCACCACGAAATACTCTAGCAAATAGTTTTTGTAATTCTTAGAAGTTTTTAATACTCCTTTTTGTGAAATGTATTTAACATTCCATTGGCAGCTTGGCTCTCCACAGCATGGTGTCAGTATCAAATTTAAATCTTTACTGAAGGCTTGGAAGAATGATATTGAGCTGTCATTCTTCATCATTGTTGGTACTTGCATGTGTAGAACCAGTCCTTTTGTTATGTGTCTTTTCTAATCCCAGTGCTGCTCATGAGTATTAGAGTTTGCTGTTGACAGGTAAAAGAGAAAATGACTTTTGAGCTACCTTTTCTCTGATTTGTCAGATTTTGAATGGGAATGATTCTGTTCCATGTAAGCCTATCTAATTGAGTATTACAAGGTGCTGCATGTTTTCCATGTCATCTGTTTTTACTGCTTCCTGTTCCAGCATTAGTGCGTGTTTGACAACTGATCTGAATAATAGTAGGAACAGTAGCTGTCAGGTGTTGTTCATCAATTTTTTTTAAGTTGGTTTAACCAGATTATCCTTTCAAAGCAGCTCCACAGAAGACTTGGTAAGTGCCAATACAGCATGAGAGAGTGTGGAAATAATGCTATAATCTCAGCCTTATATTTGCTGACAGTGATGTAATGCTAATTTAGACAAACTGAATACAACCTGAGTGTTATGAATGTAACTCAAAAGTAATACTGATTATTTTAGTCATTACCTTTTTGCAAAAAGTTTTTTTTTTCCATCCTTAAAATACAGTAAGCTTTGGAGGGAAGGAGTTACCCTACCCCCACGTCTTTTGGAAACTGTAACCAAAATTTCAATAATGTATTATGTGAAACATCTAACCTGGGAGTATTCTGAGCACAGGTTCTTTGTAACCACTTATATCAACATGCAGTGATAAAACATTCCCTCCATTCTTCCATTTATTCTTTTTTTCTTCCAGCACGCTCTAGTCATGGCTTTTGTGGTCATAGAAGTTTGAGCAGTCGTGAAGTTTCTGAGCTTCTTTATCTTTGTCTGACAGAAGATGTCTGGCATGAAATGGTTCTTAGCATCTGCCACTGTATCATGTCTTTATGCTGTTGTCTGCAGCCTCTCCATGGTTGTCTCCTAGTACTGGCCTTTTGAGCCAGAAGGTTATCTTCGTGCTTTTTGGTATTGTTTCAGTTCATCCCTGAGCAGGTCATTGCTTTCAGATCCATAGATACTTGACAAGGAGACTCCAATTGAAATCACATGTATTGCTGTGTCTGTAGTAAAAAAAAAAAAAAAAAAAAAAAAAAAAAAAAAGCTAGTGTCAGCAATTCCTGTTACTGTGTCATGGGCAAGAATGTCTGCAAGTCTGAAGACATTATCTGGAAGGTCTTAGAGAAATTAAGATCTTAGTGGGTAAATGGAACCTTTGCTGTCATCTGCAGGTTTTTAAGAAAATTTCCGTTAACTTACAATAAAATACCAGTTCCAGTATTTCTTTCTGAAACCTATACAACTAACCAATATCCAACCACAATAGAGGGGGTTGGCAAATGAAACATTCCCATTTTGCAGAGCTGAACAAAAAATGCCTGTGCCTCTGGAAAATAGCCAGATGAAGTACATTGAGAAGATTTCCGCAGGATATTTTGGGAGCCTGTAGTAGGAAGACTGGAATTGGTTACTACGAATTGTACTTTTTCTTTATTGGCTGATGTTGGCATTGTCAATGTACAGCAAGAAAAGATCTTGTGAGGAAACCTATGGCCACCGCAAGCTTTTATTGTTTTGAAGAAAGGGTGGGATAGATACCTTGATAACCAGCAGTGAGTGATTGGGAACACTAATTTCTGTTTATCTGCTTCTGAAAGTACAAGAGAAGCTCATTAATTAACACAATCTCAATCATTCTTTGATTCTCTTTTTGCATTTCTTATGCTCCATTATACTGCAATAACCTTCAGCTCAGCGTTCTCCCAAAAGCTGGGAGTGCTGATACTTCTGAAGCCTTAACTCTTTTGTGGTGATTCTCTTGTGTGTTCCTTTGCAGGAGGACTTATTTCCAATGCACCTTCATTGTTTGCTCTTCTGTATTATTCTATCCACTTCCATCCTTTGTAACATTTGCAAGATACAATATCAATAACTTTTGAATTGTTTTCGAACATGTTGAAAAAAAAAAGTCCTTATATTAAGATTCAGAAAGAAGATATGAATGTACTGCCATCTGCTGGAAGTGATGTGCCTCTTTCCAGCTTACTCATACAGTGGAGGGGGAAGAGTTAAACCTGTAGGGCTTGGCAAGCCTTACTTTGAGTCTTAGCTATTTGGTGCAATGAGTTTATTAACCCACAGTTTCTATATCCATGGTCAAATAAGGTTTCTTAGATGCGACCTCTATTTGCCTTCAGTATCCTATTTCTTGCTGTGTGAGTTTCTGATTTGGAGTATGGCTATGCTCAACTGTTGACCAGTGTGTGTTTCTTGGGTGAGACTGGGGCAATGACGTTCTGATTTGTTGCTAGAAGGTGAGCAGTTCTTGTGTGTAGATTGAGGAGCACCTTGATTTGGAATGGTACCGGATACATTGGAGACATGAAGGTTGTGGGATTTGAATGAAGGCTTTCTTTTCTTTTATTTTTAACTGTGCTTCTGCTTAGCGGAAGAGATTCACAGATACCGTGATGGCTGGTATTCAAACTTCATAAAAAATTAATAAACTAATGCCAAGGAGATACCTTTTCTCCTAGTTACTCTTATGAAGCATAGCTCTTCTGGAAGAGGGTGACCTGAAACTGCATCAACCACAGTGTTGTTATTTTACTGTTGATCTACTGCTTCTCCCTTGATTGAAAATACTGTCACTTCAGACCATATTCACCAGACTGGAATGCACAAAAAAAAAAGCCCTTATTTAAGAATCCTGCCAGTGCTTCAGTCCACTTGCCAGCTATCTCAGCCCTATTCCTTCACTATCTGTTCTGTCTATTTCAACAGACAGTTGTAGATATAGGAACTGTAGGACTGGGCTTTGAAACAAGTGACAGGAGAGAGAAGATGCTGAAGTTATGTTTGGCAGATTTAAATTGTTTGTAGTCCCACATGATTTTGCTAGCAGATGGGCACTTCAGGATCTTAACATGTTAGACATTTGTGCCCAACTGATCTTTCTCCAGTAATATAGATGTCAGTTATACCTACCTTTCAGCTGGTGCATCAAACCTTATTTGTAGAAACTTAATCATATACATACTTGCCATTTACTCCACATTCTTCAAGCACAGAAGATTGTACATAAAGTGTTTCTCTTTTCTTCAATTGCTTGAAGTTTGCAAAACAATTGAGAAGTAATCTAAAACTAAATGGTTAAATAAAATGTAGTAAGTACTCAAAAAGGAAAAATTACTGCATGAGTACAGTATAGGAAACAGCAAACTGGGAAGAAAAACTTAAATCATCACATGTCTGTAATATCTTACAAACTGAACATGAGTCAACACAGTCAATTTTCTGCCCTTTCTATTTTATTATGTGAGCGTTCTCCAAATTCCATTACCAGCTATGTTAAAGCATGCTAGCAGTACACAGTATTGCCACTTGCTGGCAGCAATAGTCTAAAAATGTACTGAAGTAAATTACCTTAAGCTTCAGTATCTATTAAGCATCACCACTGTTATAGACACATAGAAAGATATGTTTTAGGACTGCAGAAGCAGTTGTAAATGGGGAAAAAAAAAAAAAGAACATCTGTTAACTGGTATAAAAATGAAAGCAACTGTAAGTAGAGAATAAACAACAGTATTTATTTTCTGACAATGGTTGTGGTTTTGTGGTTTTGTATTCAGCATGAAAACTCAAATCTGCAGCCTCCAATGATATTTCTAAGACTTTAACCTGATGCTTGTGAAGCACAAATGCTCCATACTTTGGGATCCACATAAATACATAATCAAAACTTATAGTATTCAGTGTTCTAATATGCATTTTTATGTTGTATATTTGTTTTTGTTCTGGGACAAAAACTTGTTAAAACTTGTCTTTCTTCTGAAGACTTCTAACATTACTGGGCCATTCACAACGGCATAAGATCTTTAATTTTATAACAATTTTAGTCTCCCTTATTCTGGATTTTCACTGCTAAGGAAATCAACAGGTGCTCTTTTGAAACTGAGGCTTCTGTCTAAATCTAAATGAACCCTTAAGGTAGTCTTATAGGTTTTAGAATTTATGCAAAAACTGTAAACAAAACATGTATACCAGTAACTTGTACAGTGAGTGTTAATTATATGCTTTTTAGAAAGAATGGTTACATTCCTTTTTGTAAACATTTTTTTAATGTGTAAATTTTACAGAAATTAAGTTATGAAGATCTTTCTCCAGAGGCAATCCTGTGTCCAGATACCTTTCTGGAGGAGATAGTAACACCACAAGATACATTTCTACGTGTTTTAGAAGATTGCCTGAGACCCACTGTGGCTGTGATTGACACAGATAACAGCACAGAGGAACAACCCTTCAATAAAGATAAAGATCTTTCATTGTCAGCCTTTGGGAAGATTCTCATGGAATCATTGTCACTCACTGAACAGAGCTTAGGGACTGGTGAACTTGAAATCAGTGATTGGTTGAGATTGCTCAGTGATTCTGGGAGTCCTACAGTAATATTAGAGTATCCTGATCATGTCTTTTCCAGTGATGCACCAGCAGATAAGAACAGTGATGCGCTGCCAGTAAAGCTTGTGGCAGATCTGAATTCTATGTCAGGATCTGTAGTACAGCCTGACACACTTGTAGTGCCAACCAAGAGACAGCTTAACACCAAGGAAGAGCAGGCAAATTCAGAACTTGATATTGCCAGGCAAGTGGGGGATGACTGTACACAGATAATGAGCATGCTTGAGCCTCAGCTTCCTGTGATTCAGGTGGACAAATCAAAAACTGAATCAAAAACTTTAACAAGATCTAGTTTGCAGAGGTCAACATATGAGCAGGTACATATATTGTTTAATCAGTATTTGAAAAGTTATGCTTATCAGAAAATATTTTCTGCAATAGTCAACTTACTTGGAGATCTTAATAGAAAAAAAGCTGGCATCGGTAATTTAAATGCTTAATATACTCTCAGTATTTTTGTTTTACAAGTTTAGAGGTGTTTTTCTGTTTTAATATATTCATATTATGAAAATAACCAAGTTTAGTGGTATAAAAAATCATAGTAGAATTAAATCAGTGGCTCACATGGAGATCTGGAGTCAGCACAGGGGTTTCAGAAATTCTTGGTACTTTTGCATACCTTATTTGTATGACATTGTTTTCAAAGCTCCAAACCACTCTTCTGTTATTCCACTATTCTGCTATAACACCAACCAATTGGTATTGCTTTTTTTGTTTTTTTTCTCCCATATTATGATACGCTGAATTCTGCTTTCAAAATTCCTGCCACTGTAGTGGCAAGTATTACAGAAAGAAATTACAGCTGTGTCTCTCCCAGAGACTAGCAGGACTGCTTTTGAGAATCTTTAACAAATGTGTTAAATATTGCATTTCTGTTGTTTATTTCTGCATCTACAAGAATGACTGAAAAAAAATTGAGACAGTTTGGTGTTTGTGTCCTCCCCTGAAGATGTGGTACATGGGGATACAACATTTGATCCTGTTTTTTTTTCCCTCCTCAAACTCTGTGCTTAGAGAGGGTTACAAAGGGAAGGAAACACTATTATTGCTTAATATTTAAGTGAACATAGCAGAAGTTAATTTATGCTATAGAGTGTAGAAGACATCCCTTGTAAATCTGAAATCAAGTTATCTGCATTGTCTTTGAATAATCTGGAACTGCAAATATAGAATCACAATACAATAACTAGGTATTTTACTTGGTTTTATAGTCACGCTGCTTCCCTAGGATGATACATAGCATCCAAAAGCTAACAATTGATTCAGTTTTTGTTGGTAATATTGAGTAAAACAATATGTAATCAAATGTGCTGCAAAGGTCGTTAACGTAAAGGTGCTGAAGGATGTCTAGGCTACTTGTCTTAGAACAACAACTTACAAAAGCTTTCAGTTAAGATTATGAAACAGGGTCTTTTCAAGATGTAATCTATAATCCTTTTTTTATCAATTAATAATTATTTTTAGAGTGTTTTTGTTGTTGTTTTCATCTCCTGTGTTTAAGGGCAGAAAGGAAAGGCAACAATTAGGAAAAATGAAATACTTGTTTTAGTATATTGCCTTCTAACAGTGTATTAGTCCCCTTTTCTTCTTGTCTTTGTTTTTTCAGAGGATTTTTGTGGTTCAACAAGGATTCAAAAGTGGAGAAACTGTACTGTTCTGTAGATGTAATCAAGATAGTCCATTTTTTGTCCCAGTGAAGTACTAACAAGTTCTCCCACATCACTTTGAAGGAATTCACATGCATGTGTGCTGAGAGTGTGCCCCAAGACCTTCAGTATTAGTCAAGTATAATAACCTAATGAATACTGGCTCTTTAGCAACTTGACTGATACTCAGCAGCATATCACACACACTTGACTAAAACACAGAATAAGCTCAACTAATTCAAATGAAATTCCATATGATGACATATAACGAGGATGGGATTTCACTCACTTGTTGTTAGAGATACGGCTCTGCTGCAATGCAGTAATTTAGGTTCCACTTCACACTGTTTGAAATGACATGAATCACTCAGCAAGTATCTGGTCTTCTTCAACAGTGCTAATGGAGCCAGGATGTCTAATGTCATCTAGATACCTGGCTTTTAGAAGACTGTAGGTACACTGATTCCCTTCTGTAGTGGCTGTAGATAAGGATTAGTGTATCTTCAAGATCAACATCTCAACTGGTAGTTGCTGAACCTCATTCAGGTGAAACATGCTTCCTGATCTTACACACTTTTTTTAGACTAGATCAAGAGTGGGATAAGATGATTTGGCTTAGGATGTCATATGTATTATATTGTCTTTTCAGGACAGGAGTTTATGTTCATAGGAAACTGAAACTAATCTATTAAGTCATTTCACACATCCAGCTAAAGAACTTTGAGATAATAACTTTTATTCCTTGTCATCCAGGTTAGATATATTGTTTAAGTTGTGGTACGAAGTATTGTATTTCCATTGGTACTATGTGATGTAGCATACTGCTTTAGGAGTGCCTCCCCTATGAAAACTTCTGTCTCTGCTATCTGTAGAATTCTTGTTATTAAGTAACTTCTCTGTTATCTTTGAGAACATAAGTAATTCATAGCATAATGTTCTTTAAGTTCTTATATCTACAGTCCTTATTTTAACTGCATGCTTAACAGTTACTTGTAATATTTCTTTTTTGTCACAGCTTGTGAGTAATCATCAGAAAAGGAAAGAAGTAATTTCAAATTTTTGGAGTGCAACCTGTAATGAAAAAGGAACTAGGAAGGGAAGTTCACATTTAGTAGAGGCTGTTCTATGCGCAGAAACCGCTAAAACAACGTCAGGGAGGACGATGGAGATAAGAGAGACTTCCTCAGTAAGGTACAGAGATAGTGTTTCCGGTCATGAACGTATGCCAGAAGGACTGCAAAAACTGCCTCACAATCTCACTACAAGAAGCAAAGCTAAATATTTTAGGTATGACAAAGGCATGTGTAATATTCCTAAATTCTTCTTTTTATTAATGTACAACACATACCAACTACATATTTTTCATGTTAATGACTTCAGATGATCCAGAAGTAAGGTTTTTCCTTCTTTTTAAAGATATGTAAGTCAGTTTCCCTCCTGATTTTTCTGTTCATTCAGTACTAAGTTGGCATGTATCCTTCCACGCTGTTAGAAACTTCATTTTAAAGTCAAATATGTTAATCTTAGATCTTCTGAAAACACAGCTTCTTATAGAGGATGTTTTTGTTAATTCAGACAAATCTCTTGACAGTAAGATTCAGAAATCTTCTAAAAACAAGCAAGATCCAGAAATCAACAGGTCCCAAGAAGTATCTAAGAATGAGGATAGAAAAGCTGACGAGAGAAGGAGGAGCAAAAGAATCAGAGATAAAATGAGTAAGATAGCTGTCTGACAAGTATCAGATAATACTTTTTATTTAAACAGCTGTACTGAGCTGTAATTCAGAGTCTTTTCACTATATTGTGTCAAGAATTTCTTTTAGAATGATGATAAAAACATTTATTTTAAGAATTAAAATAATCAATAACTTACTTTGCTTAAGTCTGCCTATTACCATCTAGCTGATTATTTGTGTACACAAACTCAGTAAGAATAATGAGAGTTTTTTCAGGATGCATTTTTTATTATACAACAATATATGAAGCGTTTATGGTATATTCTGTGAAAGGGAAGAAAATTTCTTTCTTACAGAGTTAAAAGTAGATCCTAATTCTGTAATCTAGTATTTGCTGTGCAACATCGCTTTGAGAGCAGCGCAATCCTTAAGAATTCACCTATACAGAGCATTTTATTATATTTTAAAGGTTTTCTTTTATTGTTCTATTTATGTGTAAAGTAGGGTTATTGACCTTCCCTCTTACTGTCACTGAGTGCCCTTTGAAGTATTCATCCTTGCAGTGGCCTTTGCAGAGAGAAAGATTGCTGTTTTTCATACTCTGAAAATGCAAACAAACTCTTTTGAGTCATTAGAGTGGTAGGAGAATACAGAATTTCCATACTTATGTGCTTACTTTAGAGCTAACCTTTAAGATTGAGATCTTAAAAGTTTGTTCTTGTTAAAGCCCCTTCAGTCTGGATTTATCTGTGCAATTACAATCATTCAAATAGGTTAAAAAGTTTGTAAGTATTAAAACTGTAACATCTACATTGTAGATCTTAGAAAATATCAATAATTCTACTACCAATTATCAACTCTTATCACAGGGCTTTCATTATTCCCCATAGGAGTAAGTACAATTTTTGTGAGATTCAAACTAATCTTAATGACTTAGTTTTTACTAAAAGAATAAGCTGTTGTTTTTGGCACAATTTTTGCTGAAGGAATTTCATTGCCTATAGAGATATTTTCATGTTACTGTAATCTAACAAACACTTCCCTTTTACATCAGATCTAGTAATTAGGGCTCTGAGACATCTTAGCTTGGTGATTCACTGGAAAAAAAAAGCTTTACTAAAAGTTATGGTTTGGATCATTAGTCATTAGTTGGTCTGACACTAGAAAGGTGGTAGGGAAGGTAGGGTAGAAGTAATAGAACTTCTTGAAGTAACAATGTCTAGTTAAATTCTGTTAAGTGTAACATGAAACTGCCCTTTGTTTTATGTTTGCCTGTGTAGTGTAATCCCTCCTAAATTTCTTGGCTGATTTAAATAATCTTTGAACACTGTATTGTAATATATTGTGAATGATCGTCTTGCAATACTGAAGACATAGGATAGAAATATTCTTCAAGTATTCACCTGTCAGAAGGTGCTGGGTGAGTCCATTTCTGGACTCTGGATTCTAAAAATATATGCAGAGTTGAGCACTTAAGAAGGTTGGGAACAACTTAAGTCTAAGCTCACAGTATACCACAATTCACTGAATAGTAGACACGTTAGGTATTGTGAGTTACAACCTTTAGAGAACTATGGCTTGCTTAAAATTTCTGTTCCTAACACCTTTGGGACAGTGAACAGCATCTAGTACAGATTGCGAAGAAGAGCAGTGAAGATGTGGTCCCTACAAATCTTTTTTTTTTTTCAATTGTAGATCAACTAACGGCCTGAACAACTAGAATGTGATTTACTGCAGCCCATCCTCCTGTATTTTCCTTCTTTCTCTCCTCCCTCCCTGTTTTTCAAGGATGCAGCAGCCAGAATGCTCATCTCCACTGTGTGATATGTGCTGCTGGTAAAATGCAGTACAGCTCATCTGTGTATCAGAAATGATTTCACCCAGTCTGAAATACAGTACAGTGAATACACAGTACAGTGGAAGACAGCATTTCTTGTATAAAATAATGAACTAGAAATGAATAATAGTATCAGTTTTTACATTTAGGTTTCTGACTCTCAAGCGGAGAGAATTTTTGTTGGATAGCTAATGATTTTGGTCCAACAGTTTTCTTCACTGCACAGTTGACTGAGCTGTTTGTGAAATAATTGAGAAACTTGAGGGAGCTAGTTTTTTCTCTATTCTTCTGTAAATATTCCTTGATTATGAAGTAGAAGTTTTAACATGTAAATAGTTACAAAAACAGTACTGATAAATTTGACTGTTAATGGATGTTACTGAGTTATTGACTAGCTTTTGAAGTTGTTCATCTGTAATGAGTTGTAATCTAGCTTTATCAACTGTTAGGGAAGAATGTCCTCTGCAAAAATGTCATTAAAAAAATAAGAGCCTAAACTAAACACTCTAATGAAGTCATATTCCTGCATGTTGAACTTAATTAGGAGTTTTGTTATGGTATTCACTGTGGCATCTTTTTTGAGTGGAGCTATAATTTAATTCTTTTTATTTTTTTTTTTAGGACTAGAATTCTATCATAGGAGTTTCACAAATCCTCAATACCGTGTTATGCTTTCAAGAATTAATAAGAGGAATGCATATGGTGAGACTTTACTACACAGAGCTGTTGTTGCTGAAGATCTAAACCGTGTACATAACCTAATAAAAGCTGGTGCAAATGTAGATGATAAGGATCATGCTGGTAAGTTGCAGCTGTATTAATGTACTATTTTCAGAATATGTATAAGTATAATAATGGAAGTACATCATGTGAGTTTGAGAAGTAGAAGACTAGATCTGTGACTGGTCAGTAGATTGTTGTGATTTTATTGGTTTAGTTTGCTAATTCTTCATGAAAAGACAAATAGATCTATGTATAAAAGTGTATTAAAAAAAAAAGGAAATTTTGCTGAAAAAGTGAGCACTGAAAAGCTTAGGAGAAAAACTGGTTAAATTTACTTAGCCTTAATTCAGTGTTCTGTGCATTCTCATCACAGTATAGTCCATTAATTATATAATCAGTATAATGTGTTTCACATACATTTTATTCGTTCCTGGAATGTGTCCATTTTGTGTGTTGGCTGAGATTTCACAGCTTTCCTGTGGGAACAAAAAATACATTGTCCTGTGGCTAAAGGTGGTTATCTTTTGGATAGAAGCACAACTGCATAAAATGTGATTTAGGAAAATTGCTCAAAGAGATGGGAAGCTCGCCTGGCCCAGCTGATTTATTCTGTAGCAAGGAAAACATAATGAGAAAGACACTGACAGATCCGTGACATTTTGAAAAGCACTTTCATCTTACTCTCTTTGGATAATCATTGTTCTGATTATTATATTCTATCCCTATGCCTTGTCTATTCCCTTAAAACTATCCACCAATCGTTATCCGTAAGTTACCTACCCTTTTTCATTCCTCCCCCACTTCATTACTGTGCTTCAGAGCTTTACTGAATACTTGAGGTTGATTTTTGTTTTTCCTTTTTATTTTCTGGACATTATGGATGAAGAATATGGAGAACATGGGAAAAATGCTGTCTGTGATCTGAGTTTGGATCGTTATTTGAAGTCCTGTAAGGGAGTTAGAAAGTATTTGTAGTGAAACTTTGTCTTCTCTGTAGTTTTTGGAGAACTGTGTTGCTCAGCTCTAGTACTGGAACTCACGTTCCAGGTACAATTTTTCAGGATATTATTACTGTATTAAATAGAAGATACTTCTAATGTAGAAAGAAATAGATTTTTTCACTTAAGTGAAACTTTCATCTTTTTTTCTTAAATGATTTCAAGCTTTTGCTCCAGAATATGAAGTTACTAGAATTTCTTCATTAATTAGGTGCTCTATAAAATGCAAGGGACTGGAAGATCCTTTTTTCTTTTTGTCTTAGTTTTCTCACTCTACAAAAAAAGAGATTTGCTGTAATGGATGTTTAAGGAACTGATTCATGGCTATGCTAAACCCTGTTCAAAAGCTTGCTTTCTATCTTTTATTTCTCCTTAGAACCTCTTCTTAGGATTGGCTTTTTTTTATCTTTTCTTTGTTACTTACCTTCTGTATCATGGTTGTAAAGATAAAAGATCATAATGAAAATATACCTTGTTCTTAAAAGAGCATACGTGTTGCATTCAGGAAGAAATTATTAAGATGTGGGAGGAATAATTTCTTTTTTTATTTTTTTCAAAAGAAGTTTTAAAAATGCTGTCTAATAGCAAACTAACGTCACTGCATACCCTCTTTCTTCAGTGAGTGCAAATTTTTACGAAAAACTGAAAGCTCTCAACACCTGAAATCTTTAGTAAGCATTTCTTTATACAGTTCACTGTAAAACACAATCAGTTCTTACCTTTTCATTACCTCCCTCTGAAATATTTATCAAATCTAAAACTGATACATTTTTTATAAAATATTTCACCCAAATGTGAATATTTTCAGTTTTCAAGTTTCCTTTTCTTTAGGCTGGACTGCACTACATGAAGCAAGTTTAGAAGGCTATTACTGGATAGCAAAGGAGCTTTTGAAAGCAGGAGCTGATGTCAATGCTCGAGGAGATGAACAAATAACACCATTGCATGATGCAGTTAAAGAAGGCCATTATAAGGTATATTCCAGTTTGGACATAAATTATGATTTAAGAATATAAATTTTGTTGTTAGTCCAGAAAGTCACACAGTCTTGTTGCATGTGGGCCTGGCCTTTCAGATTATGGCTTAATTCAGGAGTAAATAACTCTTCTATCTGACTCCTGTTCCAACCATTACCAGGCTTTACATTTTTTTTTTTTTTTCTGTTCGTGACTGTGGCTGAAGTACTGATGAATAGGTTCCTACTATTTTCATACTCTTTGTTTCACTTCCCTTATAATCACTGCAGAAACATTTTATGACCGAAACAGTCCACTGGAGTACTAATGATTTTTGTTTTCATGCATGTTTTTCAGTGAATGTGGATACATGGTGTACATCTGCTAGCATGCGCAGATATGTTTTTTGTAAAAAATAATCTTGTGGAGAGTTATGAATATTTGGTTTTGTATTTTGTGTAATTATAAGCAGAAAGTCAAGTGAGTAATCAGTATAAATTAATTATAACTAATGTTACCAAATGCTGCGGTTTCATAGCCCGTGTCTGAATTCTGGATCCTCTTTCAGTTTGGTAGTTTCTGCCTCCACCTGCCTGTGTATGATCACAGGGTGGTCCAGATTTCTGTCATAGTTCTGTGCATCACTTTTACCTGCTGATTGTTTATTTTTCTAGAAATGCACATTTGCTGCCTATATTTATTCATTTCCAGTATATTTTTTTCCCCTCAGGCACTTCTGTGGAATGCAGTAAGTTTTGTCCATAAACATTTGCTCTCTTTCAATTTTACAACCAAGATAGTACTTAATTTGTTTGCCCCTGAGCCTCCCTAGAGCAAAGAGGAAGGCTTGTGGATTGCTGACTCCTTGGAGGCTTATGAAATACATCTGAGATCTGTGAACGTATTAAAGAAAGTATCAAAGTTCATGGTTAGACATGAAGGACTCTGCATCTCCAAAAGTGATATTTTAAGAGTCAGTAACTGTTAACAGTATTGGAAAAACACTGATCTCAGCTAGGTCACTTGGGGCACATTAACACCATTCTACTCAGAGCTGTGTTAATTGTTATGTGGTCTGATACATTCCTGTGAAGTGGTACTTGCACACTGGTGCTCTGTTTGCTCAGGAGCATTACAGTTGTATCACTGCAGTGACCTGGCACACTTGACTTTTGGTGTAGCTGTTTCTTTTGAAGTTACTTTCTCTAGATTGTTATTATTGTAAATTGGAAATGTGGTTTTATCCCTTTTGCCACTTATAATACGGGAAAGTTAATTTCTTATTTCACACACACACACACAAAAAAGGTAAGCATGTGAAAAACTATGATGCTTTCTTGTTAAGTGTGAGAGTATACAAATGTGATGTGCAGCTAAGAAAGAGTTCTTAATATTTCTTGCTTGAAGGAGTCCATAGATTTGGGACAACTAGTGAAAATCGAGAGGGCTTTTGCAATGAATTGAATGCTGCTTTATTTGCTATGCTGTCAGGAGAATGTAAGAATTGAGAAAACTTTGTTAGAAGCTCTGTCAGTAACAGTTAGAAGTAATGAGGGACTTTAAATGCATAGATGTAGGATAACAGATCAGAATAGATGCTGACGAGAGAAAGGCAGAGGTACAAGTATAGCCATGCTAGTGTTGGAATAAGACTGCAGTCAGTGATAGAAAAGACTGTAAAATTAGATAGAAATCAGATTGTAAAATTTCAATGTCTTTAGAAAGTATTCTGCAAAACCAGATGGAACATTTTGCTCAAGTGCTCTTTTTTTGAATAACAGCAGAGTATGAGGCATTACAGTTTGTACAGAATCTGAAATATTGGTAAGACCATTTGAGTGGGTTTCCTTTGTCTGAATGTTTATTGTACATCTGAAATAGCTGTCAATTTACTTTGCAGACACAGGAGTCACAATAAAGTACACACCTACGGTGCAAATTATATTCTCTTAGACTGTACAACTTAAAAGAGTGAGCAGACTCGTATGCTAAAATTGCTTGTTATTTTCCACTAATTATGAGCTTAGGGCGTGATGAATCTTATTTTGCTTTAAGAGACCTAGGCTTAGAGGCATCAGGTTAATAACATGAAACAACTCTTAAAAATAAAGTAAGTAAAGTAATAAAGTAAGTAAAGTAAAGTAAGTAAAGTAATAAAGTAAGACTTTAAGATAATGGTGCATCTAGAGGAATGCTTGAGATGTAATGACTAATGTAGGAAGTAATTATTTATTGTAGACTTTAGGTTTATTTTTTTGTTGCTCATATTCTTTTTTGTTGCTCATATTCTTAAGTAAAGGAGAAGCCTGTATAAGGAAGGATTGTGGGAAATGCTGACAGAAGAGAAACAATCTGAAAAACTTGTTTTTTTAGGTAGCAGCATTATTACTCCATTATGGAGCTGATCCCTTATTAAAAAATGAGATGGGAAGGAATGCATTAGATGAAGCTTCTGACCTGTGCATGAAGAGACTGTTAAAACGCCATCTAGCAAGATATGAAAGAGATTCAGTGTCAGGTAGGAGAGAATAATTATTAAATGGAGGAGTTCCAAATATCTGTTGCACATATTTCCTTAAATATAGCTAGTAATTCCATGGGTTTTGCTGACTGATATTCTAGTGAGCACTTCTTCCCTAGCATGACTGCTGTATGTTTGCAAGTATAAAAGAAATGATATTCTTCTTTTTCTTGGACTAGAGCTATTTTTATATTTGAAATAAAGATGAGCACAAGAGGTGTTGTCTGTCTTAATGTAAGAGAGTTAATTGCTTATCGTTGGGCTGCTCATGTTAGAGTAGAAAATAGGGTAACATTACTATTTTGAGGATAGTATTACTGTAGCTGAACTGAGGTGAAGGCTGAACCTGTGAGGCATTGGTAGGAGAATGTTTAGATTAAGGTGAGAGTTAGATCTTGTATGATCTTTGGAGTTGGGAGGAATGTTCAGAGAGGGTTGTTTGGATGGGGGAGAGATATAAGGAAGTGCTACAAGATAAGCCTTGATTAGAGTTAGAATTAGGATTGCTGGACACTGATGAGCTAGTTGGGCTGTGGCACGTCTGAAGTAGTATCATAAAATGGCTTAAATTGGAAGAAACTTTATTGATTTTCTATTTCTGACACTCCTGTCATGGGCAAGGTTGTCACCCACCATCTCAGACTGCCCAGGATTCCATCTAACCTGGCCTTAAATTCCTCCAGAAATGGGTCTACAACTTCTCTGGGGCAACCTGTTCCAGTGCCTCACCCTCCTGAGTAAAAAATTTCTTCCAAATTTCTAACCTGAATCTCTTTTAGTGTAAAGCCATTCCTCCCTGTCCTATCTTTATCAGATTGTGTAAAAAAGTTGTCTCCCTCCTGCTTGTAAGCTTACTTCAAACACTGGAATACTGCAATGAGGTTTCCCAGGAGCCTTCTCTTCTCCAGGCTAAAGAAGCCCAGCTTCCTCAACCTTTCTTCATAGGAGAAGTGCTCCAGACCTTTGATCATCTTTGTGGTCCTCCTCTGAACCTGCTCCAATTGCTTTGCATCCTTCCTGTATGGGGTGCCCCCAGTTTGGACACAGTACACTGCATGGGGCTTTACAGAGGCAAATAAGCTTATAGAATAAGCTTAGAGTCAGGATTGTAAGGAGTACACAGAAGCTACTGGCTTGAAATATAAGGTAAATAAAGATTAAATTTGCTGGCAAGAATTTCTTTGCTTGGAAGGTCCTATGGTTAGAGTTTCAGGCTCCAGCCACCAGTGATCTTGTGGATATTCTGAGCCTTATTAAGATTGGTGGGACTGTATTACATTTAAAATTAAGGTTTGGGTTAGAACTTGTCCTAATCAGTGTTCAATAGCTGCACCATTGTGCTTGATTTGGGACCAAGACTGGAAGGGCTGGAAGTGGATCACTGAAGGTGGTCCTGAGGATTAAGGGTTGACATCTGGTAGGTGAGATTCCCAGAAGTGTTGGAGAAGGAGTTGACATGCTGTGAAATGCCTGTTTAATTTAAGTTGGTTCCAGCATGGGTTGCTGGGCAAACCTTCGAGCTGTGAGTAGCATACTTATTGTAGTAAAAATGGCAAAGTGTCATGAACTGGGTTCAGTGTTTTGTGACCAGCATACTTTTAAGAATGCTTTGCATGGATATATAAAGTGTATTTATACTAGAGTCAGAACTTGGTAGCTGCTGTACTACTTATATATCAATTTATCAGCATGGAAAGTATCTGGAAAGCTAAAACATGCCATCAAGGTACTAAATTGGTACTGGGAAATATCCCTCTTTATTTTTCCACTGAAGTCTTGACTTTAGCTATTCTGTATCTTTCTCTGCCCAAGTTATACAAGGAGAGGCATAATTATTCCACTGTTACTGGCTTCAGAAGTCTCTTGGGACCAGAGAAACCTACTGTGAGTTAGGAAAATGCAGCAGCTTCTTTAAGTTTCAAAAATAATTGCTCAAGTCATTAATCTTCAGAAAAAATTGTAAACATAGTTCCGTACTTTCCTCCACCCTCTCATTGTTTGTACAAAATCCCTTCTACAATGAAAATCAGACCCCAAAATTTTAATATATATATGTTTATGTATATATATGTTTGAGATCCTTATAGAATGCCTGTAGCTTGATAATTTTTCTGATAGTTAATGTGATGGATGGTGTTACACATAAGGTTACAGACACAAGATGCTATATATAGAAAGCAAAGAATTATAGCCCCTTTTCATTAATGCTCTCCTTCTGTCTTAATTTTATTTCAGGTGGAGGTGGTGCAGAGAATACATTAAGTGCTCAAAGCACAGAGGATAGAAACCTGCACCAGGTAGATCTTTACAGTCCCCTTGTTGATTTGGTACTGAGCTTATGGACTTCTAGCAGTCTTCAGTAGACTAGAACAGACAACTGCTTAAGAAATGTGTTTCAAAACCAGCACATAATATACTAGATGTTATATATCCAGCAGAGGCTGGATGAAGCAGGATGACATTCAACATTATGGCAAGCAGTTTGATAAATTGTTGCTGACCCCTGATAGTAATTACTGTCATCTGCAGTTTTGTGAACATGCATGACAGAGGCAGTCAGCTTTCTCTCCTGCACAGTGGTTCTTACTGAGTTTTTGCATGTTTTTGCTACAGAGGTGGTTTACAAAAAAATGGTACGTTAGTGCCTCTCTGTACTTTCAGAAACCTGGCTAAAACAAGCAGAAGTTGCCTGTTGCACAGTACTTGTTGCCTGGCTGGTAACACTTGGATAGCTTGTATCTGTGCAATAAGTTGTTTTTATTAGGTTAAAATAGGAAAAAGTTAGGGAACCTCTACCTTGGACAGGATTGCAGATAAGACAGTTCAGCATGAAAAAACTAAAGCACCAAAGGAAATATTTGCTAAACACGAATAAAGCAGAAGAATGAATTTGGTGAAATGTACCAAAAGATTTCTCTGCCCGGAGAAGTTGTGGAGTCTCCTCTGGAGACGTCGGCCTGGATGCCTACATGTGCAACCTGATCTAGGGAACCTGCTGTGGCCAGTGGAGTTGGACTCGATGATCACTAGAGGTCCCTTCCAGTCCCTACAATTCTGTGATGGTGTGATACAATACAGTTCTTCAGGGTTTTGGAGCCAGAAAACTGAATGGGGAAAAAAAAAAACCCACAAAAAATGAGCATTAAAAAAATGTGAATACCTGTTATTGATATTGCAGAGGCTAGAGCCAAGGCTAAAACTACTCAGAAGTAATTTCAATCAGAAAGAATAAACACAATAAGTATTTATTTTCTTTTTGTCCATCTACATACCAAGGAACGAATACGGGGAAAACTTAATTCCCTGGTGTTGGTCCTAACAATGGACATCACTGTTATTGTTTCCAATTGTAATTGTTGCATTCCAGTTAAAGTTGTATGAAAACTGAGCTTAGTAAATCAGACAGAATTGCAACAGAAAAACTGCAGAAGGACAGAAATGACAGTAGCTCAGCAAATTCTGTTGTAATAGAGATGATCACTAGACTTTGTTGTTCTGCATCATTGGTACCTGAATAAAAAATGTCTGTACAGCTTTCTGAGACTACTGATTTAACAGAACATGATTCTCATTTGATTCTTGTTTTGACTTCCTCTCAAAAGGGTGATCACTAAGTAATGGTGGTAGTATGACTAGACAGGAATCTAAATACTGATATGAGTCTATCTTCAGAACAAATAATTTCTTTGCAAAACTTACCAAATCAAGTTAAATCTATTGTTGATGGAAACAAAATTAATAGAGCTACTCTGATTTTTGTAACTTTCTTTGGCTTTGTGTTCAAGGGTTCCTTACAAATTGATGAGTCAGAACTAGCGTGTGCAAATCTTACTGATTCAGGCAGCACAGACATAATGCAACAGACTATTGAAAATGAGGTGCAAATGGATGATGGAACCAGCTGCATGGAATGCATTCTTAAAGTAAATACAGAAACACTCCTTGTGCATGAGCTTTTTGCGACTTCTAGTGAAGTGAGTTCTTCTAGAAGTCCTTCTAATTCTATTGATGATGTACTGAACAACAATGAACAAAAGGCTCTACAACCAGAAACAAGAGTGGATATCCTGCTTAATGCAGAACAATGCACTGGAAGATGTCACATGAAGGAAGCTAAAGATGCTCATAGTTTAGAGATATTGTTCAGAGCTTTACAACTCCATGACAAGAAAGTATATCAAATTAAACGGAAGAGACAAGATCTTAAGGACACCAACTCAAAGTCAGGTTTGTATTTCAGTATTTATACAGAGAAGAAGTCTCCTTATTCATTTCAAAAGGTGCAAAATACATTGAAAAAAACTACTCAGGAAACAAGGGCTATATTTTATTTCAAAATAGTCATTTTATCAATTGGCTGTAAGCATTCTATGTACTTTATTTAAAGTGAAAAACAACAACAACAACAAAAAAAACACCATACCTGTGGTTTTCCAGAGAATGTACCATAAATGGCAAAAAACATGTAATATGTTCTGATACAGTCTACAATGCCACATTAATTATTTGGTCATTTTTGCTTTGTATTTTAGGAGCTATTTTAGATCAAAATTCCCATTGAATTTATCAAAATATGACCACTGTGTTTGTTAATTAGAATAAGATTCGTAAGCACCTTAATTTTTTTTAGGAACATGAATCCATAAAAGTCTTATTATCACAAAAGAATCTTTGAACTGTTTTGGATTTAATATCATTATGTTTGCATACAGTGAAGAGTGGATAAAGTATTATGCTAGAGTATCTATAGCTTGTTACTCAGTAAAGAGTTAAGTGATGTTAAAATCAAAATTACCATCTAGTCCAGGACAAGCTACCTCTGCAGTAACCCATTCAATTTTTAAAAATTCAAGTTATTTTTTTGGACTGACAGATAAAGGAAGATTTTCTGGAATGGATGGAACAGAAGGCACAGAAAAGAATAAAGAAAGAAGTGAAAAGAGCAACGTGCTCTTGCAGTTCTCTGAAGTAGAAGTCCAAGCGAAAAAATTAAGGTTAGACCCACAAGAGACAAGACAAAAGACAGACTTGTGTTTTAGTGTAAGGAAAAACGAGCTTTCGTCTACTCATTCAAAATTCAATCAAGCATCAGCAGAGCAAACAACTAAGAAATCAGGTAAAAAGTTAATATTTTGAGAAAAAAGTGTTTTTATTTCCCAGACATATGGGTAGAAAGCTTCTTGTAATATAGGAGGGAAAGCATGGAAAAGTATGAATAGCATACTCAACAAATAATCTAGTCATTTCCAAATACTTGAAATACTGCCAGAACTTACTCATTTTTACAAAATAGATGTTCTTGCTCTGTTTCATTTGTTGCATTTGTCAGTCTTTTTTTTGTTGTGTTAACTGATAGAACACAGAGTCATAAGTAAGATTTTTAAATAAGACTAAATTGGTCCCTTATTAACTATGCCACTTAACTGAGAGCTAAAGATTATGCTAAGTTGGTCTTCCATGAAGTATTTTATGCATCACATATCAAATAAAGGTTGGCTTTCTGTAAATTTGGCACATGTATATGCATTTCCATTTATTATTTCTGTTTCTGTCTTTTCTCACAAGAGCTGCATTTTTTTGGATGACTTTGGTCTGGATGCTGACTATCCTTAATATGTTAAACTAAGGAATCACCACCCAATCTCTGATTCTTCATTCATGACATTGTTCATATCATGACAAAAATTAACCAGTAAACCATGCAAAGTTCTTGCTGATCTTTTCTCTTTGATAGTCACAAGCTTCTTGATTTTTTTTTTTTTTTCTCTTGAGTTGTACAGAATGCTGTTTCCTCTTTCTCTCTCAGATGGTTACTAATTTTCAATCCTTCTCAAGTTTCTGTTGACTTGAGTTTCTGGAGCAAGGTCTTGTATTCTGTTGGAAGTGAAGGAGTAGATGAAAAGAAATAGGTGCTTCTTGCTGCTTGCTGTGATCCAGTATTTGGTGGTGTCAGTATGTAGCTTTCCTATCTCTAGACTACGTCCTTCTCTTGTATGAATCCCTTTTTATATCATTCATGGACATTGCACAATCGATGCATGTCGCTATCTGCTTTTAATTATTGCAGGAATAAATAATGAACGTGGAAATCATTCATTTCCCTATTAATGTCCTTTTCTGCATCTCTTATGCTTCTGCTCAATACTTATAGTGGGGTAAATGGGATGTTTTTTCCTTTACATTTTTTACTTCCTCAGCAAAATAAAGTAGATGGGATAATGTTTTATAGCTTGCAAAGTTTTCAGATATTTTTGCCTTTAACTGGCTTTTGTATCCTTTCTGATTGTTCAGTGTCCCAGTGACTTCCCTTATATTATTCCATTCTTGAATGAAAATTTCCTGTTCCTAGATGATCGTATGCACAGTACTACTTCAGTCTAATCAGTCACCTGTTAGGCTCTTAGCATTCCTATTCTGCTTACAGAAAATGAGGGCACAAACAGCTTGCTTTTCTTATAGTCTGGCCTGTGAAAAGAATTACTCATAGACCAGTAGTGAACTATTCAAGTGCCTGTTTAAAGAAGCTGTTGAAATATTGCAGCCTATTCAAACCTAACTGTTGGCTACTCTAGCCTCTCCGCCTTTTCTTTTCTCATGCAATCACTGGATTACATATCTGCCAAGGTCCTAATCTTTCCTGCTTATGAGTCACCAGGCAATGTACTTAATGGGGAACTTTGATTCACATACCATTGTTTAATTATGCTATTTCAAATGCTTCCTAGCAAGCATGAAGAATAGTGTTGTGCATGGCAACTTAACTGGAAAACGTTTCAAATATTTCTGTTCACTTGCAGCCTTTATTACTAAGCGTTGTTGACTTAATGGGCTGTTGTGCACCTTTTTTCTCCCCTATATCTCTAAAAAGAGTCCCTAGGATACTGTCTCATGAATAAAGGGGGTGGGAGGGAGGGAAGCAGAAAGTAAATGATTACTTTGGGAGTTCATACTCAGAAGCTTGTAAACAAAATACAATATGTTATTTTACAGAAGTATAGGTCTCAGGCTAGTGGAGAAATATTTCAATAACGTGCCCCTTCTGCATGCTCTTTAATCAAAGTTTTCATTTGAAAAATAGTTTTTAGCTCCTTTGGTTCTCCATACAGTGGCCCAAGTGCACCCATTGCAAAGTTGGCCCCAGAAATGCTGTCTGACAGATTATAATAGCCAATGTAGAGCTCTGTGCTGTCATGGTCTGTATGCAGTAGGACCTGCACAACTTTAAAGTTAGTGTGGATACATCCTCACTACATGTCTGTCTTTTATATAGTGGCAGTATGTCTTTCTGTGCTTTCTAACACTCCTGCATGACAGACTCAGTAGTTTACCTTAAATTCATTACCTTAAATGAAACCTTGGAAAAATATTTTTTCTGGAAGATGGGAAGAACCTAAAGCAAGGCAGCTGTCAAATCATGGAAGATATTTGATAGTAATTAATACTGATAGCTGGAAATATTTGAGAAGACAGCTTCTCTGATGAGAAGAGGAAACATTTGGGATGCAGGAACTAATTGTTCATATAAATAATTAAAAAGAAAGCACGGCGAAGAATTGAAAAATATTTTTTACTTTCCTTTTTTTTTTTTAATAAATTCCGTATTTTTAAGAAATAAGGAAAAGAAATGAATGATTATTATTATTATTTTTAAATATAATGGCATAGTATTAAAGCATTGAGAACAATAGTGGAAAAAAAAAAGGTTAAAATGCATGGTAGAGCTTTTGAAATTTAACACACTGTGACACAGACATGCATGTCTGTTTTGTTGCAGTTTGCTGGAGAAGGTCATCGTTACTTTGTATACAGAATTAATACTTTTTAGATATATTCCTTTATATTTCTTCCAGTTCTGTGTCTGTTACCTGAAGCCTGGGAATTAGGATCTATTTCATGAGCATATGATACTTTTAAAAGTAGATATTGTTTGTTTTGTGAACCAATAAGAGAAGGATTAAACAAAAATTATTTACAAGTGCTTTACAAGTTTAATTAAAAGGTAGTTAAGCTATGCCACTTGACATTAGTCAAATATTTGTAATCAGTTTACAGGACTTTGTCACACCACAGCTGTAAAAATACCTACCATAGAAATCTTTGTCCTCTCTGATACAGAATCCAGAATGGAAAAGTGATAATGGTTGTCTTCACTTTTAAATGCATTCTTAAATACCTTTTTCTGTATATTTTGTATATTTGGCAGGCAGGCATGGTAAATTATAAGAAATTCGTGGAGAAATGCAACATACTTCCTACCTCTGTATAGTATAAAACTCTTCAACCTTGTTACCTTTCCTGTTCATCTGTAATCATCAAATCATAGAATGGCTTGGATTTCAAGGGACTGTAGAGACCACCCACTTCCAATCCTCTTGACATGAGCAGGGTTGCCAATCACTAGATTGGGCTGCCCGGGGACCCATCCAGCCTGGCCTTGAACATCTCCAAGGGCAGACTGGCATCCATACTTCTCTCAGCAACCTGTTCCTGTGCCTTACAACCCTCTGAGTAAAGAATTTCTGCCTAACATTTAATTTAAGTCTCCCTCTTTTAGTTTAAAACCATTCCTCCTTGTCTTATCAATAATCTCGTACTCTTCTTAAGTCATCTAGATCTGAACTGTAAATGTTTTGACACTTAGTTTATCCACATCATGTTGATGTTATTGTCTAAACTTTTGATGTAGTCGATATTACTGAATAATTAAGGCTATGTTATTGCACAAGTTTACACTAATTCAAATTAGTTACGAAGCTTGATTCCTTGTTTAAAAGGAAGCATTTTTTTTGTTGCTAATAGGCATCAAGTATGTGTTGTAGAATATTATTTATCTACCAAAAATGAAGGTATAATTTTACATGTATATAATGTAGAGTAGTGTATATAATGTAAAATAAAAGAAGACTTTATGTTACTTGTATTACAGCACCTGAGACGAAAAAGAGAAAGAAGAAAAGTGCAAAAGGAGAAACTGAGCTTCATATTGCTGCTAGGAGGGGAAATTTATCTTTGGTGAAAACTCTGATATCATCTGGAATTCCTGTAAATGAACAGGACAATGCAGGTTTGAGTACTGCTTTCTTATGAATTTGTTTTAGATGTAATTTGGTATCATTTACAGTCTATATGGTCTTACACAGTTTCATGTAAATTTAATATAGTTTTGGAATCTAGATTTATTTTTGTTACTCTTGAAGCTATTCAATCATAATGCTATAGAAAACAGCTTCTCTTTGTCATTGTTACTTATTTATTAAATAAATACAGTTCATTTGGATTTTTAATTTTTTTCTTATATTTTTTCAAATATTTCTATAACAATTTTAAATAACACAGGAATTATTGGAAATACACTGCATATGTGCTTATAAAGGTATACATATATCCACACATTCCTTATGTACAAGCATTTAAACAAAACCCTTATAGTGATGGGGTATATGATAAACTGTGGAACAGAGTGATACACTCTTTTGTCTTTATGGCAGCTTGAAATTAATTTTTTCTCTCTTGATGGGTGAGGCTATTGGTAAGAAAAATTGTTCATGCATGTATCAATTTAGGATTTTATTCCAAAATTCTTAATTGAGGAAAGAGAAAGTCATTTTATTAGTACAAGCGGTTTTGAACCTCTGGATTTGTGTCTCAGCATGGAGCAATGCAACCTTTCCCTCAGCAGGGACAATAATCGAGTCATTTTCCTCTATTGATGAGTAGATCACAGGAGAGTGTATGTAAGTTGTGATGTGTGAGACCTTACAACCATTATTAAATTCTGTTGAATGACCAGTGCCCATGAAAGATCAGGGGTAGCTGATGCGTATGTACATGAATATATATCTTTGCATGAAACGCAGTCACATGTATCTTATTTCCTTGGGAGCAGTTCTAAAAATCATTTGCTTAAATTCTTTCTACTCGCTTTTTAATTGCTTTTTTGTTTGTTTCTTTTATTATTTTTAGTAGTTAAATAGAAAATATCTTTCTGGTTGATGTTGGATATATTTTTCTCTGAAGTAGCTGAATTCATGGGACATAATTTACCTTAGTAATTCAAGATGATTCTATTTGAGATTAGTCTTAAAGACTAGAAGTCCAGTGTTTATTTTACAGAAAATCTTACACTAAAATGTGTAGTTGCTAGTTAATGGTTTCTGTGAATGTTGTACATGTCATCCTGCTTTGTTTAGGTTGGACAGCAATTCATGAAGCTTCTGCTGGTGGATTTACTGAAGTGATCTCAGAATTACTGAAAGCTGGTGCTGATGTTAACAGCAGAGGTCTGGATGGTATTTTGCCAATACATGATGCTGTTTATATCAATTCTTTGGAGGTATGTTTTTCTTGTAAATTACATTACCTGAGTCTAATTTCCAGTATTGGGCCAACAAAGTAAAATAGTGGTTTAAATATGAAAATTCTAAAGTTCCTAGTACAATGTTAACGTATATTTGAATTCAGGAAGTAAATCAGTGTTCTCTGAGTCAATGAAAATTAAAAGAATTATTTTTCAGAAGTGACAGTTGAGACTGTACAGTTAATTGACATTTTCAGTCCACTGTATACAAATCTGAAAAGTACAGTAGCAACCAATGTTGAGAAAAAAATCTTTTCCAGTTAATGAAAAAATAGTTGATTATTGAACAATAGACTTAGTTCTTTTCTCTTGTTGTGTTTTGTTGTGGGTTTTTTTTTCATTTACAGTGTCTAAAATGAGTAAAAGAAGTATCAGGTTTAGCAGTTAAAAATACCTTGTCATATTTTTTCCCTTTTGTAAACTTTTTCTTACCCATTCTTCGTTCCCATTTAAAAATATTTCCATTTAGTGTTAAATAAAATCCAACTTGATTTAAACTTTAAGAGTGTAGGAGAGAAGGTGAGCTCTTTTCAGTTGACAAAGGGAATGATACGTTTGCAAGACTGCTTAACATTGCTTGTCTCTAACAATGGTTAACAGCTCGTCCCTAATGTGGAGCTCTTCAGTGATTATATGTAAAACTAACTTAGGAAGTTGAACAAGTGGAGAACTAGTCATCTAAAAACAAGGCTTTCTTTAGGAGAGCCTGCTGAACCTGTTTAAGAACTGTGCCACCATAAGGAAAGGAGTAGACCAGGCTGCTTATCAGGAGTAGTAGAAGCTGAACACTACTCCAGCATGGACTGGGATAGGTAGCCGTGGAAATGGGAACATTTGGATTCCCCCAGGCTGGAAAGTCCTAAATGACTGGGAATTCCTCATACCATAGACTAGGTTTTTGTTACTTGCATGGTAAAGAAATTTAGTTGAGGAATGTGCTTTGGATCCATGCAGAATTGGTGAAATAAACACACTCCTCAAGGAGACAGCCAAATGTCTGCCTTTTATTTGAATGAACAAATAAGTAAAATGTTTTGGCACAGTGAGCCCCAAGGAATTGAGCATAAGCAGATGATGCCAGATTGACTCTAACTTACGCTCTATTCCTATCAAAATAGCTGATTTTCCATCTCATTTATCTTACCTGTGAGGCATCCTATTTATCTTTTCTGTGGGGCAAGATAAAATGGAAGAGGTGATTTCACTGTGTTAGTACTTTCCTCTCAATAGGATTCTTGAAAACGTGTAAATATTGTTTAGTATTTGTAGGGGAAACCAGTACAGAAGATTCTGTCACTACTCTAGAAACGGCACAGCAGATTTTGAACTTCCATATTCTTCCTAATATTGAACAGTAAGAAAATTAGAAAAGCTAAATATGAAAAATCATACATGATCATTTCTTATGATCTGAATTTTAAAGGGTATATAATTCCATCAATGCCACAAATCTCTTTTCCACATTTTAAAATTAAGTATACATAAAAGTGATTTGGATTTTGGAAAGAAAAAAAAAAATATTAGTGCATATAATTGAAGAATAAAACCACTATTAAATATCCGAGGAAACAACCCGTTTTGCACTTTGTTCATAGTTCACCTTTTTTTAAAAAAAATTTAGGTCTGTGATGTTTTGTAACTGCTGTATGTAACACTAGCACAGGCAAGGCAAGTTACAACAGAAAGTTGTAAATTATATGTGTATTCTAAGGAAAGATTAGAAATAGAAGAGCCATTTGGACTTACTTTTTTAATTGAGACTGCAAGTGTGACAACTTTATCGTATTTTTGCTCCTTGTGATTTATGATAAGTAATATTTATCATTTATAAGTTATATCGTATGTCCACATCAAGAATAATCACAGTACATATAAGACTATTTAATAGGCAGCCAGGATTCTACTGCAGCATGGAGCAAATCCATGTGAGAGGAATGATTCTGGGAGAAGTGCTTTGGATGAAGCTTGTGATGATGAAATGAAAGAACTGCTGATGTCTTACTGTTCTGTTGAATATGTACTTCCTGTTGAAACTAGTGACGTTACAGGTATTTTGCTTTTAGAATATAAATCATAAGATTACACTGTAATCTCAGTGCAAAACTATACATTAGAATGCAATATCCAGAGCTGCATATTGTCTGGCACAGATATTTTTAACTTTATTATCAACTAATTATTATTTATATATTTTAGAATATAGGATACATAAGGGTGTTTTTTTCCTGAAAATGTGAGGAATAACATACCATGGATCTTCAGATTTTTGTTATAATCTTTAATTGTAGCTTTAAAGACTATTTTTTCATACTGCTTAAATTTGACCACATTTGCATATGCAAGATGCTTTTATCATAGTCTGGTCTACCATTTTATTTCTGTAACCTGTATTAGCTTGTCTAACACATTGTGATCCTGCAATTTCATTTAAAATTATATTTATTATTTTTATTTTTCTTAGTTGCAAAGTGTACTATAGGTCAAGAAGACAAAATGTACTGCAGGTCAAGAAGACAAAAAACTGTTTGTTTTAAATGTTGGGAAAATGGTGATACTTCTTCGGAGCCACAAAGTGAGAAATACAGTGTGGTGAGTATGGATAATAGAAGAGTTTTGTTGTACTGCTCCATAGTGTGCTACTGTATAGTGTCATTTACTGGCTGAATAGCATTAAACTATCATTAAAATAATTGACCCTCCAGATTATATGTAAAGAACAGTATCATGGTCAGTAGACTGTGGATTACAGCATATGAAAAAATTGTGGATTATCTGTTCATGATTCCCACGCGCTTATACATCTTGCGCAAATAGTAGGCAACACATACATATTTTTTATTGCTTATATGAACGTAAAAAGGTGAGGAATCCTAGCTTTCCATCAATAAAGTGTGATGTTTTTTCTTCACAATGAAGACATTTAGAAATCGTTTAATCTGAGTTTAAAAGACCACAAAGATTTTTGCATAGTTTGTATGTTAGGAAAGCTGCTACTGATACTTACAGCAATGTTTAAGTTGTCTAGGTGTTACTGTCATGGTGAGATTCACTGTCTGATTGCTGTGGTGAACTCAGAGGTGGATTTTAAAATAGACTAGTTTGAATGACTGGGCAAACCCAGGCTGTGATATCTCTTTACAGAGCACAGCCTCCACAGTATTTATATCATACCAGTGCCCCCATGGCTTACACATAGCAGCTGCTCCCTCTCTGGAATGATTTGAGTCCAGCAATACTTACCTTGCAGGCCATGCATCATGATCAGTGTGTTACACAGTGCATTTGACTCTACTTCTTGTTATGATGTATTTGTTAATAGAATACTGTTGCTGCCATACAAGATATTGAAAAGAAGCAGAAAGAGCTGTTGTTACTTGAACTGAGAACTTCTGAAGATGCAGGTAGATTAAATTCAAGTTTTTTTCAGTTACCTTTTGGTAAATATCGAATACCATCATTTTAGAAGTTGTATTGCAAGTAACTTGTTTGGATAACTTCTCTAGAAATTACAACTTGAGAGTAAGATTTTAATTCCAGTTCCCAGCAGCTGTTCTTCCTAGAATGCTTCTAGTTTATTTAAGAATGAAAAACTGAAAGCATGCTGCTTGGCAGCACAGAAATATTTTGTTTCAAATCAAACTAATAGTATAAAAAAAAAAGATCATCAAATAAAAAACACACGCTTTTGGCAGCATTCTTCAGTGATAAGCCCCCCCCCCCCCTCATGAGCATGAACAGTTGTTTGTATGTAAAAGTAGTGGTTATATCATTTTTGTTCTATTGCAGCTGCTTTTTCAGCAGCCTAAAATAATTAATGAGGGAGAAAAGAGAAATATTACAGTAGGTGTTGTTGATAGTGGGCAGTTTCAGAAATGCTGATGCCTGATTGTGTAATTTGACTTGGCCTACCGAATCTCAGTCCAGATTAATCTCAAGAGACTACTAAGTGACACTGACTTCCTAGATGATGAGGCTGTGACTGTTCAAGTGGCAGAGCTTGCTGCAAGAAGGCCTTTGATCAGTGTGTTTCTCCCAGACTGCCTCTACTATCTAGGCAGAACTGTGTGTATTTTTGAGCAGCTCCTGCCCATGAGAGTGTTTTGCTGGAGAAGGAAAGTTATTTTCTTTCTTCTTTCCCTGAAAATAGCTTGAAGCTTTCAAATTATATTTAAAGGGATCAGTTTATCCCTTCAAAAATAAATGTGAAATAGGGAATTATACAGTCTTACAGCTTCTAAGTCAAAATTACGAAGTTTGAACTGTTAATTAAGACTATAGTTGCTTTAAAAGTATTTGTTAAATAGACAGGTGCTAGGCAGAATCCTCTATGTATGATAAAGCTTCATGCATAATAAGGTGAAACAGATGTTTACAATTTCATGAATGAGGAAAATAAGAAGTATCAGACTTCCTGTTTAGGGACATAAGTGAGATGGACATGGTGATTTGTTACCACTTCTGACTAAAGTATTAATCATCCAGCTACTTGTTATATGAAATCATAATTACTACTTGTGAAGAAGCACAAGGCTGAACAAGTATATGACAATATATTGACAAACTAACAGTAGAGAATGAGGTATGTTTATGCAGCACAAACTACTCTGAGATTCTCTGTTAAATTACCTTAAACTCATTCAGGGTGGTAAGGTACCAGCACAGGCTGGCCGGAGAAAATGTGGGTGCCTCATCTGTTAAGGCATTTAATGCCAGGTGGCAACCCTGCCATGGGGGTTGGAATGGGACTGTCTTTAAAGTCTTTTCCAACAGAAACCATTCTGTGACTCTATGATAAATTAGAGCAGTATTTTAATATCTTTCTAATTTAATAAATACTGGTAGGTACTATGAAATATGTTATTTGAAATGTAAATACATTTTTTAGTCATATAATTACCCATTTTCCATAAGGAAATCTCATCTTTCCTGTTTTATACGTTCAGGGATTGTATGTTTCACGTGTTATTCCAGTGGTGTCTGCTGGCCATGACTTATGAACTCTCTCTTATGATATATATATAAGAAAAGAGAGCATCCAAAGAATAATTAACTGCTTCTCCTATTACAGAAAAATATAGCGAATAAGAATTTATGATTTCTAATCTTATTCTGTAATACATATTTGAAGATATGTAGGAATAAAGCACGTATGCTTTTTGCATATTTTTGACTGGGAGCAGCTCCAATTACAGAATCACAGAATTGCCAGGGTTGGAAGGGACCTCAAGGATCATAAATCTCCAACCCCCCTGCCACATGCAGGGCCACCAACCATTCCACCTAATGCTAGACCAGGCTGCCCAGGGCCCCATCCAATCTGGCCTTGAACACCTCCAGGGACGGGGCATCCACAACCTCCCTGGGCAGCCTGTTCCAGTACCTCACCACTCTCTCCGTAAAGAATTTCCCCCTGACGTCCAACCTAAATCTCCCTTCCCTCAGCTTAAAACCATTTCCCCTTGTCCTGCTGTCACTCACCCTTTCAAAGAGTTGATTCCCCTCTTGTTTGTAGGCTCCCTTTAGGTACTGAAAGGCTGCAATGAGGTCACCCCGCAGCCTTCTTTTCTCCAGGCTGAACAAGCCCAGCTCCCTCAGCCTGTCCTCACAGGGGAGGTGCTCCAGTCCCCTGATCATCTTTGTGGCCCTCCTCTGGACCCTCTCCAACAGCTCCCTGTCTTTCTTGTACTGGGGGCTCCAGACCTGGACGCAGTATTCCAGATGGGGCCTCACAAGAGCAGAGTAGAGGGGAACAATCACCTCTCTGTCCCTGCTGGCCACCCCTCTTCTGATGGAGCCCAGGATCCCATTTGCCTTCCGAGCCGCAAGGGCACACTGCTGGCTCATGTTAAGTTTTTCGTCTATCAAGACCCCCAGGTCCTTCTCCACAGGGCTGCTCTCAAGGACCTCTCCTTCCAGTCTGTAGGGATGCTTGGGATTCCTCCGGCCCAAGTGCAAAACTCTGCACTTTGCCTTGTTGAACCTCATCAGGTTCACCCGGGCCCACCTTTCTAGCCTCTCGAGGTCCCTCTGAATGGCATCCCGTCCTTCAACCGTGAAATCAAATTATCAAATTATTGTGTACTTCAGATATAAAGGTTTTAGCTGCTTTCTTAAGCTTGTGTAATTTCTGCAGATTGCTTCCCATAGCAGGAGGGATTGAAACCAGATGACCGATCTGGTCCTTTTTTATCCAGGCCATTCTATGATTCTGTGATTCTATGATATAATCATTATGTTACATAGCTCCTTGCAACATGAAGAACTTCAAAAAGTTTTCAGTGCTTCTCAGCCATGGGGCAGTTCTCTCAATCTGCTTTGTTCCCTTTATAACTTCCTAGACTGGGCACTGATACTTCAAACTTTTCTGATACTTGGACTATTTAATTTTAAATTAAACTTGTACTTAGTTCTTCCTGAGACTAATTTCTCTAGAAGTGCTCTGTTTGTGAATGGCTGTGTAAAGCTGTAACAATGTTTTTATACTTTGGCAGTGGTTTTTGCTATATTAAATGTGTTATTGCTACAATTATTTTCTATTAATCATCACTATCATCCTTCTGTTTGCATCAAAATAATGGACAGATTTGTTTACCCAAGGCGTGTCTCAGATAGAAGGTACTTTGAATAAAGTGTTTGCAGAACAGAAAGCAGACAGGGCTGCCCTTGTTAAAAAATACAGGTACGTAGAATACAAGGTTTGTATTTATAGGATTTTGACAGAGGTGATTAGGAGATTAGTAACAGTGCTTTGAAAGCAGAACAGAATATTTTCTTTCAGCCTTTGCTGCAGATCCATATTAGCTTCTGTTACCTCTAGTAGGAGGAGAATTACACAGATTACATGAATTACTAGGAAAGTTAATGCAAGAGAATTTAGGGTTCCAAACTATTAATGTGAACAAGGTATTGAATGAATTAAAAACAAAGACAAAACAATCTATATTTTCACAATTTCTGCCTTCTAACATTGAGAAAAAAGGTGTTCTGAAGAAAACTGATAAGTATTTCTGGGTATTGCAGATACCCTATGCCTAATGCATCAGCTGTCCATCAACAGTAATGAACTAAATTTCAAATCTTATTATATTTCCTTTTAATGATTTATATGATGTACAGTTTGTTTTTAAAGAAGTAACTTAAAATCTTTTGCCACACAAGACATGAATGTACAGAAGATAAGGAAGCATCGTCATGTTTTTTATCTTTCTGTTGCTCACTTAGTTGGCACAGGAAGATATATTACTTCTCAATCTCTGTATATTCCTTTGAAGATACTAAAATGTTTTCTTACCTAAGAAAAATGAGGAGAAAAAAAACATTGTATGTTACTTTGCCCTTGTCATTCCAGTCATACCATTTTTGCCTCATATTTACTCTTTAGCTTCAGCTTCTTCTGTATTTATACAGCAATAAAGCAACAACATTTCACCAAAGAAAAATTACTGGAGTGTCACAGTATTCTCCAGGATTCTGTAGTTGTGAAGACTCAGTGATATTAGTGATTGATAATAAGCTGATTATGTTGATCATATCATGGATTCTAATTATATCACATTGGCATTAATATTGGGCATTAATACAGTCACACTGTAATTTAGTTGTCCTTGTTCTATACCAACTAGTCTCACTGTACCTCTGTCTTGAACCCCTCTACACTCTCTCTCTTCCCAGTGTGGGGTAATGTTACTTGCATGGTGTCTGTGCTATTGGTGAAGTTTAAAGCAAATCTTGCTGCTGTTCCTTTTCTCACACCTTGTGGTACTCCTCTATCTTTCCAGTAAGATGTCAGAGCAGTGGTGCAATCAATTGCCCCATGAGGTGGAATTAGGAAAAAAGAGTATGGGGTCATACTGGTGGTTTTCATGCTGAAGTGGTGAAAATAACGAATTCCCATTTCAGCAGGAGGTGAAATCCCTGGAAAGTAGTCTTAAAGGGAGACAACCCAAGCTGGGCCTGATGAAAAGAAAGAGATTCCCAGGCTAGCATATAGCATTCTAAACTGCTCTGCCCCTTGTCTGAATGGTTATGGTAGTATTATTACAGTTTTGATTTTCTCTAAGCATTTTGTAGTGAAAGGCCATAAAAAATATGTGATAATAACTTCAAGAATTTATTCTGAGCTCACTGTAAAAAAGACTCCTAATTTGAGCAGCAGTGGCACTGAATTCAATGAACTATTGGGATTTGCAGTGATAAAAGGCTGACTAGTGATAATACAAGCCTGATGAGTTAGAAGTGATATAAAGTTTTTACTGCATTTTTGGTGCTTTGCATCTTACTTTTAGACAGGATTCTGCAGTTTCTTGTGCATAAAGCCTTGCATTTGAACAATAAACTTAATATATTACCAACTTTAGATATGATTAAAAAAAAGCTTTGTTCGTATTTTAGAGGTTGATAAAGTCCTTTGAAACACTTTTCAGTGAGTTAAGCTGTTCCTGTTTGTGTTCACAGTAACTCTGGAGTTTTTTTACTACTTTTAAATTTTCTGTAGGTCTTCAGCAGAATCTTTTAAGCATGGGTTGAACAAGTAGCTAACCTCTCTTCCAGGCAAAAGAATCTGTTGACTGTTGTCCAAAACCAGAAGAAATTACTCCAGAAAATAGAAAATTATAGAAAAACAAAGCAAGTGTTCAGAGCATCAGATTCAGAGAAGCAAATCATGAATCCCAACGTTGTTACATATGCTATAGGGCTTGGTGCCAGTATGCCTAATGAAAACAGAGTAAAACCACATCTCTCTTCAGAAAATATATTTTCAGCTCAGGAGTGCAGCCAGTCTCCAAACAACTGCTTGGCTGAGACAGAAACTAACAAAGAAGCAGTAAGAGGCAAAGTGGTTTCTGATAGCACTTCAGCATCTGAAAACTGGATAAGAAAATGTTACTTCTATGACATGTCAGGGTTGACAAATGCTATAGAGTTAGTGGCATTGCCTTCAAAACCTGCAGCTTCCACTGCTAAAACTAACTGTTTGCAGCAAAAGGACATTGATCACATACCAGTTGGAGAGCAAGGAAATGAGTTATTAGATCCCACTTCAGTGACCAACACATTAAGTATTTCAGAAGCCCAAAGCACTGCTGCCAGTAACAATGTTTGTCAGCCAGGTGGTGACTGTCAGCAGGTTCTTGCCGATGAGGGTGTATGCAGATATGTAGATAAGAAAAAAGCTCTCCAACAGCACCAGCAAGTAATAACATCAGCATCCACAGATAACTTTCCTAATCTGCATGAAATGTTCTTTCGGAGTCATGGGAACTCATTTAATGCAGAATCAATGGCTGCAAATTTTGCATCAAACACAGATTATCCAGTAAACCTTAGTGAGAAATCTTTCCAGAACTATGGTTACAAGGAATGTGAACAAAAACAAAGGAAATATGTGAGAAAAAACACAAAAAAACTTCAGCTGATAGATCTTCTTGAATTGGGAATGATTAAGCCAGGAGAAAATGTTTTGGAATTCACACTGAAGGTAATTGTTGAGACATAATGATACTAATACTAATGAATAATTGTGTGGGGGGGGAAAAAACAACATTAAAATGGGGAACGGTAGTCTGTATTGTCAGCATTTAGTAGTGAAAAATTTTAAGTGTTAATTACAGGTGATCTTTTATGAGTTGTAAAAGAAAATGTTATGGATAATGTCTTCTGGTTAGGCTGTGACTTTAACACACAAAATACTGCTTAAGAAGTGTTTAACTTTGCATTATCAGTTTCTTAGTGTTTCCTATTGCTAAAGTCAGAGTAGAATTGTTGGCTGTGCATTGCTAGTTTTTCAAATTTAAAGGATGAGACTGTTAAGGTTTTCATGACTTAGTTTTTTGAAGCAGCTATCAAGGATTTCCTCTGTGTCATGGTAGACATGAATGTGTGCCAGATTTCTCACTAGCTGGTTCTGGGGTCTAATACAAACCGTGTCTGCAAAAAAATGAAGAAAAATCAACCTCTATTTAATATGAAAACATGCCCCCGTGTTTCCAAATACAAAGCAGACTTTTAAGACAGATGCTGAGGACCAGTCTTAGTATTGAGTAAATGGTGGAATTATTGACTGAATTCCCATCTGTGAGCTAGTTAATTTCCAGTGCAACATATTAATTAGAATGTGAAAGGTTGTTTTCAGCTAACCAGATATAGTTAGTTAAGAAAAGACCTCTTTTTCTGCACCTACAATCTGTTCAGGAATGCTTTTCTTCTGAGAGCATCTGGTTTGTTGCTATGTTTGTTGCACTGTCCATAAAGCAGTGTTAGCAAGTTACAGAACTCTACACTGGATTATGTCATAGATCTACACACGCTCTTCTTTTTATTGGAGGACGTGTAATTTTCCTACAAACCCTAAGATGATTAAATTGAAGGATAAAGAATTTAGCATGGTGTTTTCTCTGAAGACTGTTATCTGTTGGTGCAACTTATTACATGTGGGTCCTAAGGAATGATAGCCCTATATTGAAATGTTGATGTTGTGGCTTTAGAGAAATCAGTGATTATAGTAGAATGAAAATGGCACACATTTGTGTCTTAGAAAACTATGAGTGCTGTAGAGATTGAAATTTAGAGGCCGGTATTTGTTGCATTGCAAAGAAGTGATTCATAAAGTTTCTTTACAGTCATATGTTCTTAGAAAAAAAATATAGCTAGTGCATAATACTTAGTTAAATTAGCTTTGAGAAGGCAGCATGTGGTTTTTTAGCACTATGGACCCATGCTATATATAAATGTGAATTAGATTTAATGTTCATCAAGGTGTTTTAGTTAAACATCTTAGTTTACATTCTTACAGACAGAGTCAAACCATTTGTTATGGTGGAAGGTGGCTGAATATTTTTTGATGGATCATTCCTTTATTCTAATTGTTTAACTTTGTATGTACTAAACAACACTACCCAGTATTGTGTATAACGAAATTTAACTTAGTGTAAAAAACTGTAAGCTGTAAGAATTTTTATTGATTTATTGTGGAAAAAAAAATTTGGCTACAACTCTTCAGCTATGTAGTCCAACATTTTTTCCATGTTTTAGGGATTTTAATTCAGGTTTTTTATTTTATGAGCTGAAAACTATTTATTTATTTTTTTTTTAGGAATTCACTTGCAAAGCCACACTCTTAACAAATGGCAAGATCAAAACAAGTAAAAACAAAATATTTCAGAATCCAGTTCAATGGGTTAAAGACCTACTAGGAAATGATATTTATGTGACATGGAAGTATGCATGGAACAAGGTATGCTTTATTTTTACACACAGAAATAATATAGCCTGTTCTGGTGCTCTGTCACCATCACCATGAAGAAAAGAGAATAAAGAGAATAAATAAGAGAATAAAAAAAAGCAGTCAACAGTTTGAGATATCAAAATGTCAGGAATAAGTGTTGCAAAAGTAGTGTTATTTATTTATTTTAGAGGTCTTAGTAGATAAACAACATTTTTTCAATAAGAATTTTAATCAGCAGAATTTCTGTTTAATATTGCCAGATGTAGACTACTAAGTACCTAAACTGAATTTTAAAAGAAAAGTGAAAGTTTGTCACCTATCAGGAAAACAAACAAACAAACAAAAAACCCTCAAAGCAATTAAAATAAACAGTTATCCATATAGATCTTGTTTATAGGTTGCTTATCGTGGGAAACAGTTGTCAAAGCTTGTTGTTGAAGATGCTTCTGTTTCTATTGACCTGGAAATACCATCACAACAGAGAGAGCTTGCAGGTACATACCACTTAAAATCTAATATTCGCCATGACTGAAGCATCAGAAAGTAATTTTTCATGAGCTTAAATTCCAAAATTCATCCATTGCTCTCTGATTTAGATTACATTCATATATCAGATCCCTGAATTGAAACATAAATAGTGACATAAATGACAAGTGGGTTTCAAAGTAGTACTTTTCGTTCAGAAAGTAGTTGCATGAAGGAGATGATTACTAATGACTTGATTGCTATATAAAAATATGTATGTAAAATCTTGTTTTAAAATATTTAATATAGAGAGAGTGAAGTTTTTAATAAGTTAATTTCATACTTTGTTTACTCTTTTGGAAACTCAGTTATGTACACAGCTTTTAATTGTATGTACATATTAAGATCGCAAATAATGTGTGTTGGTGGAAATCCAAACATGTTGAAGCAGCAGTACTAATTGTGGACATCATTGTTGTCATAAACAGAAACTGTGAAAACATTTCCATGCACTGAAGGAGAAGCAGCTGAAAGTCTCCCCACTGCCAGAGAATTAAACAGTAAGATTTCTGTTTCTAACTGGTAAAAAAAAAAAAAAAAATCTACATCTCCTGCCTCTAACAATGGAGGCAGGAGATGTAGAACATATACACAAGGGAAAAAAGAAAGTAGGGGAACAGAATTGATTTGGATGAGCAAAGGCGGGGGAAAGCATAATGGGGAAAAATGATGACTCTGCTGATGGATTGGATTGATCTGAAAGAGATACTGAAGTTTTTCAGAGCTCCATATGTTCTACTTACTTTCTTGAATTCAAATTAGAAACATCTTGTTATTTTCATGTAGTTAACAAAATAACTCAGTGTCATTTGAAGTGTTCAGTTACATGTCTCCACTGAGTAAGGACAAAGACAAACACTTCCTGCATTTAAGTAGAGAAATATGATACAACAGCATTGTGGAATAATGTAATATAGTCTAATTTAGAGAGTGGAATGGAAATTGTTACTAAAGATGCTGAGATCTTTGGGGAGTTCACCGAGCTTTTAAATTTCTGTTTTCAGTATTACGTTTTTATGTTAGTTGCACGTTAAACCCTGTTGGCAGTATTAGCAGTATTCAGCAGTGCTTACTGCATTTCAGGTAGCATTTCTGCCTGTACTGCCTTTGATTATACCACAGAGGCATGACCAAGAGCCCTGTTCAACTACAGTGCAAAGGCAAAGTGGTCATCTCAAACCCTGAATGGCCAGTGTCACTTTGTACTGCAGTCAGTCAGGTCTGCTGTGGGAAACAGTAACAAGTGTATGGGAGGTGAAGTTTATAAATTTGTGTCAGACACTATGAACTGAAATTGTATTCACATTGTAAAGCGTTGTTTAAGCATCTGCAAGACCTTTAGCTGCAGGGAAAAAGATGCAGTAAACCCTTGAGCTGAGAATCTTCTGCAAAAAATACTTTGTTAGCTTACTTTTTTTTATGTTTGTGTGTGGATGTTAGCAGTGAACAGTTAAACTGAATGTCTTAACTGCCATTTTTAAAATCACACACTCAAAAAAAGAAAAAAAAATCCAAACAAATAAAAAATACCCAATAAAACAAACTCCCTACCAGATTGAACTCCCTGTGATTTTAATTGAAAAGTTACATGTTGCAGCTCATAGGAGTTGTGTATCTCTACTGAACAAATGACCATCCAGTCACTTTCATGTTCACTCAACTAACTCGTTGTAGTTCTGCTTACCAGCTAACTTAACTGTAATGTAGCATGTGTGGTTGTTGTCAGCCTGTTATTTGATTGTCCAGTCCTATCTGGAAACTTACAGCAATAGGTTCACTTTGTAGACAAAGATAACCTCTGACAAACAGGTAGGGATTATGCAAAATAAAAATTTGTAATACAATAAAATAAACAAGTTCAAAATTCACAGAAATATTGGTTCAAATGTAGATTTTGTTGTATCTAATGCAATTATTCTTGTCAGTAAAGGAAGAACTGCTTGGTGTGCACTGGATACCTTGAAAAATTTTAACCAACAGTTTCCACATTTCTAGCTTATAGAACCCAAGCCTTTTGTATTCGCTTTTTGTATCCAATTGAGGAGAAACTTCAGATTTCTGACTGAAAATATTTCCATAGCAAACTATGGAAAAATGATTTTCACTTTGGAAGGAAAATTCTTCAAAAACTTATCTCGTGTTTGAGTCTCTTAAATGAAGCTTTGGAAGCTTTGGTGCCTTCAGAACCCACATAGCCCAAAAATGGATTTGCTATATTGTTTGCCCCTTGAGTGGTTCTTAGAAAACAAATGCAGATATATAATGCCATTGCTTCTTTGCTTCATGCTGAATGAATTCTAAATGCAAAGCTCAACTGATTTAAGTTGACTTTTAACTAGTATTTGTTTTCGTCTTCACTAGTGCTGGGAAATGATAGAAGAATAATTCTAGCAGTTTTCTTGCTAGTTGATCTTGTTTTGTTATTCTTATGCAGTACAGAGAGTTCTGGTACCAAGGCTGCTGATGGGACAGGAGAATATTTAAATGCAAATTAAGTGCTCCCTGGAATAAGACCAAAACTATGAAGTGTTTCCATATCATGTAGATATAACATTGGAGTACATGTAAATAATGCATGTGCATATTAGCAAGAATTTTCCTTTAGACTTTAAACTGTGAATTCCTCAGAGTTCTAATACAGAGCTCCAGATTCTGCCCAGGCTTAAACAATTATGTCAGAAACTGCTTTCACTGATAAGATTTGGTATTATTATATTAGTATTTTTGGAAGAAAGATTGAAAAGATGATGAATATTATTTAGTAATTCAAAAATCAGGATGAGAACTGGGCACCCAACGTTTATTTTTTTTAAAACAAATGTCACGACCTAAAGGAGCGTGAGTCTGCATATCTGAATTTTGGATTGGGTATTATTCGCATATCACCATTATCAACAGTTCTAAGGAATAAAAGAAGAACTTAGGAATGTAGAAATATATGTAAATATATAGATACTATAATAAAATATTCATTAACTAGATCGTGTCCTTATTCACATTCCTGTAAACCACAGGGTCATATACTATGTATTCTTTGTATTTTATATTTTAGAAGCAGTGAGATTGTAAACAAATACTTCTATCCAGAATAATTTTCCATCTCAGAGTTATTTCATGGCGAGTCTATTATTTGAATTCTGGCTTCAAAAAATTTATTTTTATTATGTTTGAATGCATTCTGTGTTCTCTCCTTTGTACCTTATAGACAAAATGTTTAAAAATATTTTCCAGTACTTTCAAGGTCCAGAGATTTGCTTTGGGTAATTGCATACTTTACAAAGAAGCAAATAGTTATGTCAGCAAAACTTACAAAGCTGCATTTTCCAGTAACTTTTTATGCCCTGATTGAAGTGTAGGCTTGCTTCATCTACATACTCTTCGTTTCCAAAACGTTTCCTGCTCTTATGTGACTATCAGCAAGGTAAAAGGTTGTGTGACTGTGTATTGAGTTGAGTGGATAATGAGAACAGAACAAAATTCACTTCTGAGGAGACCAGGAATGAAAAATAAGAAAATAATTCTAAAGGATGTAATGTCATAGAAGCCAATTCTAAGAATTTAATATCTGTGATTTCTTATATCTTAGTTGTTTTTTTTTTTTCCTGAAACTGGCATTTTACTTCAAAGGTAACAGGGTGACTCAGAACCGTAGGTTAATGTAGGTCAGATAGAATTTCTGAAGATCTCCAGTCCAGCCTCTTGGTCTAAGTAGGACTAATTTACAAGTTAGATAATGTTGCTTCAGCCCTTCTCCAGTCAGTTTCTGAGTATTTTCACGGATATACATTGTACAGCATCTCTTTATAAGCTGTTCTACCCCTTGACATGTGGTCACCAATAGTGATTTGTTTTTCCTGTGTACAAGAATTTTATTTCCTTAAGAAACCTCACTAAAAGTAAACTGACTCCAAAGAGCTTTAAACAGTGGCTGTGTGGCCTTTTTACTTTAAAGTTGTAAAAGAAATGCTTTGATATCTGGCCTTTCAGCTGCATGCAGCTGCTTTTCATCTGCTTTGGTGGTCGTGTAGAGACTGAGAAAAACAGAGCTGTTGTAGATAACCTTCTTAGTATGTACCTGTCTTTTCCTGTCTTACTTAGAAGTGTTAAAGAAAGGCAGTATAATTAACAGCAAGAGGAAGGCTTGCTGTGTTGCTTTTGAATAGGAGACTTTTTTTTTGACTCCACAGTCTTGATAGTGTCAAATTAAAGCACTTAGGAGACTACCTAAATACCTTAACTTGATGAGCATTCTGATTATATCACTTTTTTTTCCCAGCACTGAATTTTAACAAAGTTGGAACAAATCTCCTACAGAAAAAAAGTTCAGTGTTTAAATCACCACACAATAATAGCTTAGGGGAAGCCACTAAATATTGTTCTGATGCTGCACTTAAAATCCACTGAGCAAATCACAGCTCCTCTGGATTTTGCTAGTGAATGAAAGCTATAGGATTTCTACTAACAATTTTGACCTGAGCTGTGTAAATAGATTTCTACTTTGTCTTCTGTTTCTCCTAATCTGTAGCGATGTACTATAAGTTGTGCGAATTTCGAAGTGCTACTTTTTAATTACCATACATTGGCCTGGGGGTGCTTCTTGACTTGTCATATAAAACTCAGACTTTATAGAAAGCTTTAAAAAATTTAAAGCAATTGTGTATTTATCCTCCAAAAGATTACACAAGGAAATTATTGGCTGATCAAGTAAGATAATAAATCAAAATAATAAATTGGAAAAGAGACAAACTGGTGGTGGGAACCTGTAAAGTGTTTGTTAGGACAAGAAGTAGTTTCCTCCAAATCCTTTTTAGAGTAATCATACCCTTAATGAAGGATATCTAGTGTATGTGTTTGTTGTTAGAGATCTCAGTAATTTGATATTTAAATAGAATCATTGATTCAGTCCAGGAATTGAAAGTCCATTGGGCAGCTGTGTAAAAAATATTTGTTAGAAAAAAGGAATTAGACATGTTTTAAAATACTACATTTCTTTCCTTTTCATTTTTTTTCTTTCTTTTTTCTTTTTTTTTTTTTTTTTAATAATAAATTCAATCTTGAAGATGTATTCTCTTATGGGAAGTTGTATACATTTTAAGATTGATATTGGCATGTATGTCAATCATACCTCTCAACTTTTTGGGAAAAATTAAATTACAGCTGCAGTAAAGTCAGTAAAATCTGCTGATACTTCGGTTGTTCTCTCTTTATCCTTGTAGGTAATGTTGTATTTCTATATTTTAACATTCTATTTCTGTAATAGATTTGAGGGTTTGAGTTCCTCATGTTGGTAAATAAAAAATTTAGAATATCTTAATAAACACGTACAGGGTACAAGGACCCTGATGAGTAGCAGTTCATACAGTATTATATAATGTAGAATATTTGTTACTGGCTAATGTGCATGTACTTAATGTATGTAATAGAGAGGAAAAAAGGTTACTGTACAAGGTTATGACCTGGGCAAAAGTTTTAATGGAGAATGACATGTTGTCTTTATGCCACTTATCTAGACAGTGCTGGCAGGAGAGCTGTGACGTGTTATTAATACATTTTTTGAACATTTAGAAACAGATTTTATAGTAACTGTATCTCTCCAGGAAGTATAAGATCTCCCAGTCTGTATTGTAGGAACAATACTTCCATATACTTGAAATACATTCAAAGAAAAGTGAATCTAGGTACCTGTTGTGTGTTTTTCTTCTTTTTTTTTTTTTTTTTTTCTCCTGCTTCATGACATTGCTTTTGTCAGTCTTGCTGGAGGACAAAAAGAAAGAATGAGGTTATGAGAAAAGTTATTATTTATTAAGTAGAGGAAGAAACATTCCTTTCTCAAATCTAACATTTTTTTTCTAGCAGCAACATAATAGAATAATGATTTGTGAAGCATTAAATAAATTCCAACTTACTGCCATGCAAATTCTGGTTCAATTTTAGTGGTACAACAAAGTAACTTGGCATTATAGTTCACTAAGTAACTTCCAAACTGAAATGATTTATTTTAGAAGATGTGATAAATAGTCTTCAAATTTTTCCAAAGGATATTAACAAAAATACAGGATCTGATAAGTTAGCTTTTGAAGAAAAAGATGGGTTTAGACACAAAGTGTCACAAAGTAGCCAAACTCCATGCTGGCCTGTATCTTCTAGGGTTTCCTTACCTTCAGATATCTGATGCAGATTACATGTCTCATTGTTAGAAAGGGATCACTCCTTACTCATTTGTTTGCAAAAGCCTTAGACTTCAGCATACAGAGAAGGAAAAATTTGTCAGAATGAAGATATCCAACACGTGAAGTGAATCAAGAAATGCAGAGAGACCTGGAAGAAAGAAAAAGCTTTCTGAGGGGGAAAAAAAGAACAAAACCAAAAACAGTGATCAGTCTAACAATGACTGTCTCCACAGACATCTGTTTTTCAACTATGAATAAGTAATTTCCAAGATTACCACTAACTTGGGAAGAATTTGTATGCCTCCATTCAGTCTCAGCATTTTGAGAGTAACAGGATCTAAAAATGTTGTTTGTATGAGGTGCTGGCTATCATTTCCAAGTCCTTACTTAGTGTGAAGGGCCAATGCCTATTGGGATTCCTGGTTTACAACTGGTGTATTCTGTTTTGAGTTCTTGAGTGGAATGCAGATAAGGCCCAAGAAACTTGAAATCTCTTGATTGTTTTTGTTTTAAATATTCAGAGTGGAATTCTAGATTAAATGCTGTTCTCTTTAAGTGTGTTGTCCTTAGATCTTCTCTTTGCTAATGCACCTGTAGGCCACATCTAAACTAACTGCACCAAACAGATCCACTTGAGTCAGATGGATAACATCTTCTGTGACTTCACTATTGATGTCACAAATTAATTAGGCTTTCTCTCGGTAGTAGTAATAATCTTCACCTGTGTTATGGAAACATTGACTATTGACTAAGATTGACTAATGCCTGTAAGTTGACTCAGATATGCTGATGGTTGAAGTGCAAGAACATTTAAATTCCTTCTAAGATAATTTTGAACAGTATAATAGTTAAAAAGTGATTTACAGTATCTGTGTGATTCCAGCACTATCTTATTGGGAAAAATGTTGGGATAGACATTTTTAAAACTGGCTCTTCTTTTGTAATGATCAGAATGTGATGACTGCACAGAAGTAGCAATCTTTTGTGACTAACCTTTATGCAGCTGGAATTTCTGGCCTGACATTTATGATTTTGCAGCAGTAATGGGAATTTTCCTTAAATAGCGTTTTCAGGTTCTTACTTAGCACAGAAGCAATGTCTTGTAAAGCTGTAAGAAAACGAAGATAAAAGTTGAAACTGTTTCAGAATAGTTTCAAAGCTATAAGGCTGAAATAGATGCCAACACAGATGTAAAAGCCACTGGCAGGCAGGATGGAAAGAGCACCTAGGCTTACAGAGAAAGAGAGAGAAAAAAAAGGCTCATTCTGATGTTGATACTGATTGACAATTTATCTTCCAGCTTACAAAGATGGAAGAAAACCAAGAGCACCTCACAAGACAACGAAAGTAGTAAAACAGAGAAAATCCTGCCTATGTGCAAATCATCCACCTAGATTTTTTTTTCTGCACCTAAGGCGTACAGATAAGTTTTGGATAGCAATATGGAAGCACTTCTGTACTGTTAAAAGCATCTAAGCTGCCAGTCACTTACAAAGACAACTTTCAAAAGGGAAAGAGAGTTAACAGAAAAAGGGAGAATGGAAGCTTCGAAGTGTATATTAAAATGTTTAATTATAAGCAAAGAGAGAAAAGGGAAGAAGAGTTGAGAAAGAAAAATGGAAACAGGAGGAATGTTAGTCACCTATTTCAGAGTATGGATTAAGGAACGCAAGGAATAAGCATTAAAAAACTGATCAATCCCCACTGGAGAAAAAGATAATGTATGTGGATATGAAAACTCTGTTACTGAAGACCAAAGTCAGTACCAAAGAGAACAAGATTGAAGTGTATATGTTACTGTGATTTTGCTGTTGACTGTTACCTGAAATTAATGAAAATTAGAGATTCAGGAGTTTTTGAGGTTTTAATTATGCGCTCCAGTAACGTTGTACATATAATACTTATATTTTATTTACAAAATCTTAATCCAATGGATAAGACTTAGTTTTACCCAGAGGAATCAGCAAAGAAAACCACCAACTGCAAGGGAAAAAAAATCAATAGATTTACATGGTCATAACTTTATTACATTTTCAGATACTATTTTAGATTTTTTTGTGTGTGTGAGATAGAATGTTGCAGCAAGAGCACTAGAAGAACTGTTTCCAAGAGTAAAAAATGAATGTCTCTTCTCCAATTATGATCTCTCAAAAAGGATTTTAAAATAACTTCAGACATTGCAAAGAATTTTTTCTGTACTTAACCTACAATCTGTGGGCATTTCAGGATGAAAAGGCTTCTTTTCCACAAAGCAAAACAGGTTAAAGTCATGCCTGTCATGTCATTCTAGTACTGCTATTTTTTCAGCTCAGTTTCTGCTGGTTTATTTTATCAAAATATTCCCAGGCTTACTTTTAAGATTTTTTTTTTTCCTGAGGGTGTTACCCTTAGAATTGTATTGTGACTTCCCATTCAAGTATTCCTACTTATACTCTTTGAAACATTATTTCCAGTTGAGTATGTAAGAGGCTTCTTCTGGTGTGACTGACTAGTCTTTCATAAGAGATAATGGATTTGTGCATGGAACATTGTAGTGCAACCTCTCAGAGATGTCACGTATTCAGCCTGCACGTCTTCACTTGTCGTAGTCTAAGATACTTAAATATATGTTGGACATTGGATTATAGCTCTGTTGTGCTTTTTTTGTTCTATTTTCTATTGTGTTATGGCATGAGCATGCAGAAGAAATGCTGAGAATGTAAAACACGGAATTATATCCTATTCTCACTGGAGTCAGAAGTTTAACTGTGAATGTCACAGGAATGGAATAACACATGTCATCAAGAGCAAGATTGTTTATTTGCAGTTCTGAACTTAGAGCTCTTTTAATAGTAATGTGCCACTTCTCTGCTTTGCATTGTGAGCTCCCTGAAATCAGGACATTGCAGACAAATCCTCATTGAGTGGGAGAAATAGAGTTGAAATGTCTAGTACTTACAAGATACACTGATTTTTCACCACTAGGACCTACTAATGTTGTCAGCTCAGTGAATATATCATGCATTTGGTGATTCATGTAAGTGGCACAGCTGGAAAACCTTGGTAATAGAGAAAGGTAAATTCTTGGTATGGCATAGTGTAGCCCAGGAATAAGTGCAAGGTAAACGACCAACTACTGTTGCTTGAGACAAGTTCTTTCTGCATTTTAAGAGATATATTTTTGGTTGATCTAATCATCTTGGAATACCTATCCTCCTGAAATATAATACTGTCTGAACACTCTTTTTAAATAGAGGCCATCACCACTCTCATGACAATCCTTCTTCTCTTACTAATGTCTAACATGTGCCATTTCTGGTACTGACTGGAAAAAGTGTGGATGGGAGATGAACAAAGTCAGGTAGCTTTAAAAGCAACAGCCCCAAAAGTCAGTCTGATGTGTGCTCCTACAGGAAAAAATTATTGTAACATTTCCTGGTGCAGGATATTTATTCTGCTTCTTAGTAACTGATTTTATCAGTGAAAATTACAAGTTGTAATGCTCGGTCAGTGACATACAGGCCTTAAGTTCATGCACTGCAATAGTTGCTTCAGTCCGGTAGATATTTAAGTACTGCAAATAACGCTTGTTCAGTGCTGCTTTTTTTTTTTTTTTTTTTTTTTTTTTAATACAGCTTTCTTTTTATATAATCTGTTCCAGACTATAGGAAGGGTATGGTAAGAGAGATTCTGTAGTTTTTGGGAGGTATTCTGAACTCATCTGTTTATGTACAGAATATATGACATTCAAGTAATGCTGAAGAACAAATGCATTTTCCATCCAATTCTCATTGAGAGTCATTGTAACATTGGAAATGACTACTGAGGGTTGGATTCTTACACTGAGCCCCGAAGCACATAGCACTGGCTGGCCTTGCATCACTGAAATCTTGTTGCAAGTACTGTGCCAGCATTGCAGATAAGGTAGCTGAGATCTTAGGATATAAGCATCTAGGACACTGGGATCTGTTTTGCCTTCATAGTTCCAACAAGTACTGAAACCTGTCTAGATAATACTGCTGGTAAATGTTTTCACTTGTGTCAGTATGTACTGTATAGTCATCCGCATTCTTTTTCAACAGGTTTCTCTGTCCAGTTCAACTCAGCAGAAAGTCCAACGTGTTTTCTTCAGTTCACTGAGTTACTCATCATATGTACAGAGGAATTTCTACCACAGCCTGTAATGGAAAAGCACTGGAATTTCTACAGGGCATGTGAAGATTTTGGATTCTGAAGTCTAACTGCTAATGCTTTTTTCTTCCATCATCATATAGTTCTAAATATACAAATGTTTGCTTCTAAGTGCTTTGTTACTATTGTTTTGATAAATCATTTGCCCTCTGCTTGTAATGGGCTGAAAGATTGTTTGGTTTAACTGCAGAGTACTTTGTAGCAGATGAGGGTAATTGTCGCTATTGAATTTTGTGCTTTAATGTTCTGAAATGGACAGGGCTTGTTATAGACTGGTCCACAAATTGTATTCTATGTTACTAGCTTTGTATGAAACTCCACTGATTTCTGTAGCCTTTTATCCTCTCATGCTGGACAGTGCCAGATAGATATCAATACCAATGAACAATCAGCAGCAACTTTGCTTTGTGAAGCTTGGTTATATACAAACAATTGAGAATGGGATGTATGCTGGGAAAAGTTATAAGAAGGCTCTTAGCCTTTGAAAATGCTCACAGAAATTCAGTTGTTGATTCAACCAAATCCATCTGACGGTCAAAAAATGTGCCGGCACAAGACAGGAAGTACAGTGAGACTGATTCTGGTAAATGAATTTTTTAGTCTAGTAACATCCAGGATTTTCAGCCTGATTACTGGAGGATTTCTGTTTGTTTTGACTTTGCACAGTGTGAATCTGGCTCAGTAGCATGTTTATAATACATTTGACTGTTAGGAGAATTATCTGTATTCAAGTGGTGTTCTAGCTCTTTCATTCCCTGAGTTGTAAGAAGACTTGAGATAATAACGCCTACTACTCCGAACTCGAATGAATGGGGTGAGAAATACCTCCTGTCAATACATAACATACTCAGCTTGCTATTTGGAGTGTGAAGAGCTGTTCTGCAGGGATTTGATTAGTGTCTTAAACAGGAGGAGGTTTAGGGGAGAGAGAGGCTTCTGATGGTCAGAGAGTTAATACTGTGCCTGAGGATGCATGAGCAATCATTGCCTGTTAGGCTGTAAGGATTAAAAGGGGAAAAAAAAGAAAAAAGAAAAAAAAAAGAAAGAAAAAAAGAAAACAACCAAGTGCCTTGAAGCCAGAGAAAGTTAAAGGCTACTGAGTGATGGGTATTTAGTAAAGGTCAGTTTGCAAGCAGGAAGTAAACAGAACATTCCCACAGCTACTGCAGCAAAACAGACCTGAAGGAGAATATTGTCTAAGGGAGCTGTTCATTCAGATGCTGCTGCTTGGAGCACCCTTGGAGAAGAAAAGTAGTTTTTCATCAAAAGCAAAAGATTCTTGACTGTAAAAGTTACTGTTAAAGCCACTTATATGTTGTTTGACATCTTTTCTGTGTTACAAATTGTTTAATAAAATTATAATGAAAAACTGGGAGGAGCTGACAAATACTTCTATTCTGTTACACCAACGTGACTCCATGCCCTAAAGCAACAAAGACACAGTAACAGAAGTCTGATTGATTCCAGTTGGGCAAAGAGTGAAAATGTAGTTACATGGAAATAGCTCTCATTGACATCTTATGTAAAAGTTACCACACTTTTCAATATTTATGTTGTATGTAAGCATCTTAGCTTGACAACATAATCTTTTTTAATATGAATAACAAATGTAGAGTTCTGCTTCCTAAGTCTTACAACCATGAATTTTTCATATTCTGCATACTAGAATCTTTTTCTTAATGTAAAGATCCACTCAGAGATGACGAAAGTCATGCACTGTGAACAGGATGTTTTCTTAATTATTTTTTTTTCCTAAGTGTACTATTACATAAAAACACAAGCTGTTACCACAGGTCAAAAGATGGGCAGCTATCAGTGATCCTGACTACAGCTAAATAAGAGTGCATCTGCTCACAAGTGGCAAACAGTGGTTGGTCCACGCGTTCCCTCCTGCTTCTTCTGTGATTCAGTTCTCTTCCTTGGTAAACCACTTCTCCACTGTTGGGCTGTGAATTAGTGCATATTTTGTGCTGTGCAGAACAGAGGACAAGAAACATGAAAAAATACAAAACCCTTGGTATCCTTCTGCTGTTAACATTCAGATGCAGAATAAGAGGAGGAAGAGATGATGTAGTGAACAGAAGCCACAGCTTCACATTTGTATTCCCACCAATTTACTCATTTATGTTTTGCCAAGATGGAGTAAAACAGAATCAGTAGGTAAAAGAAGAAGAATAGAAGGTGTAAAACAAAAGCATGAGAGCGAGGAGGAGATAAGCACCTGGGAGGCAAACAGTACAGCTGGGATTTTTCGATGTCAAGGCCAGAAGAGACCAATGTGAAAATTCAATCTCCTGCATAGCATAGAATGTAGGTTATGACACGGCAAAAGCAAAAGAGGCAAGGGGAAATGAGGCAGGAAGCAAAGATGTGGATAGATCTGTACTTGGTGGAGGATCAGCACAAACAATGTTCCTTCTTTCCAGGCAAAGCTGAACTGTAACCAGTAAGGACCCATAAGGTGAAAGAAAAGCAAGAATGAAGGCACCTGTATGGTGCAAATACTTAGTGGTGGTGTCTGCAAATTATGCTGAAGGAGGGGTGGGGCTGCAGGCAAAACATAGACCAAAATAATGTTGCCATAGGAATTTGAGTAATTTCTTGGAGCAGCCGGAGTTCGTGAGCGTTTTGTGATTGTGGCACAGAGGCAAAGACTTCTTTTATTCCAGCAACCTCATATGTGAGATTTAGGCTCTTTTTCTGTTCATCAGCAGTGAAATGACCAGTTTGGTCAGAAATTATCATACAGGTGATCTGGAATTTATGTTTTTGGCCGTATCAAAAAAAGAATAAGAAGCTTAACTGTGATACAGCAAGAGAGTGTAACAGTTCAGAGATTAAGTTTCAAAGGGCCTTCGAATTTGTGTATATATGTATCATAGAATCACAGAATGGCCTGGGTTAAAAAGGTCAAAGGTCATCTAGTTTTCAACCCCCCTGCTATGTGCAGGCTTGCCAACCACCAGACCAGGCTGCCCAGAGCCACATCCAGCCTGGCCTTAAATGCCTCCAGGGATGGGGCATCCACAGCCTCCTTGGGCAACCTGTTCCAGTGCCTCACTACCCTCTGTGTGAAAAAGTTCCTCCTAATATCTAACCTAAACCTCTCGTCTCAGTTTAAAACCATTCCCCCTTGTCCTATCACTGTCCACCCTCGTAAACAATCATTCTCCCTCCTGTTTATATGTATGTATATTTTTTCTAAGACATAGTCTTTGCTCTGGAAGAAAGTTTTCCCGCTGGTATCGTTGCAGCAGCATCATCGGCGTTTGAATCGTCCGACAGACGCGTCCCGATGCTTGTTACGTGGAAGTGCTCAGACACACGGTTACGCGCAATTCAGTTGCGGCGCGTCCAGCGGTCCCAGCCGCCCGCTGGTGCACTGAGCGCAGGTCCGGGGCTGCGCCCCTCCGGGAGCAAAGCTGGCAGCCCCGTTCGGCCCCACAGCGCAGGGCTGTGCCTGGAGGCAGCTGCAGGACCGCGATGTCCCGCTGTCAGGGTGGCTTATTCCGCAGTTTGCCCAACAGAGAGCGTTCGCAGAGGGCAGCGGGCTCTTCTCTAGAGGCCTCGCCAACATGCACACGCACACATGCCCACGCACCCCGAGGTGCCGCGGCGACAGCTCTGCCGTCGGTCCCGGCCCGGCCCCAACTTTCTGCGGGGAGCGGAGCGGAGCAGCGGCGGCGGCTCTGGAGTTTGGGGAAGAGGCGGGAGGAGGAGAAAGAGGAGGAGGGAAGGAGGAGGAGGAGGAAGGGGCGCGGCACGGCGTGGGCGCGTTGCTGCGCGGGGCAGAGCGCGGCGAAAGGAGATCGGTGCGGTGCGGTGCGGTGCTGCCAGCAGGCGTGCTGAGGAGCTCCGGTAAGATCGCGCCGTGTGCCCGAAAAGTTAACGGCGGGGTAGAAGTGGAGGCTCTGAAGGCAGACGAAGAGCAGCCGCGGGCAGGTGTACGCCGGGAGACGAGCACAGCCCTGAGCCGCGCGAGCAGCGCCCGAGCAGAGCGGTGACAGCTTCAGGCGGGTCTGTAGCGGGGAGCGAATCTGTGGTGGTGTCTCCGCTGCTGTGTCACCCCTCCGTAAACGGCTATAAACGCGTGTCTTAGTCTGTACTGCGCTTAACTGGCCAAGTGCACTCATTTCGTTTCCTTTCGCACGGCTCTCGTTACTTCTAGGGAAACAGAAGTAACAGAACAGTGAGTGTCTGTCAGAAAGGAACGGGTTCGCAGTTTTCTTGTTGCTGATTTTCCTCTTTGAGAAGAGACGGAGGCAACTTTTCTTTTCGGGGGCTTAGACTTCTCGATGCTGGGGGAGGGCTCCGAAGGGACACCCGCAGGGGATGTCCCCTTGAGGCTCTGCGTAACGTGACTTTGGGGTGAAGCAGTTCAGTGCGTCACACCTGCTCTGCTGCACACCCCCTAAGTTGTTCCATCCGGCAGTGTTACTGCTGTGATTCCTTCATTTGCTGAGCTTTTTTTTTTTTTTTTTTTTTTTTTTTCGTGCTTGACAGTTAGGGGAAGGAACAGTCGAGAGGACAAGGCACTTAAACTCGTGGCTGAAGTGAAGGCAGTGAATGGGGAAAATGCTACTCGCTGTCCTCCAAAAACAGAACTGCAACAGTCCAGTGGAAGTGGGAAGTGGAAGTCTGAAAGCAAGTATAAGAGTCTGAGTTTTTTCACATAGTACTAGGATCAGCTGTACAGTGATCTCTCCTGCATATCAGAAAATTTACATCAAAAGCAGCTGGGTAAATTCATGGCAGAAAACCATGGGATGTTGGTAGTGTGTAATAGAAAACTGCAGCCCCCAGCTTTGTAAACTTCTGAGCTGTGAATAGTTGCAAAGTGTATGTGGAAAAGCGCTTGGGGGGGCTCTTGTTATCTTTCTGTGCTTTTTACTCTTTCCAAGAACCTGCTTTTATGTACACAGGGATAGCATCCTGGGCTGGGATGCCTTATGGGTGAGAGGTGAAACGATGTGCCTGCTCTAACGTGACAGCATAGGAAGGAGCATGGGCTGCTGCTGTCTTTGTGCATCTTTGGTTATTGGTCACATATCAGCTACTAGCTTTGGTCTGGTTTTTGTGTATTTCTGTGTATGATACCCACTTGCAGAGTCATTCAAAATCACAGACAACACTGGCTAGCACTTTGTGTTGCACAATCCAAATAAGCTAGCAGTTCTGACGGGCTACAGCTTGTTGGAAAGTGGTAATGGGGTATGGAAAACTTGGCTGTGCTTTGGATTGCTTGTGTTGGGTTGCAGTGAGAATGCAGAAGAGAGGCACCAGATATTGAAACCCACTTGTGTGACAGATCTCTAGGTTTTGTGGATGGTTATCTGTGCTGTTTGTGCTATTTCCTAGCATAATATGTGCAAATTATGCTGGTCAGTCCACAGACTGTGAGCGATCACTTTAAAAATAGCTCTTCAGCTAACACCAGATGTCTGGAATTCTTCAGAAGTGGTCCAGGCGAATTAACCAAAGGTAAAATTCAGAAAGTACAAAGGGTCAAGCAGCATGCTATCAGCTAGAGTAAAGAAACTGGCAAGTGCTGATGTATAGGATTTGGGCAAGCCAAGGAAAAGTTTAAACATTCATAGAGAACAGGTAAGTCCCAAGAACTTGTCAGTCTGCCAGCTGTTTGTCCTTTCTGCTGAGGACCTCTTTGGGTCCCTGAGATGTACAGTCCAATATTAAGAAAAATCCTTAGGTCTTTGCATCTCCCTTGTGGGAGTTTTGTGTCAATTAGCAGAATAGAAAGACTTCTGCTAAAAGATTTCAGGGCACAACAATGCAGGCATAATAGAAGAGGCTATTGGAGATGTGATAGCTCTTGCTCAGCACCAGGACCTGAGAGATATTGTTGTTCTTCCTGGTGGTTTCTGTGCCCATACACAACAAAAAAAGCCACTTCAGGCAGGAGTGTGGGCTGTGCTGTGCATGCTGCTGATGCTGATGGGTGAGGAGCTTGGATCTCACTCACAGGCAGTGCCCAGGGGGTTTTGCTAGAGCTTTTGGTATTGCTTTCTGGCTACAGAAAAGGCATCAGGAGGCCCATGTGGCTGTAGCCTCTAAAGTTCCCCAGGAAATATCAGTGAAAGAGCTAAGAGATCTGATAGATGAGTCACAAAATGCTCATTTCTGGAACATAAACATAGTGTGCCAAATCTGGCAAGGGAGGTAAGCTTTGTACATCTCTGCCAGTGACCCTAGACTTGATAGATCTCTGACTGAGAAGTTCAAGCAGGATGAAGAGCTCACAGGGCAATGTGTTGCTCGTGAGTCCCTTCTCTTCCAGCTCAGGATGGACAACTCCAACTAAATGCGAGTTCTCAGGTAGCATCACACCCAGACTTATGTTTAAGCAGTCATTTCACACCCAGTGGCAGAGCACATGTCAACCCCTGGCTTGTGGGCTGGCACTGGTGGGCAAGTTGGCAGCGAGGAGGGATGGCATGTGGAAGGTGCTAGTGGAAGAAATTTGTGTGTGCCATGGGGATACTCAACTGAAAGTGCTGTGGCATTTCTTACTGTACATGTAAATAGTACAACACAAGGCTCCTCGAATTTCTCCATAACTGTTATATGTAGGAACCTCATGTATAACGGCAATAAAGTAGATTTCTTGTCATATGAGAGACATCATATGGGAGGTGAGGTACTTACAGGGTCATATACTATTCCAAGCTGAAAGGGACTTCTGAGGATTGCTGAGTACAACTCTTGGCTCCTCACATCAACACCTAAAATTCAAACATAATAGAATGTTTTTTATATTATAGCTGGACTTGCAGTGCAGGTCAATGTGCTTGAAAAAAGCTTCAGAATGTACCATTGGGACCATCAGCATGACACATAGCCCAGATTCCTGCCCTTGGGTTGGCTGTCATGCCCTTATCTAAGGGGAAAGTGGCCCCTGGGATGAGCAGTTGCGAGATACTGGAGGCAGCACCACATGGCCTTGTGTCCTCCTGGAGCTGGCACTTCAACCTGGCTCCTGGGGAGCAGCCAAGCTAACCTGGGCTTTTCTCGGTTGTCCTGTTGGAACCTGGGATCTAAGAGCTAGAGCTGTTCAGCCTGAAGAAGAGCCTCTCAGGGAGACCTGAGAATGACCTTTCAGTATCTAAAGGAGGGCCATAAAATGGAAGGGAACAGACTCTTAAGCAGGGTCTGTGGTGACAGGACAAGGGAAAGTGGTTCCAAACTAAATGAGAGGAGATTTTGGCTGTCTATAAGGAAGAAGTTTTTTGCAGTAAGGGTGGTGAGGTGCTGGAAGAGGTTACCTAAAGAGGTGTTAGAAGCCCAGTCCTTGGAGGCATTCAAGGTCAAGTTGGACAGGGCTCTGAGCAACCTGGTCTAGCTATGGGCGTCCTTGTTCCTTGCAGGGGAGTTGGACTATACAGCCTCTAAGGGCCCCTTCCAACTCATACAATTCTGTGATCTGCTCTTTTTTATGCTTGTTTTCCCTATCCTCTCTGTGCTTAGAAATGCCACTGACCAAACACAAACAGTTGTTTATTGTATAGACAATGTCTCCTCTCCTATGGCTTATTGAACAAGCCTGTGCTCACTATTTGCCAGCTAAATTTTCAGACTTAAAAAAAAATCCTTGCAGTCACTGAAGTTACCCTTGTGCGTTTGTACACCGACGTGGCACTCACCTGCAGCATGGATAGACATGGAGCTGGGAGAGCAGCCGATGGCGGGGCTTTGGCTGCTGCCCACACAGCTCTCCCTGCACAGAGCGTCCCACACTGCTTCCAGGGCACAGATACCAGGAGGGGGCCCGCAGCACAGGGCGAGTGATGTGACTGATGTGACAGCTGTGACGGGCAGGGAAGACTTTGACTCAGTAGGAATTGACGTGCAGGGTGTGATTTACAGTGAGGTCTGCAGAGAGAGGCTGAGGAGAAAGGTGAAGGCATCTCTACCCATTTGCAGAAGCAGAGGAACGTGCCCGGATGGTGGCTACAGCCTCTTGCAGCCCTGTGAGGTTTCTCCCTCCTTCGTCTCCAGCAGGAAGCTTCAACCCTGTCATGCCAGTGCCGCTGCCAATGTACACAAGCTCTGGCCCCTTTGAGCCTGATTTTTATGCTGTGCAGTAGTTTGGGGTAAAGGTTAACTCTCACTCCACCATAGAGTATTATTATTTTAAACTTTTATATGAGTCAGAGAGAAGTTGTTAACTCCAGCTTGCCCCACAATAGAAGTAAATTCTATTTATCTTTGTATTTTTCCTCTGACTCCTGCCTTTATGGTGCTTTAAGTCCTTGAAAAAAAGGGATACTCCTGTCTCTTAAAGTCAGGGAGTTTAAATGTGCAGCTCACACATAGCCTTAGCTGGGCTATAAACCCACCAGCTAGCAGGGCAGAGCTTTTGGAGCGTACCAAGGGATTTGCTGAGAGACTGTTCTTATTGGACACCCAGTAGAGCAGCTTGCAGCAGAATTTGCTCTGAAGCATCCAAGGCTAGCAGGGGATGCAGAGCAGCCAGGAACTGTTCACCTGGGATGCCGTCTTGTACTGCCTTAGCAAAATCACCTGCCCCATGCACTGACTGGAGAGCAGGGACGTGGCTTCCCTGGCCTTGGTGTGTTACAGGAATGCAGGAAATGATGCTAGATATTCTACTGTGAATATGGGGATCACATCTGGTGTGTGAAGGTTGGAAAATACCTCTAAGATCATCTAGTCCAACCATCAGTCCATCCCCACCATGCTCCTCAGTGCCACATCTGCACATTTCTTGAACACCTTCAGGGACAGTGACTCAGTCACCACCTTGGGCAGCCTATTCCAATGCATCCCCACACTTTCAGAGAATAAATTCTTTTTAGTATCCAATCTGAACCTTCCCTGGCACAACTTGAAGACATTCCCTCTCATCCTATCACTGTTATACAGGAAAAGAGGCTGACACCCACCTCGCCATAACCTCTTTTCAAGTAGTTGTAGAGAGCTGTGAGGTCTCCCCTGAGCCTCCTGTTCTCCAGACTGAACAATCCCAGCTTCCTCAGCTGCTCCTCATAAGACTGTGCTCCAGACCCCTCACAGCTTCATTGCCCTTCTCTGGATACACACCAGGGCCTCCATGTCTTCTTGTAGTGAAGGGCTTAAAACTGGGGACAGAGAGATTGTTAGAATTGTCAGCGCAGTGCATTCTGTGTAGAAACACACACCTACATACCCCATGAATAAAGCGTCTTAATCTTTAGTGCTGGGATGAGAATATTGCTGTGAGATGACAAAGTCAAATGTGACATCCATAACTGCTAAATCTTTGTGGAACTGGTGTTTCTCAGGTGTCTGCTCGGAAGCTGTCTGTCCTCTTCCAGAAGCACAAACAAATCAGACTGTGAAAAACTGTAGATTTTATTATTGTTGTTGTTGTCCTTTGGACACCATCTTATTTCAGATCTTCAGAATCTTAAAATGACAGGCTTACTGTCTGAATGGTCTTGGGTCTAAAAGTAATAGGGTGTTTTTCCGCATCATAAGCTCCTCTAATAGAGGTCTGTAAAACAGCACAGGAATAATAGGGAAAAACATGGGTTTCTTAGTTCTCCAGCGGTCAGTGCCTCAAAGGAGATCTGTATTACATCAGGCAGGTCAAAATGAGGGGCGGGCAGTGGGTACAGCTGCAGGTGCAGGGCAGCCTATGGCACTGGGCTTCACTGCAAGGAAGCAGCTCAGGGAACCAGGTAGAAAAACAGGCAAAACTGATAGAGCCGACTGATCTAGATCTGGTGCCAGTTTAAAGTACTCCTCCAGGAGCTTTGAGATCCCTATCGTAGATAAATTTGCCATGAAAATTTTTAGCTAGCACCAGTAAAAACCAGTAAGTGAATAAATCATTTTTTTTCCAGCCAACAGCATTGAATAATCAAGTAGAGAATGTTTGACTCAGCCAGGTAGTTTTCTACAAGAAGAAAATCACTTAGCAGAGCACATCACTTCCCCTGCCTTCCCCACCTCCAAGGAGCATGGTCTGCTCTGCATTTCAGCAGCTAGGTTTGTACAGAGCAGAGGGAGAAAGAAAAGAAGGAACTGTGCCCGTCTGCACAGATAGTGATGAAAATATCTCAGCCAGGTCTGCACAGCTGTGGGAGTGGATCTGCATAAAGCAGACAGAGGTCTTCAGTGAGGGAGAGGAGAGAGATCTTTTCCCAGAGTGTTTTTGCCCGGAGGAGGGAGAACTGTTCCTGTTGCTCCCGCTGCTGTGTGGTTGTGCTGCTGATTGCATGCTGGTCTGGTTTGCAAGGGGTGGTGCGGACTGGTTCTGGCTCAGGTGCCTTTGAGGCTGGAGAAGCAGCATATTGGATGGCACACCTGTCTGGCTGCTGTCTGCTTTTATTTTTTTCCTTAATGCCACTTATACGGGAGCACCTATTTTCATTGGTCCCTCTCTTCATTCTCCTCTTTCATCATTTTCCACTTATTTTCTGCTGCTCATACTTTATTCATGCCTAAGTTATAGTATTTTTGTGATTGTTTTTCTTTTTTCACCTGAGTGATGGGGGAGGAGCCTCATTCCAGCTCAGAAGATCTTCTGCATGGGCGACAGAACAGCACAGAGTGGCAGGAGGACTCCTGCTCTCCTGCTTCTCCATTTCCTCTCCTCTTACAGATTTGTCTTTGCAGTTTATGTTTTTCCTTAACTCTTGATCTGCTCAGGCACAAGATCAGGATGCCCCACGATGGTACTTATTTATCATGAGTACCATACATTCCAGATACTTGGGGGGAGTGCTGCCTATATTCGACTTGAATTTTGCAGAAATCCCTCTTTTAGTAGCAGCCAACACACCTTGCCATGCCAAGAGGTGGTGGTAGTTCCCAGCTGGCCCTCTGGCATGACACACACTGAAGTAGAAAAGAAGCAGGATATGTGAGGGGGAGAGGTGTGTTAAGGGAGGCCACAGCTGTTGTTCTTCTGCATATCCAGATAGCTGCTGGCTGAGCTTGGAATTCTGTTTGCTTACCAAACAGGTCCTTCAGGATGGGCTGGCAGAGGGCACTGCAGGAGGGCTGCTGTGTGCTGACAGGAGTGTGTCTCGCAGCATTCCTCAGGGAGCCGTGGTGCAGGGACTGCAAACTTCCTCAAACAGCTCTGCTGACTCACCTCAATCCCACCCCCGGAGCTCCTTCCCCTCCTGCATTGCTGGGCAGCAATAATCTCCGAACAGCAAATACGAGGAGAGGACCAAACTGAATGCCTAGGAGTTGCAAAGTTCCTTGCAGTTGCAAATAATCTGGTTAATATGCTCTTGGCAAGTCAGCATGATCTGCATTCAAAGTGGGAGTTTGTCTTTTCTCTCAGGTAACAGCAAAAGGTTGTGGCCTCTCAGAAGAGGTGATGGCCAGACAGAAGATTTGTGGAGATCCCATAAGGAAGAGTTTGAAGGAGAGGAGAGAGTGCAATCGTTCATCTGCAGCAGTCTCTTATGGGATCTCTGGCAACACAGCACCAACTTTCCTACATGAGCACTATGATATCATGCTAACTCTCCTTAAAAACTGTTGGGTTACACACAAGAACAGGTCCAATAGTGCTGCCCAGCACCCAAAAATAAGCAGAAAAACAAGCAGAAAAGTTTTTTTTTTCCTTTTTCTTGCATACACGCACACACAATGATAGAATGAGAGGGAATGTTTTCAAGTTGTGTCAGGGGAGGTGCAGGTTGGGTACTGGGAAACAATTATTCTCAGAAGGAGTGGTGAGGCAGTGGTACAGGCTGCCCAGGGAGTTGCTGAAGTCACATCACTGGAGGTATTCAAGAGCCACATGAATGAGGCCAGTAATGTGGTTGCCCTTTTGGATGGGTTAAAGCAGACTCTTAAGAGGGTACTTCTGGGGATGGTTCTTCAGGGGAGCAAGAAAAGCAGCAGGCATTGGTACTTTCTGGTGTGCACTGCCAGGACAGGGGCATGAGGGGTGGCCAGCTGGGCTGCAAGCAGAGTTGCTGTATGGGACAGATTCTCTTCTGGTCTTTGTTGGAAACAAATCCTGAGGCACTCTAAGTCTTGAACCATGGTCAGTTTTGCTCCCTGCCACAAAATACTTGAAGACATTGTGGAGCAATACTAAGAAGTAATGTATGACAGCACAGTAGTGTAGTTTCCCATGCGGTGCCTTAAACTTGTTTTTGCTCTGAAGGAATGGGTACGTACCCTGTACCAAATGTGGTTTGCAATAGACTAACTTGCATGCTCCTTGTTCTCATGAGGCTCTGTGGAGATTTACCATAGGACCACGACATCCTGTATAATGCTGTGTCTCAGCAGGTTAATTTCTGAGTTTTCTGCTCCTCCTCAAAGAGTAACCTCCTGATTTTCTCTCCAGGGCCATCATGTCACACAGAGGTGGATATTCTCCTGTTCCTCTTCCGTACATGTGGTCCTGAGGGAGGAGATGCTGGACTGGGCAAGGTGTCCTATGCTACCCCAGATTTGCAGTTCACTATCTGCATAACGATGGTTTGTTTGCCCTCATAACACTGAGAAGACACAATAGCTTAAAAGGCCTAGTTTTGCAAAGATGTAATTAAAACAGCCAAACTTCACATAGGCACTCTCTAAATCAGGTTTGCACTGATTGATGTTGTTTTCACTGCACTGTAGATGTTCGATGTTGTATAGCTATAAACAACACAAGGCATGTAATGTAGGAGAGTTACAAATGCTACTTGGAGCTGCCTGCCTCGGTGGTAGTTCACAGTGGTTTGAACTGGTGTCTTTAGAGGATAATGCAACAAAATTTACACAGTGCTTATCTGCAAGAGTGCTTTATTGCCAGGCCAATCATAGCTTTTCCTTAGACTCTGCCCTAGTGACCAGGGTTACCACCAATACCTTTTACAATTCATTTTTACAGAGAATGATGTAACATCTTTTTGACTCAAATGATGCAAATGAATAAACAAATTTTGCTCTGATCCAGCTTAATTTCAGGAGATAAACTGAAAAACAAGACCAAATGTGATTAACTTGGATTACTTTGCCTTTGCCCATTCGGTCTGGGTGCAAGCAGCAGTGGTAAAGGGAGAGCCACTTTGCAGAGTATGTACCCAGTCGTGCCTAAAATACTATGGGCCTGCTGAGCTGGAATTATAATTGGTTTAACACTTTTCTTTTTTGTCTCTCCCAAAAGAATACTAAAAGTGGGTTTTAATTTACCTTCAATTAGCATTTCCTTGGGTTTCACCCTGTAAGCTGTTAACATCTCAACAAGCCGCTGTCGCTCAGTAGAAATTACACACATCTAAGTTTTTCTGCTGCATCATAGTAAGCTGCGTTGTAACAGTTAAGACAAATAAACACTGGTTCAGTTTGCCTTGCTTGCCATGTTGGTGAACATTACTTCCATCTCTGTGAAAGTGTTCCAGTATGAGCCCAGTGTCAGCTGTGCCATGTGCTGGACCCAAGTGGGTTGCCTCTGGCTGGTGTACAAGTGCAAATTCTGCTTCCCACATGCATGATGACACTGCAGGGCACATTTCTGGGCACTCTGCAGCTGAGCAGTTTGCAAGCAGGAACATTTTTTTCTCATGAAGGTAGATTTCTGCACAGTCAGCCGAGTGCAGCAAGTAGTGACCATGGCAGTAACAGTTTTTCTGCGGTCATTTTCATACTTCCCCAGATCTTTGCTGGTTACCCAAAATACACGTAATATGTAAACACACACACGTTATTAACTCTTTTCTTGGTTCCGTGTTTCCATGGCAGAACAAATTTGCCCAATTCCAAGTATGCATTTTCTAATGTGCTTCTGCCTTCAACAGCACCCTCCTCCCCATGCTTTCCTCAGCTGGCCAAGCTCTGATCATAACTTTCAACAGGTTCAGTGCTCTCTGTGAGATCATGAGGCTCAGGAACAATTCCTGCTAAAGAAGCCTCTCTTACAGGTTTTGCCATCACTTTAGTTCCAGTAACACTGAGTTATGCTGCCATGAGATGAGTCAAAATGCCGTTTGCTTGGATAGTATTCAGAGACAGAGAGAAGAAAAAAGCCTATATTCTGATTGTGTGAGCTTCGCAGGTTTTGATGAGCGATTTGCAAACCACAGGAGAGCTGCAGAACTCTTCTGCAGGCTCCCAAAAGCTGAAACATCCACACTTGGGTAGCAGTGCTCTGCTCTCACCTATGGGCTTCAATCCAGTGTGCATGTTTCAGCTTTTGAGAGCCTGCAGAAAAGTTCTGCAGCTCTCCTGCAGCAGTTTCTCTTCCAGCTCAGGCTTCCCTTAGTCCCACCCAGGAGGGCTTCTGCTGCTGACAAAAGGTGCTCTTCATCAAGAACATCCTGCATCTTTCTCTGCACCAAAGACTTGATGCATGGCTGAAGTCCATCGGGGGTGTGAAACTCTCCCTTTGTTTGTCTTTTGGTGTAATTGAACAGCTTTTACAGTTGCACAAAGCAAATGGCTATAAGAGTCTGAAGGTGTAAAGCTGCTCAGAATGGCAGGGTGGAAAATACATAAAACCCGGCTATTTCCTGGGTGGAAGGAAATAGTGCTATAATGAATTTAACAATCAGTCCCTACTCTGGTCCAAAAGGAAATAAAAGGAAATTCACAGAACAGAGCAATAGTCACAGTAAGCATTTTTATTGGTAAAAATTTCCAGTTAGGGCTCTTGGCAGCTGCTAATTGCCTTAAGTCTCAGTGCCAGTGAATTGAGATTTCATCCATATTTATATCTTGGCTAATGTAACTCTGGAAACTCCCAATAGCCAGCTGATTGCCTAATTCTTTCTTGAATCCTGCTGAGCTCGTGGTCTTTAGGATGCCTTCTGACGAACTATAACCACATGTATAACCACATGTACAAACTATAAACACATGCATGTGTACTCACACGATGTGCATGTGTTTCCCTTGTATTTGTTCCATGTCAGTTTTCTTTGAACATCCCTTGTTCTTGCATTATAGATGCAAGGGATAAATAAAAACCCAACTTGTCTCCTCTGAGTCATTCAATACTTTGCGTCCCTCCCAGTGAATGCTTGGACCTGATATTGTGCATGTGTATATTGTAGCAGTGCGGTGTGTGCTGGTTATGAGATGTGGCCACTCTCCATTAATTCCTTCAGCAGTGTTCTCACATGTGGGAGAGACAGATGATGTGGAACATATTACTTTAGAATTGTTTCAGAACGGCATTTTGCTTAATTATGAACTAGGCAAGGGGGTGTAGAGCAAACAAAGGCAAAACAGATGCTACAGGGAGGGATGTCGGTGGAGGCAAGCTAAGGAATGCAGCCTTATCTCAAGCCACTCCAGGCACTCGTGCTCACTTATTGGTTCAAACCATGCCACTACTGCAAGGAATAAAACCTGCAAGTCACAGTAACTCAGCAATCGGGGTGTAGAATATTATAATAACTCCTTGGAACCAGTTGTAATATCCCCTCTGATTCTAATTGTAATATCAGAATAATCTATGCTCAGTTTCTAAGAATCAATTGTAATATCCCCTCCTATTCTTACATATGTATAACTTGTCTCTATAAATACGCTTAAACTGTCCCTTTATGGTGTGCAGGTTAGGAGAGGCTACTCCCTCTGCACCCAGCATGTGTGCACAGTGCTGTAATTAAAGATATACCTGCTTTATAACAACTTTGTAGTTATGGAGTTTGATTTTCCACAAGTCAGTATTGGTTGCAAGATACAAGAACGTCAGTGCTATCCAGGTGATTTCTTTCTTAACCTGACCTTTCTCCACACCACACCAGAAGCCGGTGGTCTGGAATGATAGTTTTAAGCAGGTAACTGTCACCTTGGCTTTTCTGTTGGTTCACCTAGAAACAGAATGTTTGATGCTGGGTGGAGCTGACCAGGACTGATGTACATATAGGATTTTTGGAGCGCTGGAAAGCATATTCACTTGTTTTGCTTTGTTTTTCTTTTTCCGGCCTCTCAGTTGCACCTGTGAAAGAAGTAGCTTTGTTCAGCCAGGTGTGATATCGGTTGTTCTTGGTGGGTAGGGAGACGACTGGGCAGAGTGACAAGGTGGGCTGCTAGAGAGATCACAATCCAATTTCCTGCTTCCTGCAAAGGAAGAGCTGAAGAGAGAAGGAAGAAGACGACAGAAAGAGGTTAAGGGGAAATCTTAGATTAGACATTAAGACATTGATTACATATTGGTTTGAAGAAGGTGAGGAGGTGCTGGCTAAGGGAGAAAGTAGTATATTGGTTTTGTGATAATGGAGCATAGAAGGGTGAGACCTGTTTTTTTTCTATCATTTGTTAGCATGCTTGATGGCTGTTTGTACAACCTATAGAGAGCTGCCAAGCTCTGGCTTTTACAAATTGGGTATACCTGTGCAGTCCTTTCCCCAGTCCCTTCTCAGCATCCCCAGGTGAAGCACAGAGCATGCTGAGGGATCAAGCAGGCCTGGTGAACCCAAGTGGGCACCTGCATGAATAGCTTGCATCAAGGCTGCATGCATCTATTCAGGGAAGGTAACATTTCCTTCTCCTTTCTGTTGTTCCCAGAGAAGAAATAACAGGGAAAAAACACAGGGAGAGAGACTAATGAAACAGCTCCATCCTGACAGGCTAAGACTGCAAAGCTAGAGGTTGCAAGACCTGGCCGTGATGGGTACATTAAAGATACCCACTAGTCTCTTAGTAAGAGTTGCATGCACATCTCAGTCCTTGATTTTACATGCCTACGTGGAATCTGCAGGCATTTGAGTCACTTCTGGTAATCCCTTTGTCTTATTCCTGCCTATAGCCACGTCTGAAAACTGTGAAGAGGTGCAGAGAAGCTCCAGCACTTGAAAGATTTGAAGGTTTGAAGGATTGATGTTCTGCGTGGAAGCATAGCTCCTGTTGAGGTTGGTACAGCCGAGGAGAAGGCACAACACTATAGGTGTTTGCCTTATGTCTGTCATAGGGAATGAAGGAGAAGGATTGTAGAGAAGGGTATGCATCCGTATGGATAATGCTGAAACCAACTTGGGCTGTTTTGCCATGGCACCATCATCTGTTACACAGCTTGAGGAATCAGAGCACACAGTGCCTCGTCTGTGTCCTGTGTCCTCTGTCTTTTGTCCAACAAGGAGGAAGCAGAGTGAGAATAATGTGAGAGACCTAGAGGCAAGCTGCCCTCTGTGCAGGCAATCTCACAGAATGAGACTGTGTACAACACTCCCAAATCATCTCTTTGGTTTGCAAAAGACCATGTTGTTCCTGTCCTGAACTGAAGCCTCTCTGCCATTGCAACAGCATTGCATAAGATGTACAGTAGGTTACATACATTCTTCTGTTGACTGTGCACATACAAAGTTTCAAAGCCAGTAACAGGTCTGAACATAGCTGGCAAAGTGGGTGGGCACTATGAAGCATTCTGATCCAATTTCTTCCCCCCAGAAATGCAGGGAGTTGTTCTGCAGTAACAGTGCAATGTAGCAAGGAAATGGAGCTTAAGCTAATGCTTCACCTGGATGTGGCCTCTAGTCTAACTAGTTCAGGAACAACAATAATTATGTTTGCACTCAGCAGGTAAAGCAAGAATATGTGGAAACAGGAACACTGTATTGAGCATTCATTGCTGTCATACTGCTTCACAGTTGCTAAACTGCTTCACAGAAATGGTGCTATATATCCTGTTTCATAAAAAAAAAAAAAAAGGGCCTCGCCTTTGCTTTGCAGTCTCAGCCAAGGGTATCTCACACAGCAAGATATAGGCACCGTTTCTCACTGCTGCCCCACCTGCCTTCAAAGGTTGTGTTATATACTACCTCCAATGGATGGAAGTGCTGTGTCTTCATCTGTCTCTTTCTTTCAGTGCAGATTAGCAGTACCTTCAAGAAAGAAATCTGGACTTCGGACATGTCAGACTCTTCTGGGAAGGGACAGGAAGGAAATTCATTTCTTTTTGGATTTCATCATCCAGTCCCAGTGTTAAAGACAGTGAGGATGCTCTGACCGAATTCCAAAGCTTTCAAGTATATCTTTTCTCTCTCTATCTCTCTCTCTATCTCTCTTTTTTTTTTTTTTTTTGTCTAATGCCTACTGTTAAACATGACTTTGCAGACTCATGAGAGAGTTTCTTGGTCCTCCTGTTGAATTGTCTGGAACTACTTCAGAAAATGAAGTCTCCATTCTACTCACTTAAAAGGATAGGCATGTTTCTGCCAATGCAAGGGTTGCTGTACTCCTGTTTGTGTCACAAAAATAGAAGATAAAAAGTGCTCTGGAAAATATACAGCAGGAGTCCTATTCCAACACTCTTACTATTTAGCTGGTTATTATTTGAAATCAGCGATGTTCTATTGCCTTCAGTCAGATAATGGGGGTAATGAAATCTTTGCCTATTATCGTGGCAAAATCTGTCTTTGAATTAACGTGATGACTGAGAAGAAAAGTGGTGTTTATGTTGTAAAGACGTAATTGCCACTAGAGCATCGTTCCTCTTGTAAAATATCAATATATCTCTGTTTTCTTACAGAATGAAAAGGCATAAGTTTCCCTACCGGTGTCCCACAAGAAAAAAGATTCTGATCCTGTGTTTCACAGGGTGGGTGATTGCACTCCTGAAGCTCCTCCATGTTGAGAGACACTTTTTTCCACCTAAGAGTATTTATCTGGTTGAGCACTTCTTGAGCACTTCTTCGTATGTCAGAAACAGATATTCCTATCTTAGAAACCACTTCCAGTATGAAATTAACTGTTCATCTATATATGAGCAAGATCCCCAGGAAATCGGCAAGAGTTTAGAGATAAGAAGGAAAGATATAATTGATTTAGATGATGAAGATATCATTGCAATGACAAATGATTGCGACATGTATCGTACACTGAGGAAATACCATCTGATACCTGTTTCTCCAGAGGAAGAGAGTTTTCCAATAGCCTATTCTTTTGTTGTCCACAAAGATGCAGTGATGGTTGAAAGGCTCATCCATTCACTGTACAGTCATCAAAATATATACTGCATTCACTATGACCGAAAAGCAGCAAAAAATTTTAAATCTGCTATGAACAACCTAGCTAAATGTTTTCCCAACATTTTCATTGCGTCAAAACTGGAGATGGTGAACTATGCACATATTTCAAGGCTGCAAGCAGATTTAAATTGTTTGTCTGATCTGATGAACTCTGCGGTTCCCTGGAAGTATGTTATTAACTTGTGCGGCCAAGATTTCCCTTTGAGATCCAATTTCCAGTTGGTTGCTGAACTGAAGAAACTCAGTGGGGGAAACATGCTGGAAACTATAAAGCCCAGTAGTAGCAAAAGAGAACGATTTACTTATCATTATGAACTTATGAAAGTGCCTTACGAGTACATGCAGATGCCTGTGAAAACCAACATTTCCAAGAACCCACCACCTCATAATATTGAGGTATTTGTTGGCAGTGCCTATTTTGTTTTAAGTCGAGCTTTCATTCAGTACACCCTTAGCAGCTCTCTTGTAAAAGACTTTTTTGATTGGTCGAGGGATACTTACTCTCCAGATGAACATTTCTGGGCCACTCTTGTGCGTGTTCCTGGAGTGCCTGGGGAACTTCCGAGGTCCGCCCAAGATATAACAGACTTGCAGAGCAAAACTCGTTTGGTGAAATGGAATTATCTTGAAGACCATTTGTATCCTCCATGCACTGGTACCCACCTTCGTAGTGTCTGCATCTACGGGGCTGCAGAATTAAGATGGCTTATGAATTATGGGCACTGGTTTGCCAATAAGTTTGACTCCAAAGTAGATCCTGTCCTGGTAAAATGCTTGGCAGAAAAACTGGCAGAACAACAAAAAGAGTGGGTTTATTTGTCTTCTGACAAACATTTTCTGCGTATCAATCCTGCAAATGCCTCTCTATAGCAGTGCTGTTCTTCCAGCTGCTGGTACTGTGTATTGCTATAGCTTGGAGCCTGGGATTCTCCAGCCCTGACCTGCTGCAGAGGAGTTCCTTCTGCATTAAGTTCAGGACTTTGAAGAGAGAGGTATCTGGACACTATTTGTGAAATTAGCAAGTCTCTGGTTGACTGCTTTATAACTTGCCACAAAAATCCCATAACTATTCTTCAAGGCGATTCTGGAAGGGTAAGGCTTGCTTTTGGAGGCCCTGGTACTGTCTACCCTAATGGAATACTTCAGAAACCTGTTTTACATTGTGTGTTTGTGTCTTTCCTAAGAAACCCCACCACGCTTGTTCTCCTGTCCCCTTTTCCTGCACTTTTTCAATAAGGTATGAAACAAAGACCTCTGCATCTGCTACCTCAGGAAAACTGGAAGTGCCCAGCTTGCAGACACAACTAAGAGAGCAGTGTGACTCCACTGGGCCATGCTGCAGCCTGGAGTGCCCCACTTCCCACCTGCAGGTGCTGACAGGGCTGCAATGTGAACTCTTCTGGATGGCACAAGGGGAGAAATACCCTTGGATGCCACAATAGCATTGTGTCCTTCTCCCAGCTTGACTGTGCATGGTTTTTCTTTCTGTGTTTGGGACTGTGCTGTGCCTGTGGAATGGGTGGTGGTGGATTGAAGCAAGCCGCGTGAACACATGTGAATAATGCTCTACTGTTCTTCAAGGGCAGTACAGGTAACCATGCCAAATGATGTCTGTCTTCATTTCTATCCCTGCCAATAGAAATATCCTCCTGTGAAATCCCTGTTCTTCTGAGACAGCATTTTTACATGCAGTGGCTAACAAGTGCTATTTATAATCAGTATTCAGCTTGGTGGTGCTATGCTGAAATGCAAAGCACGCAGCAATCACACAAACAGTCACACTGCAGACAAGAAGGCCTTGCATATGCATCCATGGTCCCAGGCTGATTTGTGCCCAGGGAAGTTCTGCTTCAAAGCAGGATAGCACTGGAGTAGCTGTGCCCCAAGGCAACCCATGCTGCCCATGGTCCCTTCCTCTCAGCTGGGCTGTCACGTAGTATAATGGGATTGTTGGTCAGCACAAAACCTTTGTGACAAAGAAATGGGGATTCTCCAGAATTTTGCTGTGCCACCAGCTCAGTGTTGGTGGTTCCAGTGGGCCTTGTGGCTATGCTTGCTCCATGCTACTGTGCCATTTCTGCTTATTTAGCGCTTATCAAGGTATCTAGTGTTACTGATCCTCAGATTGCCACAGCAATGGTCATGTCTTGTGCCCACAAGAAAGCTTAGTTTCTTCTTTGAGTTTTAGGAACCAACTCATTCCTTTGTCTCTGTTTTTTGAAAAATCAGCTTTTTAAATTTCAGCCGTGGTCAACATGCTTGTGGCTTGAGTTTGGGCTTGAATGAAGAGTCCATACCTTTTCTCCATTTGTGACACTGATTTCCTTTGAGCCTTCAGACAAATCATCTGACTTCTGTTCCAGCTGTAAAATGGGAACAACAATGCTCTGCGACCTTGTCAAGCATTTAGAAACCTATGGATGTTTTTTGTGGGCTGGTTGCACAGTACTAATTGTTGATCAAAGCTATTTACGATTAAGTCTGTGTGTGCACAAGTTGATTATTTCTCTTATGTACTGTTTCTCAAATAAATGGGGATTATTTTTTATGTGTATGCTGCTTATTTTGGTGACTTGCCACATCTCACAGCTGACTTGATGTGATTGATAGATATTTTGCAGAATATGAAACACTGACAGTATTTACATATTCATGCATCAGTACTGATATACAAAAAACAGACTTTTCACATGGAAAGAGGTTAATAGCAGCAGATATTGGGATGCCAGAGGACCAAGCCTCAGCCAGTCAAGCAAGCCTCAGTACAGATAAAGTGATGTATAATTAGTTAGCTGATGACTTTTTACTTATATGTAAGTACATACACACATTCTCATTTGTGTTTGATTTATTTGCTCTGTCATAAGTTTACAAACAAAACCCATCAGCATAATGAACTTAAGTGAAGTAAATAATTTTGATCAACGTGCAGCTCTGTGCTACTTCAACTGAATTGGGTTGAACAATGTCTTTGATTTAAGTAGTCTGAAATAAGGCAGTGCTTGCTTCCTAGGTAACAAAGAAGTGAATGCAAAGATGACGTAAAGTAAGGCACCATCACCTGTTACAGTGTTAGGTCTGCTAACTGGAAAAGTACAAGTTGTATAGGGTTTCTTCTTTATGAAATGCAAATTTTCTAATGAATTATAAATATACCTATTTTTGAAGGTAATTTTAAAGGCTAATCAAGCCTGTAGAAGGTAGTTCTCAAAATCATAGGATCATTCAGGCTACAGATCATCTAATTCACTCTCTGAGGCAACATGTCCCAATTTTCTTGGGTTCAAAATTTGCTAAAGTATAAGTTCTTTAATGTTTGAATAACATTATGTTTGAATTTTGTTTTGTCTTGTTTTGTTTTTTCTTTGCTGTTAGCGATGTAGATGCAAAGTTGATGTCTGTATCATAGTTCATATCATACAAGTGATTACATAGTGGAGTTGGGGAACAACTTAATTATTTGCCTTTGACTTCACCACCTTTGTTCTTTACACAGGTAGATCTTTCTTTGCTAAGTCATGATCTGTAAATACCTCTCTCAGTGAGAAAAGTAACTGAACCTAGCTTATGGGGAAAAAAAACATATCTGATTTGGGCTGCAACTTTGATTATAATAATCTGTCACTCTCTGATTTTTCTTTGCCTTAGTAAAGTCCAGATTTGCCTTTCTCCTTTTCTCCTTTTTCTCACTCTTCTTGTAAGTTATTTCATAAACTTGAAATGCACATATGTTTGCCATGTCAGATAGTTCACTCTCTCTTTGTTTTGCTCAAGATGCTTCACTCTGTCCTTTTTCCACCCATCCAGTCCCTTGCTAGCTGCACGGTGGATTATCAGTTCACTTGGTCTTCCTATGCAGGAAGGATGTGAATGCAGGGCATTAATGCTGTTCCTGCTGTCAGTACAGGTACAGCCTGCTGCTTTATTAGCAACTGGAAACAGCTGCTGGATGTGTCCTGACATAAAAAGTTAAGTGAAGGGCAGTGAGAAACAATGTGCTTTGAAGTAAGAACTATGGGACGTTTGTGCAACTTGTCTCACTAATGAATTTCTTAGACTGAACACGGAGTTAGGAGGGGGCAATACAGAAGAACTAATGTTTCACTGTGTATTTTCCTTGATGTTAGAATAAAAGATTGTGAAAGGAAAGACTGCAATTTAGACACCTAATCTATAATTGTAATTAGAAAACACTTGATCAGTTGAGCACTTCTGCAGATACTAAATCACTGCTGCGACACTCAAGGCAGAATGTATGACCATGAGAAAAGCAGTTTTGTGACAGCAAATAAAGAGCTTAAGTGGCATCTGTGTATTTATGGTGTGATCTCAAATTTTAGTCTAGGTACAGCATCTGTCTGTGATGTGATATGGTGATAGTTTCCCATTTCACTGAAAGGCAACTGCAGAACAGTGTTATACATTAATGACACACAGTAAATCTTCTCTGGAAATAGCCCCACACTGTTTGGTCTCTCAAGCCAATAGCTGTACGCTATTCTGCTTCCCTTCTTTCCAAGACTACCAGGCTTTTTGAGTTTCCCATGGCTAAACTACATTAATCCCTAGAGCAGCAATCTTTTTTAGAATGGGAGGAAAGTAAATACTATGCAGCTTTGGACTGGAAATTTTCTCAAACAAGATAGAAAGGAGCTAGAAGGCATTTTGGAAAGGAAGATGGGGAAAATATGTTTCCTTGCTACAGAACTGCCACATATGTGTCTTAGCAAAGAATGGCTTAAGAGGTAGTACCTATAGCATGGTTGCTGCTGCCATCTCTGATAAAGAGAAGCAAGACTTGCGTTAAGTGTATTTTGAAAATGAAAATCATTTAAGAGAAAATGCTCAGAGCTTGTGTCAGCTTCTATTCCTCTAAGAAATAAGTACTTAGAAAAATACTGAAAATGTACTGCAGCTTAACTAGTTAGTAATTCAGTTCTGTGATATTTGCAACAGGAAGGGTAGAAAAAAAGAGTCTGTGAATTCTTTGCTTAAGGCAGGTCAGTGGTTTTTAATGATATTTTCAGTGTTATTCCTAGAAACCAATTTAATCATGTGCTAATGTGAAAAATATGTGACTGACTTCTACCTTGCATCTCAAGTGTTAGCTGTAACACATTCAAGTTTATTTAAAAGTCTCTTCTCTGGGCTACAATTAAGAGACTTTGTTGTGATTTAATTAAAATTCCTATTGCTGAGCACTTCTTTACTGCTTGAATTTTTCTCTGAGACTGAAAGGATGGCAAGTCTAATCTTTACCCCGGGTGATGAGAAAGAGAATAGAGAGTACGCTAAGATTCTGCAGGTGACATTACTACCACCACTGCATAGCAGCTGGGAAATCAGAGCTGCATCATTGACAATAACGGTTAAAGGCACCATCTCTTCACAAAGCTAGCAGGGACTGGAAATCATACAACTGGAATGACTACTCGCATATATTTTAGCACTAAAATGTTGATGGCTGTGGGAACCAAGGCCTTCCTGTACAAGAAAGACCTAGTCATGCAGAAAGAGTCCAGTGGAGGTCTATCAAGATGATGATGGGACAGGAGCATCTCTCCTATGAGGAAAGCTGAGAGATGTATGACTGCTCAGCTTGCAGAAGAGGAGGCTCAGAGGGATCTTATCAATGTGCAAAAATACCTAAAGGGAGAGTGTAAATAAACCTGTACAGTGCTGGGACAACACAAACTGAGATATGGAGGTTCCCCCTGAACACCAGGCAGCACTTCTATCTTATGTGGGTGTTGGAGCACTGGCAAAGGCTGCTTAGAGGATGTGGATTCTTTTCCTTGGAGATTTTCAGAAGCTTCCTAGTCATGAGCCATGACACCCTGCTTGAGCAGTGGTTGGACCAGATGGACCCAGAGGTTCCTTAACCATTCTCTGATTCTCTGATTCTATGAATTACGTAGGTGGATCTGCATCTTTCTCTGTCAGAATGAAATATTAGCTGTAGACAAAGAATTGCAAGACCTTGTAAGACGCTTAGCAGAAAAGTAGAAGTACTCTTCTTGCAAGAAGTCCAAAATGGAGAATTGATGGCATCCTGTTTTTATTTTCTCTAAGAGTTATAATAGTCCCATGTTTCCTCTGGTTCCTTCTTATCTATTAATAATGCAGTCCTAGGTCCTTTGCATCTATACCCATATCAACTAAATTTTACCTCTGAATTCTTCTGAGCTGCTCTGGAGTTCAGACCTTGCTTTTCTTCCAGCAACATCTGTAAGGGCTCCTAATACAATCAATGCGTGGAATGGCTGAATTTCCATTTAATGGGTTTTGTGGGACATGTGCATTTGCTCAGCTACTCTGGGCCTGAACTTGTACAAAACTTAGGAGCTTCCATCACAGAGATTACCCAAATTTTATTCTGCTTGCTTTTCGAAGAAAAGTAATCCTTTGTTCCTATGCAAAGCAACCTCGTTCTCTTTCCCCAGATTCTGCTTGGTAGAGACAGAGATATGTATTAAAAGCCCATACCAAGAAGATGCATCCAAAGAAGCACAATCATGTATTCCCATTATTAGAGAATGGGAAGAAAAGTATAGAAAATTCAGGAAATTGAAGAAATTGGTGTTAGGGAGAAATAATAGAAATAAAATGTACACGGTTATTATCATATGCAGCCAGTTGGAGAGTTACTTCTCTGACTGCTGCATTTGTAAAAAAAAAAAAAAAAAAAAGAAATAAAAAACCAAATTCTTATTTTCAAGCTTTTGCTTAACTAGAATGTGAATACCAGCACTTGGTAAAGCTTCACCCTTTTTTTTTGTCAAAATAGAGATATACTGTGCAAAACCATGAAGAAGTTTAGATGGTTTATTATTTTGCCAGGCCTCAGTTTCCAGCTTTGAGGTAAGACAGAAAAAAAAATACTAGGGAAATAAACAGAAAAGCATCTTGCTGTCAGCAAAAACAACACATCCACTCAACGATGAGGCTGCTTCACAACAAACCAAGCTGGAGCAGGAGTCAGCAAACAACTGCCACTTTCACTTCCTTAGAGCCTATCAGGATTACAGCTCTCAAAACCAGTCAGCTAATTGTATTATTTCTGTTGAACTCGTTGGATTAAGTTTGTAATCTTGAAATTCTCTCTTGTGGCTTTCTTAAATGAAGATATATTTAAAATCTCTGTGGGAATAGATGCAGTAGGTCTTGTACTAAATGCCTTGTCCTTATCTGAAATCATGGCAGCCAACTCTGATTTTATACTCATGAAGCCACAAAGAGCTGAAGATATGAAAAAATGAGTCATCCTAAAATAAAGTAGTTGCAGAATTTTGCTTCTCTCTGGTCATCAGGTGGAAACCTTTATATCCATATTCAGCAACCCAAGGCACATCATAAATCCAAGTTGCAAAATGTGAAGTTATTAATATAAACTTACCCAGAGCACTTACCTGGCAAGTTTTGTTTCAGTCTGTGTGAAAGGAGTTGGTTGCTGGGCAAATTACACATCACAGAAGTGCTGCTGGCACTGTGCCCTCTTCCCCACCTGGCACCACTGCACCTTTTCTTCCTCGGGGCTTCAGAGCCTGT